ACTCCCATACTCATCATTCCTCCCCCGTGCTTCCCTTTGCATGGATGATTGAGGTGCGGAATTGGCCTTCTCCTCTCCTTGGACGGATGCATCCCTCCCTTGGGATGACTCTCCTCCTTGAGGTATGCCCATTTCCCCTTCACCATCAATTCCTGCATGAACATTTGCACGAGTTTGGTTAGTACGTGAAGTGATTAAATGAGAGTGTCTACGGGTGGACGGATTGCTAGACTCATGAGAGAACGATGTCATTGGCTGGATTGTCATTCCAAACTTGTCCTTTAACGAATCTCGGAGTGCGGGTGGTGCCTTTGCAATCATGCTTTCCAAGTGCTCATGCTGAGCCATGATGGCTTCTTCAAAAGCCGCATATCCAGGATCCACTTCACCATCGAAGTGCGCCATGACCTTCAAGTGTGCGGTAAACGCGCGGTTGTAACCAACAGCGAACACCAGGTGTACGAAAGCGTAGACCGGGTGTGCGGTACTCTGACTGTATGCAAGTACCTATCTGAAGTGAATGCCAGTAAATTCTTGAATCAAATTTGGCAGCATGCCCCCTAGAGTAGCTCTAATACCATGCTAGAAAGACATAGTGTCGGCGTAGCGGAAACGTGTTTGTAGAAAAGAACAAGATAGAAATCTTGCATTGATAATTGAAAAGTAGAAGGATGACACAATGATAACTCAATGATTGAATAATTCACAACAGCCAGGGTATTTATGTTTCCATCTACCCCTACCAAAGGACCCCATTCACTGTCAGAATATTATCTTATTGTTCTAGCCTGTAGTGGGGTGCTCTATAGCGAGTACAACCCTTCTAGGGTTTGCTATTTGTATCCTCATTCTTGCTAGTTCAATCCTCTTTTCTTCTTCTAATTTTGACATGCTATCAGAGCAGGTCGATCCCCTTGGATCGATCCTGTGGGTGTGTCCCCACCTTGCTTCCGCTGCTACTTTTTCCTCCCGCCGTGCGCCCCGAGGCGCGCGGCGGTTTTCTGCCCGCCGTGCGCCCCGAGGCGCGCGGCGGTTCATTGCCCGCTGTGCGCCCCGTGGCGCACGGCGGGCTTCTCCTCTACGTCGCGGCCCCGCCCCGGCCCGTCGCCGCCCGTGCGCCCGCTCGATGCGGCCCCGCTCTAAGTCGCGGCCCCGCCCCGGCCCGTCGCCGCCCGTGCGCCTGCCCGGCTCGGCCCCGCCCTACCTGCTCGGCCCCGCCCTTCGTCACGGCCCCGCCCCTCGAAGCGGCCCCGCCCTACGTCGCGGCCCCGCCCCGACCGTCGCGGCCCCGCCCCTTGTCGCGGCCCCGCCCTACGTCGCGGCCCCGCCCCGCTCGTCGCGGCCCCGCCCCTTGTCGCGGCCCCGCCCTCCAACCAGGCTCGTGGTGGGCCCCTTTCACCACACCGCCTCCCCCCCCCCCCCCCCCCCCCCCCCCCCCCCCCTGCCATTTCCCGTCGTCCGTCGTGGCGACCTGAGGGGGGCCGCTGGCGAGCTGTGGGGTGGCGGGTATGGGGGTGGTCGGTGTGCCTTCCTCCCTTTCTCCTCCTCCTCCTTCGTCTCCCACTGCTGCAGCTGTCGCTGAGGGGGGTGGTTGTGTGGGAGACTGGGTTTAGGGTTTAAGGGGGGTGCGTGGGAGTAGAGCTAGTGGTGTAGCAGTGGGTGTGTATCAGGGGGGTGGGACTGTGTGCGGGAGGATGAGCGGAGGTTGCCAGTTTGTCGTCAGCAGCACCTGTAGTCCGGGGCGCTGTCCCGGTAGCCCAGTCGTAGCCAGCTGTGCCAGCCGCCCGTGGGTCCGTTGCCCGTCCGCCGCTATTTGAGCCGCGGGGCCTGTTACTCCTGTAGTCCGGGCGCTGTCCGGTAGCCGCTGTGCCAGTGTGCCTCCTGTTGCCCGTGTGTCTGCAGCTTCAGCCGTCGCCTCCTGTCTCCTCTCCCCTCACTCTCCCTCCTCCTCCTCACTTGCCCGTTGTGACTACCACTAGCTTTGCTTATAATTGTGAACTCTAAACTATTTCTTCTTGACCTTGTGCTCAGAATGCGTGGTGACATTGTGATCCACCCTGAGCTTGTACTGTTTTGCCTGCTCTGCTAATTACACCCCACTTTGGCTATGGGGGTGTGTCAGAATATTATCTTATTGTTCTAGCCTGTAGTGGGGTGCTCTATAGCGAGTACAACCCTTCTAGGGTTTGCTATTTGTATCCTCATTCTTGCTAGTTCAATCCTCTTTTCTTCTTCTAATTTTGACATTCACACCAATAATGGTGTACTAATAATTCTACCCTCTACCCTCCAATAATGCTGACCTCCAATAATTGTGGACGTACAATAATTGTGACGATTATTGTAGGACCTGGAGGCTTATAACGAGTACTACACTAAAACCGAACAGCACTGGTATACAATATTCGTTATATTGTATTCGAATTTCCAACATTAGAAACTATCATACAGGAATGATGTCACTAGTCAGGAAAGAAAGTACAAGTACCAAACCCTAAAAGTGTTGTACTATATATGTGCTACCCCACTACAGCCTACAAACATATAAATTAGTTTTGACAGAGCAGAGCTGTTTGCTCGGCTGAGATTGACTTTTTGCTGGCTGCAAAATGTGCCTTCTTTCTTGCTGCTCAACCTCATTACTACATATCCCTTGCTGTAATGTAGTGGAACGTACCGCTACTGTGTGAGAACACAAGCATTTGCAAAATTCCCCATTCTCCTCTCCACGGTATTGGAGAATATCACTCGCAACATCCCACAATTATTAGCACATTACTGTCAGTCACCATTCACCTCACCATGTCCTAAGCTCATGCCTTGGCTTTGCATCAGGCCTCATGATATCAGGGTGAATCACCCTTATGGCCCTTACTATAAGGGTGGGTTTAGGTGTTCACCCTGATTTTACAGAGTTGTATTTTAGGGCGCCCTTACAATGAAAAGTGAATTTTTGTGTAACACTGATATTTCAGACCGACCTGGTGTACTCGCCCTGATAACAACGAGTAGTGTTGGGTACCACCCTGATGCGATTTTTTAGGGGGAAGGGGGGTGGGGGGGGGGGGGGTTCGATTTACCGACGTGATTTCTGCCGCGATTAGCGGCGATTTGCCCGAGTCACCAGAATTGCGCGTCGCCAAGACCGCTCGCGTCGCTACAGCCACAGTCCCGCAACCTGTACCCGTACCACATGCATTTTGCCTGCCTGGCGGTGACACACAGCGCCACACAGGTGTGCATCGTCCAGGAGAGTCCTGCTTGGTCCCTTCCTCCCTCTCCACCAGACCGCCACCCACCGACCAGCCGCTCTCACCCAACCCCAACCCAGTCAGCTCATTTTATTCATCCAGTTTTCCTCCTCGTGGTCTCGTCTAGGGTTTGCAGACCACGCCTTCCTGCTGCTATTATAAGCATAGCTCCAGCATCTACCTCCAAGTCCCTCGTCATGGCTGTTGTCACCATCCGTGAGGATGACGACGAGGCTCGTCGTCAGGTCCTGCACTCACCCTCATGAAAGGGCCTTCGCTTTTTAACAATGCCTTCTAAGCGACTGCTTGAACCAGAGCCCGTCGTTGCCTCTACTGAGGCTGAGACCGCGCTGGCTGAAGCGGGGCGTGACGTGCACCACGACGCCTGAACTGACACCACGAAAAGCACAACACATGTAATGGAGAATACCGCTGCTGCTCACAACTGTGCTGCCAAGAAGCTGAAATCTGGTTCGTGTTTGGCACGGCAGAAGTGGCGGCAGCAACCTAAGTCGAGTTTTACTTGCGGGGCTCATGCATACGGTAGCAATCTTCAATGCTGGCAAGAAGAGCCGCCCTGCTCAAGAGTTCCTATACCGTATTAACTTGTGCTCATTGCTAAGCTTATTCTGCTAGAACCAGGCACTGGTGCTTTAGTTGCTCTGTTAGTTAGAGCCATCTTTAATATGTAATCCACGCTTAAGTCTAAACATGAAAGGGTGAAAACAATGTGCACACTGATGAGCAAGAGTACCTTTCCAGCTGACACTGATAAAAAAGACTGACATGGCTGACCCACCGTTATTGAAAGACCAACTTCAGCGAACTGGCCTTGTGAGTAGGAGTGCCCGAAATCATATCCAGAGGCCTGCTTTGCATGTTCTGTTTGGTCTTGATGTATATCGGTAGTGCAGTTATGGTCTAGTCACCGAACAGAAGCCATAGCATAGTTTTCTTAATGATACCGTACATGTGTACGGTACCATAACCAAATTAGCAATGGATGCATACACTACACAATACAGGAACAAATAACGGTAAAATTGTTAGTAAACCCGAGTCAAATCAGTGCAGGCTCCTACACTAGACAGGAAAAACTGAGTACTCATCACTCCAGTGGTTTCAATAGTCCGATGGGCTTCAAGTGCCGAAGAAACCTCAATGTGTCTAAAAAGGGCTTCCAGAGCCTTCTGGTATCAAATCAAGTGTAGCTGATGTGGCCACTCTAAGAATTGCTCTTTCCAGAAGAGCTGCTGAGGACTGGGATAGTCCCAGGTCCTGCAAAGACAGAGGAAAAGATTTGGAAAAGCACGCGTCAGCACAACGGATAAGGTGGTTACACTGCTACGTAAATTCAAGTATTTAAAGAAAAGCGTTGCATCGGGCAGAGGGAGGACAGGGAGAATGGAATGGCGTGTGCGCAGCATGGAGGGAGGGAGAGAGAGACTCACTGGACTGTGTATAAGTTCCAACAGTGCTGCTTTCTGCTGCTCAGTCATTGGCTTGGGCTTCAGTGGTGTTGCTCCTGCTGCAGCTGCTGCAGCTGCTGCTGCTGCTGCTGCCCCTCCTTCAACCATCCCTCCTGCTACGCCATGGATTGCTGGTGCAGGCGCATCTGTTGCATCACCTGCAGCAGCTTCTGCTGCTGCTGCTGATGCTGCTACAGCCGTTTCAGCTACAGCCGTTGCAGTGTGGGTGGAAGGATGGTCGGTTGTGGCGGAGGGATGATTGGAGTGGGTGAGCGACCAGATGCGATGGAGAGCAAGGGAGAATGGGGAGTGGGGTCGATGCGGGTTTGAGGAACCTGCACCCGCGTGCTTTGGTGCTTGGCTTGCAGGGATTAGCGTGTGTGAGTCAGAAGGTGAGGTGATTCCGTTGAAATCAGGTGGAGAGTAGGATGGAGGTGCGTTGGGCTGAATGGAGGGAGGCTGGTTGTGAGTCTTGGGAAGTGAGCTGGGAGAGGGGGAGTGTGAGGGGGAGTGTGAGTGTGCAGGGGAGAAGGGGGAGAAGAGAGATGCTAGTGTTGATGCTGGTGATGCAGGTCGTTTTCCTGTCTTTCCAGGAGTCCTTTCAGGCGTTTCTTCAGGTGCCTTTTCAGCAGTTTTACCAACCGAGGGAGTTGATGCTGGAGCTGCTGTTGGTGCTGCTATTGGTGCTGCTGTTGCTGCCCCAGATGCTGCAGGCTTGGCATAGGCTGGTTTTCCCATGGTAGGCCGAGATTTTGTGGGGCTAAAGAAACGGAATGGGGAGAGTGAGCGAGGGCGAGAAGATTTTTGGGAGAAAGCGGAAGAGGAGGAGGAGGAGGAGGAGGAGGAGGAGGAGGAGGAGGAGGAGGAGGAGGAGGAGGAGGAGGAGGAGGAGGAGGAGGAGGAGGAGGAGGAGGAGGAGGAGGAGGAGGAGGAGGAGGAGGAGGAGGAGGAGGAGGAGGAGGAGGAGGAGGACGAGGAGGAGGAAGAGGAGGAGGAGGAGGAGGAGGATGAGGAGGAGGAGGAGGAGGAGGAGGAGGAGGAGGAGGAGGAGGAGGGGGAGGAGGAAGAGGAGGAGGAGGAAGGGGAGGAGGAGGAGGAAGAGGAGGAGGAAGATGATGAGGAGGGTGTGGGCTGAGAGGAAGGAAAGGCAGGAGGGACAGAGGCAGTGCTGGTATCAGAAACGGGGCTTAAGGCTGGTGCAGCAGCAGTAGGTGCAGCAGCAGCAGAACCACCAGCAGTAGCACCAGCAGAATCAGCTGCAGTATCAGCAGAGCCAGTAGCAGCCACACCAGCAACAGAATCAGTATCACCACTGCGAGCCGTCGCCAGCGAGAGTGGATCAGAAGCAGCAGCAGGAGCAGCAGGAACAGCAGGAGCAACAGGAGAAACAGGGGCAGCAGGAGCAGCAGAAGCAGCAGCAGGAGCAGCAGGAGCAGCAGAAGCAGCATCAGCAGCAGCAGCAGCAGCAGCAGCAGCAGCAGCAGCAGCAGCAGCTGTAGAGGCAGGCAGCAGTCTTGCGACAGCGGAAGAGAAAGAGGTGGTGGAGAGAGGGGCGGAGAAAGGCGGATGAGAGTGAGGAGGAATAAGAGGAGGAGAGGTGGAAGCAGGAGGGGGGGATGGAATAATCTTAAGGTGAAGGAGAGGAGCAGTAGGGGTTACCAAGGGGCTTTTGGCAGGGGGTACTAAGGGGGAGGACCGTAAAGGGGATGCCAGAGGGGATGCTAGAGGGGATGTTGGAGACCGTTGCTCCTTGGGATTCAAACCTAGACTCCTCTTCTCCTCTCTGATTGGTGTAAGAGCAGTCCAGCTCACAGACCTGCCTCGCTCCATACTGCCTTGAGCCCTGCCTTGCTGCTTCACGCTGCCTTGAGACTCTGATTTTTCCGAATCTAGACCAGATCGCTCCACACTACTTTGGGACCTTGATTCTTGCGAGTCTATGCCCAATCCTTCCTCCTCCTGGATCGCAGAGAGGGTGGTCCACGTCACACATGTGACTCGCGGCTTTCTGCTAAGTGGCTCGCTCAGCAGAGCAAAGGCGAGGCGACGCCTTGAAACCTGAGGGGCGGTAGCAGCAGCTGCTTTAGACGAAGCCTGTTGCTGAGACGCCTCAGTAACAGCATTGGCTGCTTCACCAGAAACAGAAGCTGCTGTGCTCGTTCCTGCTACAGCAGCAGAAGATTTAAAAGCAGCCACAGAACGAGCAGGAAAGAGCACAGCTGCTCGTTCCAGTTTCGGAGGCGCGTCATGAACAGTACTGGCCACTTCCTCAGAAATAGGAGCTACTGTGTTCACTCCTGCGCCGGAAGCAGGAGTTATCGGAGAAGCAGCACCTAAGAAACCCATTTCTCTGCACTGCACACCTCCTTCCGTTGCACCAGTAGCTTCCACTCCTCCGCTTCCTCCCTCCGCTCCACTCCCCCCTCCCAAACCCTTGGTGTCTTGTGCCTCACGTCCCATCTCTTCATATGCTTTTCCAGTCGACCCAGAAGTCGACTCGTTAGGTTCCTCGCTTGTCTTACACTGCGTTTGCTGCTGCTCCGGACGTACGTCCTTCTCTTCAGTTGTCTCACAGATTTCAGCTCCCTCGACTTCTTCAGCGGCCCCTGTCTTTCCATCGGCTTCATTGGTTTCAGCCACCCTTCCCGCTGCAGCATGAGCACCACTTGGTGAGTCAGCATCAGTTGGCGAGTCAGCATCAGTTGGTGAGTCAGCATCAATTGGTGAGTCAGCATCAGTTGGTGAGTCAGCATCAGTTGGTGAGTAAGAACCAATTGGTGAGTCAGCACCACTTAAAAACGACTCAGGAGGTGATGACAGGTCAGCTGCCCAGGACATGTCAGCAGCAACAGCAGAAGAGGCAGCAGCAGCGCCATCAGCACCACCAGCACTTGCAGCAGAAGCAGCAGCAGAATCAGAAGATTGTATAGCAGACGCAGCAGGAGAAGCAGTACCTTGAGCAACGCGTCTTGTAGACCCAGCATCCCCAATAACAGCTCCAGCTGAAGCACCTGCTGACAATTCACCCAATCCACCCGACTTAACTGTCCCAACCAATCCACCTGACCCAACTTTCCCACCCAAACCACCTGATCCAACCGGCACACTTCCCCCGCTAGCAGCACTGCCCAGCCACCCCCGCAGCCTGCTCGTCTCCTCCGCCAGCTGGCGCATCGCCATTCGCTGCTGCTGCAGCCTGCTCCGAAGGTTCTGCAGGCTGTGCAGGCTGTGTTGAGTGGCAACCCGCGCGGCTAGAGCGGGGGAGAGGGGGAGGGAGGGGGGTTGTGATCTGGGGGCGAGGGTGAGTGAGGGGGGTGGTGGTGTGGTGGGGGTGACGAGGGAAGGAGGCAGTGGTGTGGGACTGTGCAGGCTGTGTTGGGTGGCCACGTGGGCAGCTAGGGCGGGGGAGAGGGGGAGGGAGGGGGGCTGTGATCTGGGGGTGACGAGGGAGTTAAGTGGTGGGGAGGGGCTGTGCAGGCTGTGTTGTGTGGCAACCCGGGCAGCTATGGCGGGGGACAGGGGGAGAGAAGGGGGTGGTGGTGTGGTGGGGGTGGCGAGGGAGGGAGGCGGTGGTGTGAGGCTGTGCAGGCTGTGTTGGGTGGCCACACGGGCAGCTAGAGCGGGGGAGGGGAGGAGGGAAGTGGGCGGGGCGGGGGAGAGGGTGAGTGAGAGGGGTGGTGGTGTGGTGGGGGTGACGAGGGAAGGGGGCGGTGGTGTGTGGCTGTGCAGGCTGTGTTGGGTGGCCACACGGGCAGCTAGAGCGGGGGAGGGGAGGAGGGAAGTGGGCGGGGCGGGGGAGAGGGTGAGTGAGAGGGGTGGTGGTGTGGTGGGGGTGACGAGGGAAGGGGGCGGTGGTGTGTGGCTGTGCAGGCTGTGTTGGGTGGCCACACGGGCAGCTAGAGCGGGGGAGGGGAGGAGGGAAGTGGGCGGGGCGGGGGAGAGGGTGAGTGAGAGGGGTGGTGGTGTGGTGGGGGTGACGAGGGAAGGGGGCGGTGGTGTGTGGCTGTGCAGGCTGTGTTGGGTGGCCACACGGGCAGCTAGAGCGGGGGAGGGGAGGAGGGAAGTGGGCGGGGCGGGGCAGAGGGTGAGTGAGAGGGGTGGTGGTGTGGTGGGGGTGACGAGGGAAGGGGGCGGTGGTGTGGGGCTGTGTAGGCTGTGTTGAGTGGGCACGTGGGCAGCTAGAGCAGGGGAGAGTGTGAGAGAAGGAGGTGGGATGGGGGAGCGGGTGAGGGAGAGGGGTGGTGGTGTGGGGGTGACGAGGGACGGAGGTGGTTCAGGAGAAGCAAGGGCGAGAGTGAGAGAAAGGGAAAATATGGAGGAGGAGGGGGAGGTGGATGGAGGAGGGGAGAGGCACGAGGATAGAGGTGATGTGACTGTCCCTTCTGAAACGCCTGATGCTGCTGGTCCTGTGATTGCAATGCTTCCCTCTGAAAGGCTCGGTACAGCGACCTTTACTTCACGTTCCAATGTTCCTGCGTGACCATTATCATTACCATTCTCCTCCTCACCACCTGATTCTTCTCTCTCTTCCTCTCCTTCAGCTGGTGCTGTGCTTTCCTGCAGCCCTACCCACTCACACCCTGTTTTTCTCTCTGCACCCTCCTCTTCCGCATCGTTTCTCTCACGCTTCTTCTCATCCTCCTCATCCTCCTCCTTCACTTCCACAACCTCCTCCCCTCCCTTCTCCCCTTCTCCCTCCTCCTCCTCCTGCCCATCCTTCCTCTCCTTTTCTTCCCCCTCTCTTTCCCCCTTTACCCCCTCTTCACTGCTCTCCCCTTCACCTCCCTCCTCCTCAACGGTTGTCCCTTCTTCCATCTCTGCTGATACTGCTACAGCTGGCCCGTCAGTCTCAAGATCTGCAGCGAAATCTGCTGCTACATCCTCCCAAGGGGCTACAGCTGCATTGGAAATTTCCTCTGCTCCAGCCAACCCATCAGTCTCAAGTTTTGCAGCGAAATCTGCTGCTACATCCTCGGAAGGGGCTACAGCAGCAGGAAGTATTTCAACTGCCACAGCCAGCCCGTTGGGCTCAACTCCTGCAGCAAAATCTGCTGCTACATCCCCGCAAGGGATAACAGCTGCTGGGAGAAACTGTCCTGCTACATCTTCTGCTACAGTTGCTGCACTGGTACCTGCTGCTACAGCCGGTGCAGATGGAACTCCTGCTGCAGCTGCTACAGCCGGAGTGGGAGACGGCGCTGCTACAGCCACCATCGGAGCAGCTGTAGCTCCCGCTACAACTGGAGATCGGATTGGCTCTGCTGCAACAGCCACAGGATCACTTGACACAACACCTGAAGAAGCACTCCCTGCTACAGCCAGTGCAGGCACTTCGCGAGATTCACCTGAAATTCCACCTGATCCGACACCTGGGCTGAGCATCTTGTGAAGGGAGGACAAGAGACGGCGCGGTGAGGGAGGCCGAATCCTAGCAGCAGGAGGAGAGGACTGTCTGGGCGAATTCTGAAAATTCTGAAGGGGCGAATTCCGGGTGAATCCAAAGCGGGTGGATTTGAGAGCAGGGGATGCTGGGCGAACAGGTGGGGTGGAAGGGGTGGTGCTGACAGGAGGGGCTGGGGGCGAGGAAGTAGGAGAGTTGGGGAGAGCGGAGAGGGGAGACATGAGGGAGGAGGGAGAAGTGGAGAGCTGGGAGTTGGGCAAGCCACGAGTAGGAGAAGAAGGAGCAGCAGGAGCAGTTGAAGGAGGAACAGAAGGAGTAGAAAGGGGTGGAATGGGGTCCAGAGCGATAGCGGGTGGAGGGAGGTCTACCGGGGGAAGGTTCCAGAAAGTTGTGGGTTCGGAGGCAGGACCTACAGGGGCGGATGCAGGGAACGGTTGAGGAGGAGGAGGATGGGAGGCATGGGAAGGGGGGGCATGGGGAGGGTAGGGGGCATGGGGAGGGTAGGGGGCATGATGAGGGGAGATGAGGGAGGCGAGTGAGGAGGCCGAGGTAGAGGGTGCATCAACAGACGCCAGAGCAGGTGATTGTATCCAGTGTGGCTCTGTGGAACGTGACTGTCTGGTGCGTGCTGCTTTAGCCGATGTGGAGGAGGAGGAAGAGGATGGGGAGAGGGTGGACTTAAGAGATCGGAGCCAGGAGGAAGCAGTGGCAGCAGCTACTGTTGACAAGCTCTTGGATCGCTTGGGCGTCACAGAAGCCTTCGCAGATGAGCTTGTAGGTGCCATGGAAGATTGCGTGGGTGTCATGGGTGTACCGCTGCTGCTGGTGGCAGTAGTATTGCCGCCATGTGCAGAGTGCTGCTGCTGAGGCGAGTCAGAAAGAGGCGGCTTGTGCTGCTGACGCGAGCCCGAATGGAGCGTCTTGGTAGCGGTTTCCCCGCTTGGGGACCTGAATATGAACACCTTGCTGACGAGGCTGGCAGGCTTGGCATATGGATAAAGGTTGAAAGTGCTTCTGATGGCCTTGCCTGCAGCAGCGTTATCAGCAGCCGCGTCAGCAACAGGAGCAGCATCAGCAGCATCAGCAGCAGCAGGAGCAGCAGGAGCAGCAACAATGCCAGTATCAGCATCGGCATCATTAGCAGAAACGAGACTGCTACCAGCAGTAGCAGGGAAGTAGAGAGAGGTTGGCTGTGTTGGGTGGAAACGAGGGGAGGATACACAGATATGGCGCGGGAGACTGCTGCTGGGGGAGAGAGAGGGAGATGAGGGTTTGACTGCTGCCACTGCAGCCAGAACTGCCGCCGCTGCTGCAGTCGCTCCTGCCACCACTGATTCTGCTGGTACTGCTTGCTTCTGGTCGTCGGCAGGAGTAGAAAGGATAGTGACTATTGGAGCATGATCAGGCTTAGGCGGTACTTCAGGAAGGATGTCAGGCTGAGCACTGGTAAGTCCAGTGGCAGAGCACAATGCAGCAGGAGCAGAGGGAACAGGATCACTGGCAACAACGGTAGTAACCTCTTTGCTCTCCTCTTGGCTTTCCAGTATCTTCTCCTCCTCCCCTGTCGTTCCCAGAAGGGAGATTGAAAACACGCTCTCCTCCTGATCACTTGCCGAGACACCAGCATCTTCCTGAGAAGTTTCAGGTGATTCTTCAGGTGCTGGTGGTGCTTCTGGTGGTACTTCGACTCCTCCTTCAGGTATTTCTTCAGGTGCTTCTCCCGGTTCTGCTGCTTCAGGTTCTGCCGCATCAGGTGCTGCTGCTTCAGGTGCTGCTTCCTCACCACTCACAACAGGGAACAGGAGCGGTGCTGTGCTAATCGTGGTGAAGGACAGCGGGGAAGGGTGGGAGGAGATATGAGTCGCTGCAGATGGATAGGAGAGAGTGCGTGATGGGACCTGGACCTGGGAGGATTGGAGAGTGCGAGAGGAGAAGGGAGTGTGAGAAGGGAAGTGAGTGTGGTGGGTTGAGTAGTGAGTGTGGGGGTAGTGTGTATGGGAGGAGTGAGTGTGGGAGTAGTGTGTATGGGAGGAGTGAGTGTGGGAGTAGTGAGTGTGGGAAGAGGAGCGGCCAAAGACACTGGCCTGGTCAGAGTTGGTTTGGATAGAGTGGGTGCGGGGAGGGGAGAAGGAGCGGAGGCGGGACAGGGGGAGAGAGAGGCAGGAGGAGGAAGCACAGGTGGATGGGGAGAAAGGGGTGGAAGGGAAGGAGAGGGATTGAGGGGGTGGGGAGGTGGGGGAGTGTGCAGAGGCGGAGGATGGGGAGGGAGGGGCGGAGGAAGGGGAGGGAGGGGCGGAGGAAGGGGAGGGAAGGGCGGAGGAGGGAGGGGTGGAGGAAGGGGAGTGAGGGGCGGAGGAAGGGGAGTGAGGGGCGGAGGAAGGGGAGTGAGGGGCGGAGGAAGGGGAATGAGGGGCGGAGGAAGGGGAATGAGGGGCGGAGGAAGGGGAATGAGGGGCGGAGGAAGGGGAATGAGGGGCGGAGGAAGGGGAATGAGGGGCGGAGGAAGGGGAATGAGGGGCGGAGGAAGGGGAATGAGGGGCGGAGGAAGGGGAATGAGGGGCGGAGGAAGGGGAATGAGGGGCGGAGGAAGGGGAATGAGGGGCGGAGGAAGGGGAATGAGGGGCGGAGGAAGGGGAATGAGGGGCGGAGGAAGGGGAATGAGGGGCGGAGGAAGGGGAATGAGGGGCGGAGGAAGGGGAATGAGGGGCGGAGGAAGGGGAATGAGGGGCGGAGGAAGGGGAATGAGGGGCGGAGGAAGGGGAATGAGGGGCGGAGGAAGGGGAATGAGGGGCGGAGGAAGGGGAATGAGGGGCGGAGGAAGGGGAATGAGGGGCGGAGGAAGGGGAATGAGGGGCGGAGGAAGGGGAATGAGGGGCGGAGGAAGGGGAATGAGGGGCGGAGGAAGGGGAATGAGGGGCGGAGGAAGGGAATGAGGGGCGGAGGAAGGGGAATGAGGGGCGGAGGAAGGGGAGTGAGGGGCGGAGGAAGGGGAGTGAGGGGCGGAGGAAGGGGAGTGAGGATCGGCCCCGAAGTCAGGAGGGATGGAAATGGCGTTTGAACGGGCTTGGGATATGGCTGCTGTGAGGGAAACATCTCTTGGCAGGGAGGGGTGTGATACTAGCGAGGCGTGTGATACTAAAGAGGGGGACTGGAGGGCGGAGGATGGGGAGTGAGGGTCAGAGGATGAATCGGGAGAGATGGAGACGGCGATTGAAAGGGCCTGCGATGTGGCTGCAGTGAGGGATACATCTGCTGGCAGCGAGGCATGTGACTCTAACGAGGGGGAATCTGACTGTAACGAGGGAGAGTGGAGATCAGAGGAGGGGGATTGGACGGCGGAGGTCAAGTCAGGAGAGATGGAAATGGCGTCTGAAAGAGCCTGGGATGTGGTTCCAACAAGGGACGGATCTTCTGGCAGAAAGGGATGTGCTTCTAACGAGGGGTATGAGGGGTCTGTATCCAGGGAGGCAAGTGGTGGGGCAAAGTTGGGTGAGTGCGGTGAGGGGGATGTGACTGGTGCTGAGTTGACCGACGTGGGTGAATCCTGAACCGTTTCGAAAAACAGGTCATTTCCTGTCTCCATATGCGCTGCTGTCTCCATTTGTGGTCCTGCCTCTTGGTTAAAGTCAAAGGTTACTATACGTGTCTCGGTACGAGACGGCCCTTCAGTTGAACGGGCAGCAGCAGCTGCTGAGTTGACCGGTGCAGCAGGTGCAGGAGCAGCAGCTGCAGCAGCAGATACTGCGTTGACAGCAGTCGACTCAGATGATCCAGCAGCAGCAGCAGTAGCAGCAGCAGATGAGTTGACGAGCACCAGCCTTGCCTTGATGCGCAGCAGCAGCTGCTCCAACCTCTCCACCCTCTCCTCCTCCTCCTCCCACGCCTGCTTCCCTCCTCTCTTTGACTCCTCCACTTCATGCTCCTCCTCTCTCTGCTCTCTCCTCACTTCCTCTCTCCCTTCCTCCTCCCTTTCCTCTTCCCCCCTCCCCACTTCCTGCCTCTCTACGTCCTCTCTTTCAAATTCCTCCCTTTCTTCTTTCCCTCTGCCCTTCTCCTCCCTCTCTTCTTCCCCTCCCCCCACTTCCTCCCTCATTTCTCCCCCTCTCCCCACTTCCCCACTCTCATCCTCCCCTCCCCGCACTTCCATCCCCACCTTCTCTCCCAATCTCTCATCGACGTCTTGCCCCACTTCCTCCCCACCTTCCTCCTTCACTCCCTCCCTCAAACCCTCGTCCACTTCCTCCCCCAATCCCTCCTGCACGTCTTGCTTACCCAACCGGTTTCGTACCCGTCTCAGCAGCATGCCCACAAGGCCTACCCTCTCCATCATATCCCTAGCGCCTGTCATATCCTCTCCAACTGTTGTATCCACCGCAGTCAACCCCACTGCACCCACTGCACTCCCTGCATCCTCCTCTTCCACGTCGATGCACATCCTTTCCTTCTCCTCCTCTCTCCTCTCCGTCGTTTCCCTCTCCTTCTCGTCGTCCCCTTGCTCCTTCATCCATGTAACATCCAAACCCAAGTGTTCCTGATTTCCCTTGCTGCTGTTGGTATATACACAATCCTGAGACGTCTCAATCCTTCTTACAGCAATCTCACCTCCCTCTGATGCTTCACTCTCTGTTTCGACACCTGCAGCTGCTCCCCCCTTTCTACTGCTCTCAGCATCATCACCAGCACCCTCAAAAGTAAAAGCCTCTGGACTGAAGGCGGCCAAGGTATCAAACAACACCTCTTTCTCGTTATTATCATTCTCCGAACACTCGCAACCCTTCCCAGTCGCCTCAAAGAACACTTGTTCGGTGCTAAACGGGCTTTCAAACCCCTCTCGAGCCGAGTCAAACAAATCCTCAGCAGAAGCAGAGTCAGCAGGGCTCGCAAACCCCTCCCCAGCTGAATCGAACAAATCCTGAGCGGCAGCACAGTCAGCTGGGCTGTCAAACCCCACCCGAGCAACAGCACAGTCAGCAGGGCTCGCAAACCCCTCCCCAACTGAATCGAACAAATTTCGAGCAGCAGCAGAGTCTCCAGGGCTTGGAAGCCCCTCCTGAGTCAACTCAACGGAACCTTGAGCCGAGTCAGCAGAGGTTTCAAACCCCTCCCGAGCTGAATCGAGCAAGTCCTGAGCAGAAGCAAAGTCAGCAGGGCTTGGGAGCCCCTCCTGAGTCGACTCAGCCGAAACATGAGCCGAGTCAGCAGGGCTTGCAAACCCCTCCCCAGCTGAATCGAGCAAGTCCTGAGCAGAAGCAAAGTCAGCAGGGCTTGCAAACCCCTTTTGAGTCGACTCAAAGGACCCCTGTTCAGAATTATTGGGGCTCTCCGTAGAACCAACCTCGGCCATTGCATAATCTGCCATTGCCACTACCGCTGCTGCTTCAGAGTCAGCAGGACTCGCAAGCCCCTCCTGAGTCGGCTCAAAGGACCCTCGTTCAGAGTTGTTGGGATTCTTAGCAACCTCTGCCGCTGCATAATCTGCAGTGAGCTGATCAGCTGCTACTGCCACTAACGCTGCTGGTGCTGCTGCTTCTTTTCCTCCTCCTGCTCCTGCGGTTGAGTTCCCATCAGCTCCTTCTCTCACTTCTACTCCTGCTGCTACAGAGCAGCTCGTTCCTGTTCCTTCAATTTCCTCTTCTCCTGCTTCTACTGCTCCTTTTGCTCCTGCTTCTGCTCCTGCTGATTTCACTTCTGCTCCTGCTGCTTCCTCTTCTGCTCCTGCTGCTTCCTCTTCTGCTCCTGCTGCTTCCTCTTCTGCTCCTGCTGCTTCCTCTTCTGCTTCTGCTGCTTCCTCTTCCGCTCCTACTCCTGCTTCAGCTGCTTCTGCTGCTTCTGCTGATGCTTCTTCTGCTGCTTCTGCTACTCCTGCTCTTGCTGCCCTTACTGCTGTCTCTCCTGCTGCAACTGCTTCCTTTAATTGTGTCTCTGCTGCATCATATGCCTCGCATTGAATCGTATCCGCTCTTTCAAAAGCTGTAGCCAAGGAACAGGCGACTGCATCAGCTGTCTCTGCAGTCTGTTCTGTGGCTTGTTTGCTCCCAGCTGCGACAGCTGCCTCTGATTCCACCTCAGCCGCTTCGTCTGCCTCGCATTGGAGTATACCCGCGCTTTCAAGTCCTGTTGTCACCAAACATTGGTCTGCATCAGCAAACCTGTTATCAGCTGTCTCTACCGCATCTACTCTCTCAACATCTGACACTTCTCCTGTTCTCACCTCTGCTACTGTCCCTGACGCAGCCACTCCCTCATGCTGCCTACAGAACAGCGACTTCTCTCCTTTTTCCTGCGAAACCTCTTCATCTGCCCTTATCTCACCCTCCTCATTCTCCTCCACCCCTTCTTCCTCCTTCTCCTCTTCGTCAACTCCCTCCTCTCTCTCACAACTACCATCCTCCTCCTCCCCATCCTCCCCTTCCTCCCCTCCATCCCCATTCCCACTTCCCTCTCCACCATTCCCCTCGTCATCGCCCTCCCCTCCATCACCCTCCTCCCCATCATTGCCCACTCCGCCTGCCCCACCTACTCCCCCTTCTCCCCCTGCTCCCCCTCTGCCTGTTCCATTGCTCTCTCCCCCTTTTCCCCTTCTGCCCTCGCCTCCCTCTCCTCCTTCCCCACCATTCCCGTCCCCTGTCCCTTCCCTCTCTTCCCCCTCCCTCGTTTCTCCCTCCATCTCTTCCTCTTCCCTCTCTTCCCCCAACTCGTCTTTCCCCTCCAACGCCTGTGAAGGCCCAACTTGGCATCCCCCACGCGCAAGAGACAGGGGCAGCAGCTGCTGAGGCCCCTCAAACGCTTCACCCTGCCTTTGAGAGATCTCCTGAGGCCCAACCTCACGTCCTCCCCGCGCCATGGACAGGGGCAGCAGCTGCTGAGATGTTCCATACCGAGCAGCACCGCAGTCCACACCAGACCTAGCCTCACATCCCTCCCGCGCCATGGCCAAGGGCAGCTGCGGCAGCGCTTCAAAGGAAGGACTCTGAGCCTGCCTTGGAGATGTTCCCAAAGGAGCAGCACCAGCGGCGTTCATACGCCCAGCTTCGCGTCCCCCCCGCGCCATAGCCAAGGGCAGCAACAACACACACTCTTCACTTGACCCCCTCTCACGCAACCAGGGAGACTGGTGAGCCAACTCCCATTCCTCCCTGCCCACGCTTCCCAGGCCCTCAGACACAGCGGTCGGAGCTGTGGCGAGTGACAAGGCAAGATGATGGGTGGTGTGCCGGGTGTTGTGGAAAAGAAGGGTGTTTCTCACCACAGAGTGCTGGTGGGGCAGTGGCAGGCCGTCTCGTTTCCGCTTGTGCCCAGTCAGGGGCCCAGAGAGCGGGCGGTGAGGGGAAGCTGCGGCTGATAGAGCCTCTGATGCTGCTGCCATTGCTACAACAGGTCCCGAGGACGGCCGCCAATGCGCCACTGGCCGACCTCCTCCTGTACGTGCTGCTGGTAGCTCGGCTGTTGGCTCGGCTGGTGGCTCTGCTGGTGACCCTGCTGCCAGATCTGATGCTGCCGGCCCTGCTGCCAACTCTGATGCTGCTGCTGATTCTGCTGCCGGTGGTGTTGCTGCCAACGCTGCTGCTGCATTTGCTGCTGGTGGCTCTGCTGAACCTGGCTCTGCTGCTGCTGCTGCTGCTCCGCCTGCCAGCAGACCTCCTCCCTTCGAATCCACGCCCATCTGCCTCTCTTCCCACTTCTCCCGTCTGGACGACACCCCAACCCCAGCAGCCCCCAGTAACGCTGTGAGCGTTATTATGTCCAGAATCGGCGAATCACCGCTTGCCAGCTCAGCCTCTCCTTCCATCTCCAGCCATTCGTGCACCAGGCTATGAAGATCCTTACACTCCCCTTTCTCCTCCTCCTCCTTTACCCTCCCCCCTTGTCTCCCCCCGTTCGCCTCCTCTCTCTCCTCCCCTTCTTCTCCCTCCTCTTCCTCAATCGGTTCAACAAGCCCCTTACTCCTCACTGACCGTTCCCCACGGCTTCGCTTGCTTCTTCCCTGGCTGCTCCCTTTCCTTCTCCCCATCGAGTCCACTGCAAGCCTGTCCTCGTTATGGAGGGCCTCACAATCCTGCTGCTGACTGTGCGACTTCTGTAACGATACCAGCATCGCAAGAAGATTGTTTCGGTTCCCCACGAAGCTGCCCCCCTCGATGCTGCTCCTCTCAGTGCTCCTCCTCTCACCAGCCCTGCTGCTGCATGTGCCCAAGTCACGTGCCCTTCGTCCGTTGCCCAACTCACCACAACCCCTGCTCGTGCTCCTGCCCAAATCCCCACCATCCCTGCTCTTGCTCTGGCTCAACTCCTCACTACCCATGCTGCTCCTGCTACCTCTACCGAACCACCCCCTGCCACTGCCTTTGCTGCCAGCCTTGCCTGAGCTCCTGTGGTTACTTCCTCCCTTGCCTTTACTTGCATGGCTGCGTCTGCTATCAGCGCTGTTCTGTCTGCTGTTTCTGCTGCTGTTGTTTCCGCTGCTGCTGCTGCTGCTGCTGTTGCCATTCTGCCCGCTGCTACTCCTGCTTCTGCTGCCGCTATGCCTGCTGCTACCATTCTGCGTGTTGCTAATTGGGAAAACACTGCTTTGGCCGCCCCCATCTGTCCTACTGGCAGATCCACTGGTGCTGAACCGAGCATGGCTACTCGCTTCCTCACACATCATACCCACCTCAGTTAAGGCCTTAACTTCCATCCTCCGCTCCTCCACACCCCCCTGCTTCAAAACACTCCCCTGTGTCGTAACACCGTCATACTCAACCACACTCCTCCCCGGACCTTCCGTCCTCGCTTCCCCTCTTCCTCCTTGCTTCAGACCGTCTCTCTGTCTCAACAGCCCCACGCCCCAGCCGTAACTAGAGGCTTGAGACGCCTCACCACTCGAGCTGGCCCCACCGTGGTCACTCAAATGCTCGCTTCCTCCGTTCTTCAGGGCGTCGTCAAGCCTCAGAAGCCCCACGCCCCACCCGTAGCTGACTCCTTCTGCAAGCCCTCCCAGTCCCAGAGCCCTCTCCTCTAGCGACAAACTCTTGCTCAATTTTCTGTTCTGCAAAGTGGCACGTCTCGCAGAGTCACACCCGGCAGAGTCACACCCGGAAGTGTCACGCCCGGCAGAGTCACATCTGGCAGTGTCACATCCGCCAGAGTCACACCTGGCAGTGTCACACTCAGCAGTGGCACATCTGGCAGTGCCGTACCTGCTGCCGCCTCTGAGTCTCAGCGCCCCATGCCATGCCGCGTGGTTCCTCCCTTCGTCCAGTGCGTTTGGAGGGAGGCTGAACTCGCTAAAGCTGCTCATCCTGCTGCTGCCCACTGCCATGCCGGACCCTGCCGACCTGTACCCGGCTGTAGCAGCACTGGGAAGAGCGCTGCTACAACCGGATCTTCCTACAGCTGCTGTGACGGCTTCGGAACCTGCTGCTGAAGATGGTGCTGCTCTTTGCCGTGCAGGCAGAGCGGGAGAAAGGGTCGACGAGGACGGACTGTAAAGGGTTTTGGAGGATAGAGAGCGGTTTGAGGGCGATATTGGGCGGTACAGGGAGAACGGGCGGTGTAGAGAGTGGGCGGTGGAAGCAGGGGTGTTGAGGAAGGAGTGTGGGAGCGGGTGGGGGCCTGGAGTGGTAAAGCGAGAGGGATGATTGGAGGAAGGGGTGGAGTCAGCAGAGAATGGAGGGAGATGGAAGGGGAAGGGAAAGGGGAAGGGGAACGGGAAAAGGGAAAGATGTGCAGATGGGGTGGGAGAAAGGGACGGGGATGGGACAGGGAGGACGGATGCTGCGGCGGTGGTGGTGGTGCTGGCGGCTAAGGGAGGGGAGTGCGTGAGGGGGAGTGTGAAGGAAGAGGAGGAAGGGTGCGATGATGACATGTCTTCTAGACACTGATCACCATCCTTTTCCTCTGCTCCAATCGCCTCCTCCCCTTTAGCCCTTCCATCTGCTCCATCCGCTTCCTTCCCTTCAACTCTTTTCTCTGCTCCATCCGCTTTCTCCCCTTCAGCTATTTCCTCTGCTCCATCCGCTTCCTCTGCTCCAACCCATACCTCGGCTTCAGCCCTTTGAGGCGCCTCAGAAATCTCCTGACAGACAAAACCAGCCACATTCCTCGCCAACAGACCCTCCTCCGCCCCAACCCTTTTCCCCGCTCCCTGCCTGTCCCTTTCGCCCCATTGCTCCTTCACCTCCGCTGATCCTTCCCCGAACATTCCCACAGACGCACCAACCAGCAGCGGCGGCGGCTGCAGCAATGTGAAAGCGCGCTCTCGTTCCCCTCCTCCAAACCCCACCCCTCCTCCTCCTGCCACTTCAACTTCTGCTGCGTGACCCATACCCGCCGATCTCACCCTCCTCATTCCCCGAGGGTGCTTCCGGTCCTGATCCGCCGCCCTTGGACTCGTCTCCACCGCCCCTGCCCTCGCCTCCTCTGCCCTAACGGAAGTTCTCTGCGAAATTCCCGAAACCTCTTCTGCCATGATCTGAAGTGCGTCGACTGAATCTAACTGCATCTGCTTTCCTAGCTCGAGGCATGTGTCGTCCTCACCCTCTTTCCCATTCATTTCCCCCTCACCGTCTGTTATTTTAGCATCCCCTATATGAGCAGCCCCGCGAAGAACCACAACACGGTCTACACTCACAGCATCATCACTTCCTCCAAAAGTCCCCTCTATCCGTTTTATACACACCACCCCCTCTTCCCTCTCCTCTCCCTTTTCCTCTTCCTTTTCCTCTTCTTCTATTTCAATCCCCTCCCTCTCCTCCACCCCTTCCTCCTCCCGTCTTTTCAGGGCCAGCGCAGCTTCCAGCGCATCTATCCCCATCAGATAAATCCCTTCACTATCGGACGGCTGAGATTGAGACACGCGGGGTACACTATCCTGAGCAAATAGACCAGCACCCCGAGCCAGCTGGGGGTTAGACGGGTCGTTGGGATTTGAACCGCAGCTTTTAGCTAGTAGGACTCCACGAACCTCCTTCTCTCCTGCTTCTGCTTCTGTCCGTGCTGCTGCTTCTGTTCCTGCCCGTGCCTCTGCCCCAGCTGATGCCTCTCCCCTAGCCGTGGCTTGCTCTGCTTGCTTCACCAACATCCCCGAATCAGCGACCCTATGTGCGCTATGCTTCTGTCCATACCCCTCTCTATACACCCCTCTGTGTTCGCTTCCGTGTGTCCGTTTCCGCGGTATTTGCTGCCCTTCCGCTGCTGATTGCCGCCCCTGCTGCGCGCAAGCCATTGTCAGCGCCTGCGCCGCAAGTACCTCGAAGACGCTCTGAGATGGGCTGCTGTGGAAGTCGGGGAATGCGGGGGGGAAGAAGGGAGGTGAGGGGGGACACTTTTGAGACGTCTCAAAAGCAAGCCATTGTCAGCGCCTGCGCCGCAAGAACCTCAAAAGACGCTCTGAGATGGGCTGCTGTGGAAGTCGAGGAATGAAACACATAAACGGACACAGGATGCGCGGGGGGAAAGGGGGGGGGGGAGAAAATGTGAGGGAAGAAACACACGTGACGAATGGTGGGGACGGAGGAGACGGGGTGGGCGTTTCTCTTCCCGTCTTTATGAATGTAGGATGTAGAATGTGGTGTACATCAATAGGTAGGACGTATTCAGGTGTCTTACATGTGAGGCGGCTCCCATTGGTGACAAACTCTTCTAGATTGGAGGTAGCTCGGCGCGTAGTGACCGTACGAGTCCTGGGCTTGCAGTTGGGAACACCAAATGATCCCCGAGCCAGGAGGGACTAGACGAAGAGTGAGAGGAACGGACGGAGGCTCGGCGGACAGCGAGCTTCGGAGTTTGCCCAGGTTCGGCAGGCAAGGCGAAGAGTCGTGGGACGGAGAGGGGTGGGTCTTGCTGTTGGTTCGCCGAGGCGACAATTACAGTGGGTATTGACAATTATCCAAGAGGGAAGGAGGTGGGGATATAGTGGGGAGAAATTAAGGAGGTGAGTAATCAATGTCAGAAAACCTTTGAATAAACAGAAACACTTAATCGGTAAGTAGATGGAAGGAAGCGAGCTCTAACGAAAATGAGATCAAGCCACTTACTTTTGGACGTTAACAAGCTGTCGTATAAGAGACGCAAAGGTCGTCTTGGACACGTGCCGAGGCAGGTGTTTATCTGATGCTGCGACGTCTTCTTTGCGCTCCTGCGACGACCGTCGAAAGGACGCGCTTTCGTGACGTCGCGACGAAGTGTCAGTAACATCGCTAGTAAGTGGTACTGTAGTCATTGTTAAGTAAGCTCAACAGAAGGGCTTCAGGTTAAGTTAAGAGGTAAAATACTACGAAGAGCAGTGGAGTCTTGAAGTTGGTTGCATTATTGTGAACGAAGTAGAAGCAGACCTATCCCAGGTTCAGTAGTTAGCGACGTTAGACGAGTAGACCTATTTCAGGTTCAGTAGTTAGCGACGTTAGACAAGTACTTCCCAAGTCGGAAGATGATATGAATATAGTAAGTTAGGCTGAACTATAAGCGGTTGACGCACCGCTTACGCAGTAACGTTAGCGTGAAATGCTACAGGACTAAGACTCCCAGGCTGCACTAGAAGTTCAAGAAAGCAGCTGGGAACTTTTGATGCTCCTACGTAGTGCTTCTGAAACTGACACCTTGGAATCACCCACAGAAATCAGCCTTCAGAATCACCTTGCTCAAAAATGACGAGCCATCTCCCTGACGTGAGTGCTGCTCAGGAGGAAGAGCAACAGCAGCAGTCACTGGTGCTGCTCGCAATGTTGCGCTGTTCTGGAGTTCCCAAGACCTGAAACTGAAAGGTTCAGCGGAACCTAGAGACTCCCACAAAATGTTCCAAACCTGGAAATCAGGCTTGAAAAGAGGCGCCAAAGCTGCAAAGGTTCGCTAGGCTGCTTCTGATTCGTTGAGAGGTGATGTAGCGAATTTGTTACCAGGGCAGGAGCCCACGATTGACTGCTGAACGCAGCCGCAACAGGTCTGCGGGCAGTTGTTGCAGGCGAGGGATGAGAAGTGGTTACTCTGTCGTCGTATGGAGTATTCGCGAATGTCTTCTGTGCTCGCATTTGTCGGTCATGCCAAAATGTCCTGCGAGGATTCGTCGCAACCGATTCGCGAACGAACTTGGTCTGTCGTGCACTCCCACGCCAAAGAGGAGCACGCCACGTCGCTGGCTGTGGGTTTGGTCGGAACCTCGTGCGAAGCGCCCAGGCCTGCACGAGCCCACAACAAGGTGGCATTCACCATTCGAGCTACTTCGGTTCTGTACACATTGTTCTCACTTCATTGCGCTACATGAGTTTCTGAATGAAACTGGAAAACAGGTAAGTGAACGAGAATTGCACTACCGATCTTCCCTTGATTCAACCGTTCGATGAATGGCTCTCCGCCATGGCTCCTTCTGAGAACTTCAACTTACTCAATGTCATGCTTAGCTCTATCAGTTCGACCATCTGAATACAGATCCGGGATCTACTCATCAAGAGCTTGTTTATGACGCCAACATTGTGTTCACAGAGCGAACATCGGTTAGTCGTAACTGCTTCTATGAAGATCTCTGTTTTTCAGGTTAAGCAACTGTTTTTAAGCTCAAGACATTCAAGTTACTCTAAGGAAGTTAAAATGGTCGGGTCAAACCGTCGCTTAAGATGGCACCGTGAAAACAAGACAGGTTCAAGACAAAGAAGCGGAAAGTGCAAGTACAAGGAGGCTGGACAACGGAACATATTTCGTTTATCTGCCTTTGCTGCGATTCATCGTCTACCAAAGAGAGAGGAAGCTCATAGTCAAGTGCAGAGACCACCTCAATCACTAGCAGGAACGATCAAGGATGGACCAGAGCCAATTTTCCATCAGATTGAATTTATGACGTCGGCGGAACGGGACGTTTCACGAAATTTTGGCACGGCTCCTAGAGTATTTCAAGACGTTGACTATTTTCCTACTGGAATGTGTGAAGAAGGTTATTCCGACTTTAAGATTCTGAAGAACAGGAAGACAGAAGTCGATTCTGGAATTTTCCCTACGTTACAAGAAGCATATTTTCATTTGGAGGAAATAGATGACGCCGTCAGAGTGTTTCGGCGCCATGAATCAAGGCAAGCTACTCGAGGTGTTTTTCCCTCTGAAGGTGTTTTGCTCTCAGCTGCTCCTATCACACCGCTCACACAAGCTCGAACGACTGCAAGTGTGACTGGAAACATTCGTCGTCCCCAAGGCCCTGTCAGGCATCAACTTCTAAGCAGGGCAATTTCTCCTGTAACCCAACTCCACCAATCTCAGCAAGGCAAGGTCAGAGCCAATCGACCAAGGCTGAAGCGTCACATTCGTCACCAAGGCCTTGTTCAGCAGCGGCGACCCAGAGCTGCTTCTGTCGCAAACCAACCTCACCAGACCAGGGAAGGCAGGTTCGGAGGAGCCAAGCCACCAAAGCTAAAGCGACAAAACCAACATGAGGAATGTATCGAGATGCTTCTGCAAGTACTGAAGTGTGACAACGGCACAATAGGTTTTTGTGGCGGGCAAGCTGAAATGTTTAGGCGTTTGGTCTATAAGCCTCCGTAGAGATCAGGGAGGGTACGGTAGTATACACTACCTATGCCCTCTAGCACCGGTTACGACCGTGGTGTTTTTGCATTGTACGTGTATAGTGCATATTTCACCTACCAAAAAAAAAAAAAAAAAAAAAAAAAAGGAAAACAGGTAAGTGAACAAATAAAAGTCATCGGCATCCATGTAGAACTACTCAGCTAGCTCTGCCAGCTCGAGCCACCTATCTGATTTCGCCTCTATAGCCTGTCCCAGCGCAGCAAGCTCATCGGACAACCCTTGGAGCATCGCAAAATCTCCCGCCTTGCTCTTCTCCTCCAGCTGTGCCTCAACCGCCACCTTTTTCTTCTCCAACTTCTCAATCTCCTTTTCCAACCGCTCCCACTCCTTCCTCTCCATATACGACATCTTCCGAGCCGACTTCCCTTTCACCTTAATCCCACCTGAACCTGCTCCCTCCTCCCCCTTCCTCCGCTCCTCAGCCACACTCTTTGCTTCAGCCTCCTTCCTCCTCTCCTCCTCCGCAACCCTCTCCTTCTCCTCTTTTTCCATCTCCGCTTTTTGCTCCTGCGCGTCAGCGAGATATTCCGAGAACAGCCCGTCGTAAAGCAACACCTGTCCGTCCCCTTGCAGCACGAACTGGCGGTCAACCACCGCATCCATGAATGCCCGGTCGTGGGAGGCCACTAGCAGACAGCCCTCGTACGCTGAGAGGAATGACTCCAGAGCCTGGGGAAGGACAGAAGCAGGGGTGTTGAGCACACGCACACAATGATGTTCACCAGCATACCGAGAACAACCGTGCCATCCCCACGTGCCTCAGCAAGCAAGCAGCTGCAGTGGCTAGAAGGTACCTCGATGGTTTGTCAGCCCAGGTCGTTGGTGGGTTCATCAAGCATGAGGAAGTTGGGCCGCTGCACCAACACTGCTGTCTCAAACACAGGCACACCCTTGCTCTTCACCAACATACCTAGAACAAGCAGCTGCGTTGTCAGTGCCTACAAGGCTCACCTCAATGGTCTGCAGGTCAAGATCGTTGGTGGGCTCGTCCAGCATCAGGCAGTTGGGTCTCTGCGCCAACACTGCTGTCTCAAACACAGAGACACACACTTGTGCCTACAAGGCTCACCTCTATGGTCTGCAAGTCGAGGTCGTTGGTGGGTTCATCCAGCATGAGGAAGTTGGGTTGCTGCGCCAAGACTGCTGTGCAGAAGACTGCTAGGCAGAAGTGCCTAGAGTGCATACCTCGATGGTTTGTAAGTCGAGGTCGTTGGTGGGCTCATCCAGCATGAGGAAGTTTGGGCGCTGCGCCAACACTGCTGCCAGTAACAGCCGCCGTTTCTCCCCTCCACTCAGCTTTGACGCCCTGATGTGCAGGAAAGCGGGGGACGGGGAGATGAGTAGAACGAAAGAAGAGGCAGGGCGGCGCAGTGAGGAGGCATGAGGAAGTTTGGCCGCTGCGCCGACACTGCTGCCAGCAGCAGCCGCCGTTTCTCCCCTCCACTCAGCTTCGACGCCCGGATGTGTGGGCATGGCTGGGGTGCAACAGTGATACAATGAAGGGACAGGTCAGTACAATGGAGACACAAATGGACACGTAGGAGGGAGGAACGTGAGGGAAACGGAGGAAGAACATATTCAAGGAGCGGAGGGAGCCTACTAAGGTGAACCGAATGTATTAGGCCCACTGACATATTGAGTGCCAACGATGGGAAAGCAGGGTCTCACCAGGCGTACTGCTTCGCCCGGGGAAATCCAAACCGCTCCAGAAGCTCCGAAGCGGAAACAGGCTCGTCCGAATCACTCCCTCCAGACATAGAAGCCCCACCCGAACCAGCAGCAACGGGAGAAGAACTAGAGGCAGAACCATCACCAGCAGCAGCAGCGGCAGCTGCAGCAGGGATGGAGCCCCAGGAGCCGAGGACAGCAGCTGTCGGGTTGAAGTTTTGAACAAAGTCGAGAACTCTCATGTTGTCCGGCACGGGGGGCATGTGCTGTGTGTAATAGCCCATCACCACCGTCTCCCCCACATCTCTGGTACCCGATGGGAGAGGCAGCAGCCCTGCCAATGCATCTAGGAACTGAAGGGAGGGAAGGGGTGGGGGGCAGAGGGGAAAGAGACAATCTTGTAAGAGGAAGAGGGACAAAAGACGAGGGAGGAAAGTGGAAAGGAGTGAGGAGAGCGGGAGGGAAGAAGGGGCGAGAGAGAGAAGGAGAAAAGAGAAGAATACCGATGACCCCAGAAAATTGGGTTAAGTTAAGCCGATCCATGAAGAAGAAGAAGAAATTTGTGGCTAGTTGAGGTAAGGTGCTTACAGTGGGTGTAATGAGTCGAGTTTTGAGTCGACTCAAAACTCGAAAATTGTGGCTAGTTAAGGTAAGGTGCTTACAGTGGTCTTCCCTGCTCCGTTTCGGCCCACCACTCCCAGCCGATCCCCGCGACCAAACTCATACCTGACGGTATGCCGCGGGGAGAGCATGCAAGAGGATGGGGGACAAGGGGGCCAAGACAGGGCATGAGGGCATGGAGGGATGTTTTTTGAGGCGCCTCAAAATGCGACCAAACTCATACCTGACGGTAGGCCGCGGGGAGAGCATGCAAGAGGATGGGGGACAAGGGGGCCAAGACAGGGCATGAGGGGATGTAGGGATGGGGGCCATGGGGGATACGGGAGGTATTTATGCGTGCAAGCTCCCGTATGGACATGGAAGAGTTGTGCAAACTGGGGAGAAGGAGGCCAAGACAGGGCATGAGGGGATGGAGGGATGGAGGGCATGCGGAATACGGGAGGTATTTGTGCGTGCTGGGGACATGGAAGAGTTGTGCAAACTGGGGAGAAGGAGGCCAAGGCAGAGCGTGATAAGCCGAGTTTTGCAAGCTCATCGGAGTCGACTCAAAACTCGACTTATCACACTCTGCAAGCTCCCGTATGGACATGGACTTTTGAGACGTCTCAAAACTCAAAACTCGACTTATCACACTCTGCAAGCTCCCGTATGGACATGGAAGAGTTGTGCAAACATCTCAGGGACATGTGACAAGGGGGCTAAGGTAGAGGACATGGGTAAACACGGTGCCTCATCTCAGTTTTGACGCGCATAGAAAACTGAGATGAGGCACCGTAACTGGCCGTAACTAGCACCCTGGGAGAGAGATTTGATGCTGCATATGTATTCTGAGATTTGATGCTGCATATGTATTCTGAGAATTCTCAAAATACATGCCCATAACCCACACCCCCATCCTTCCCCACCACAACCCCTTCCCCTACACTCATGTGAACCCTTCAAACGCAGGGGTCTCTCCTCGCGTTGCCGTCGCATCTCTCAGCTCCATCCAACACCTTCCCATCCCACACACAGCTCCCTCAGCCGTACAACCAACAGCCACAGCCCACCAAGTAATCACACCCCCATCCTCCCCCATCCGCCTCCCCACACTCACGTGAACCCTTCAAACACAGTGCTCACTCCCCTCATGGCCGTCGCATCTCTCAACTCCTGCACCTTCCCACCCCACACACAGCACACAGCCGTGATACCAACAGCCACAGTCCACCAAACAATCACATCCCCATCCCTTCCCATCCCTCCCAACCCGCCTCCACCGCACTCACGTGAACCCTTCAAACACGGTGCTCTCTCCCCTCATAGCCGTCGCATCTCTCAACTCCAGCACCTTCCCATCCCACACACAGCACACAGCCGTGATACCAAGAGCCACAGTCCACCAAACAATCACATTCCCATCCCTTCCCATCCCTCCCAACCCTCCCCCACCGCACTCACGTAAACCCTTCAAACACGGTGCTCTCTCCTCGCATCGCCGTAGCATCTCTCAACTCCAACACCTTCCCACCCAGTCGTGCCTTCCCCATACCCATCTCCACCACACTCCCCACCGCCGCCTGCTGCTGCCGCTGCCTTTTCTCCGCCGTTGCTTTAGTAAGCGCCAAAAACCGGTCGATTCTCGACCGGGACTTAGTCGATCTAGCTTTCGGCATTCGCCGCATCCACTCCCCCTCCCGCCGCAGCGTGTTTGCTGCCCGGCCAATCGCGGCGGCTTCTTCGACCGCCCGCTTCACCCGGGCAGCCAAAAAGTTTGTGTAGTTGCCCGAGTGGCGGAAGGAGGTCCCCCGGTCGATCTCGAGCATTTGAGTGCAGACGGCGTCGAGAAAGTAACGGTCGTGGGAGACGAGGACGACGGTGAGAGAGGGGTCGGAGAGGGCGGATTGCATCCAATCAATGACTGCCACGTCCATGTGGTTGGTGGGCTCCTGGTGAGGGGGAGGGTGGGTGGAGGAGGAGACGGAATTAGGTTCTTTCAGGTTCAGGGGTAGGGTTGAGGCGAGGAATATGAGTGGGCGTCTGGGTGAGAAGCCACCAAGGGTGTCATCTCGAGCATTTGCGTGCAACGGCATCGAGAAAGTAACGGTCGTGAGAGACGAGGACGACGGTGAGAGAGGGGTCGGAGAGGGCGGATTGCATCCAATCAATGACCGCCACGTCCATGTGGTTGGTGGGCTCCTGCGGTCAGTGGGTAGAGTGGTGGGTGGGGGATTGAAAACGTGATGGACAGTGGGAAGGGGCAGGGCGACATTCAATCAATGACCGTCACGTCCATGTGGTTGGTGGGCTCCTAATGGTGAGGAGTGGCAAAGAGCAATGGGGTGGCAGGAGGGGATTCAAGGAGTAATGGAGATAGAGGGAGAGGAAAAGGAGTGGGGGATCTGGGTAAGGGGGAGTGGTGAATGCAGAATTCTTTGAATCTTGCCCTTGATCAGGCAGGAAGAGGCGGAGAGGCAGAGGCGGAGAGGAAGAGGCGGAGAGGCAGAGGCGGAGAGGCAGAGGCGGAGAGGCAGAGGCGGAGAGGCAGAGGCGGAGAGGCAGAGGCGGAGAGGCAGAGGCGGAGAGGCAGAGGCGGAGAGGCAGAGGCGGAGAGGCAGGCAGATCGACTCACATCGAGAATGATGAGCTCTGGTTTCTTTGAGGTCTTAGCTGTCCACCTCTCCCTCAATCCTTCTCTTCCACACTCACTTTGACAAAGCCACTCCCTCCTCTCCCTCCCTCATTTTTTCTCCTCGTAATGCACATCAACAAATGCACTCACACTGACACAGCCACTCACATCGGCAAAGCCCACTCACATCGAGAATGATCAGCTCTGGTTTCACCAGCAGCGTCGCAGCCAGGGGGCCACCCGCCCTCTTCCACTCCTCCTCTCCCTCCTTTCTCTTCCTATCTCTCCCTTTCCCTCAATCCCTCTCTTCCCTGCCTCGCATCACGCACAAAGCCACTCACATCGAGAATGATCAGCTCTGGCTTTGCCAGCAGCGTCGCAGCCAGGGCCACTCTCTTCTTCTGCCCGCCACTAAGCGACGAAACTTGCCGCTCCATAATCCCCCCGCCACCACCGCCACCACCGTTGGTGAGAGCAGCGTCCCCCAGCCCGAGGATCTCCAGCAGCTTCTCTGCTTCTGCCACCACGTCCCATGCCCCCATCGCCTCCACCCCATCCATGGCCCGCTGCAGCGCTGCTGCCTCCGAGGGGGTGGGGTCTGGTGGTTTGGGGTTTGGGGTTTTGAGGGGTAGGGTTGAGAGCGTAGGGGAGGGGGGTTGAATAATGAGCAACCCTCTTCCCCGCCTCTGCCACCACGTCCCATGCCCCCATCGCCTCCACCCCATCCATGGCTCGCTGCAGCGCTGCTGCCTCTGAAGAGGGGTGGGGTCTGGTGGAAGCACCGGGGGGGGGGGGGGGCGGGAGGAGGGGGTGGGTGAAGGGGTTCAAGGGGGGTTTAGGGTGTAGGGAGGTAGATGTGAGCTACTTTTGAGAATTCTAAAAAGTAGATGTGAGCTGCTCCGCCTCTGCCACCACATTCCATGCCCCAATGGCCTCCAACCCATCCACTTCACTACCACACGCATACTGCGCTTACCCCTGCTTTCATCCCCTTTATAAGCCGCCCCACAACACACACCTCGGCTCTTCATCCTCTGCGCTGCTCGCTCGGATTCCCTCGCAGCGCACATGGCAGCATTGTCTGCTGATAGCCCCCCCTCTCCCCTCACCCCTGCTTCCATCCCCTATATAAGCCGCCCCACAACACACACCTCGGCCTTTCATCCTCTGAGCTGCTCGCTTGTACTCCCTCACAGCACGCATGGCGGCATTGTCCAATGATAGCCCTGCCAACCAATGCCCCTTCCCCTCACCCCTGCTCTCATCCCCTTTACAAGTTGCTCCACAACCACAAACCGTATTCACACACGCACCTCGCCCCTTCATCCTCTGTGCTGCTCGCTCGTACTCCCTCACAGCACGCATGGCCGCATTGTCCGCTGACAACACCGCGTCTAGAAGTGACAGAGACGCGGGTAGGTCCGGATCCTGGTGATTTTAGGGTAGTGGGTTTCGGGGTTATGAAATGCAGTGAGTACTCCCTCACAGCACGCATGGCGGCATTGTCTGCAGATAGTACTGCGTCTAGAAGAGACAGAGACGCGGGTAAATCGGGGTCCTGTTTAGGGTTCGGGGTTCGGGGTTTGGGGTTTGGGGTTCGAGAGTTGGGGTTGGGGGTTAGGGATAAAGGAGGGCATGGAAAAGTGTTGACAACCTTATGTGCACAGAAATAAGCGGGCAGGTCTGGATCCCGGCGGGCAGGTCCGGACCCCGGTTTACACAACAACCTTATGTGCCTAAAGATAAGAGCAGCTAGGGTCGGACCGGCCGTGTAGTTATTGTTGAATTCACCTGAGCGAGAAACGCCAGGTTCAGGTGCCGCCGGCGCTGCACCTTGCCCTTATCAGGTGCGTCCATCCCCGCTAGTATCCTCAGCAATGTGCTTTTACCGCATCCGTTCCGCCCCAGCAGCCCCAGCTTCTGCCCTCTGCTTACAGTCACATCCAGCCCCTCGAAAAGAACGTCCATTCCGAAGCTCTTCGCCAGCCCTTCCCCCGATATAAGCGCCTCCCCGCCTCCGCTCGCGCCGGGCCTAGGCGCAGCGGGCGCGGATGCGGGGGAGGCGGAAGCTCCACCCGGGGCATTTGACGCTGCAGCGGTTGTGATGCGGCTAGAGCGGGATTGCCTACGAGTTTGGAGGGTGCGCAGAGCGGAATGGGGGGACGCGGAACCGGGGATAGCGGAACGCGGGGAGGTGGAACTGGGGGAAGCGAAAGGGGAAGCGGGGGGTGCGCGCATTCCCCCGGCTGCGCCTGGCGTCGCGGCAGTTACAATCCTGCTAGAGCAGGACCGCCGGTTTCCAGAATCCCAGGGACCATTTCGCCGCGGCATAAGCAGCGGCAGCGGCAATGGCGCTAAGACGAGGCTACGACTCGACATGAGGCTACTATTAGAAATGCTGGATTGTGCGGAGGATCGAGAAATGGGTAGACCAGGCTGACGGTCCGAGCGAATGCAGAGGGACGGTGGCGATATTGAGCAATTATGGCAGTGAGATAATAGCGACAGCTGGGTGTAGAGAGGCATGGCGTCTGTAGTTATTTGCTAGTGTCAAAAGCCAGCCGTACACCTACAGTGGCCCGCTATCCGTATACTGGTGAGATTTGGAACACCAGGCTTTGATTAGCAGGTGATGGAGGGAAGGCAGTCGCATGTGTGTTCGGATGGCGTATATGGTGCCATTTAGCATAAGTGTTCTGATACAGAGTTGCAGTTGTTTTGAGGCTCGTTTGAACGGGGAAACTTCATAACGCGAATTGCCATGTCACCACAGTCAATAACACCAATCAGAAACAGTTTTCAAGATCCGATGGCCCACACTTCGTTCCCGAACTGGCTACCTGATTCGTCACGCCGATTCTGTGTCGTCCAGCGCCTGCCAAAGCTGCTACACGAATTCGGCATCAACACTGACAAATCATTGCCTTGCTGTGTACACACACATTCTCCTCCCAGGCCAGATGTTCCCGTATTCTGCACTTCCGAACCAGACTGGAACCCCACCGGACCGGGTCAAATCACTTGAAGCGGCGGCGAGAACGACCTTCGAGGTTGTCGAGTTCTGCTGAACGCGCAGCTCTAACCTAGGGTTTCTCCTGAAATGTACCCGTTCAGCCAACAACCATGTGAAGCCGAACCGGAAACTTGACCACAACAAGTTTCCGAAGCGAAAGCCACAGCTCTTCCGAGCCTTGGGATTCCGTGTGCCCTCTTTCTGCGCTGCTTTGCTGCAGCCCGTCCATTCGATACATATGGCATACGCTTGCTTCCCATTCGTCCTTCCCGTTCGTCCGTTACTAACAAGATGCACCTGACATTACCGAACCTAGATTTCTAGAGCTGCCGTTTCGCCTCCAGCTTTTCATGAGTGAGCAAATCTCGTAGTACACACGATGCCCGGTTGAGCCCCCCGACCTCGGCCTACCCTATGGGCGTATAAGTGATTCTTGCACTTCGTGGAGGCTTCGTCAATTCGCATCAAGCAAAAAAAGCTTATAGAAAAGTTTTGTAACTCACCGTTGACTTTTTGACTGCAGTCACATCAGTCAGACTTCCGTTTCTGGCTTTCCTATTGGTCGACGTGCCTGTAACGTAGGTGCAACTTCGCGGCAGGAAATCCACGGGTGCAAGGTTTCTGGAATGTACAAGGCGATTTCGCGTAGAGGGGCTGGGCATCACTTGTAGTTCTATCAGCTAGCCCATGGGACTTAGCCTCTCACGCGCGCTGTTGATGGTCATGAAAATGAAGCGTCCGTTCCTGATTTCGCTCAGCATGCGGAAAGAAATAAAGGTACAGAGAAAGTAAAGAATGACGACTCGCAATTGTAGGTTGACTTAGATTAGTAATTTTAAGGCTTTATGACCCCAACAGTTTAGTCACTGAATCCATTGTTTCGTTATTAACGGGAGTCATTCTTCCATGGAATTCGTGGAGGAAGAGATTGACGCTAAGCATTATTGAGTCGATTTAGAATATATTATTTTATTTCTCGAGGAGTTGGCCCCCCATGGATTCCGTCATGTTGGAGGAGGAGATTGCGATCATTCTTTCAGTTCGCTAAACAATTTCGTTAGTTTCTAGAGGGGTCGTTTCCCCCATGAATCCGTCGTTTTGGAGGAGGAGACTGACAATGCTAATCATCTAGTCGAAAAAATAAGGCGCTAGCTTCCCAAGGAGACGTTTTTTCCATGGAGTCCGTCATTTTGGAGGAGGAGGTTGACGCGAATTATGAGCCGACGGAAGAAGGTACTTCGTCATGCTTCTTTTATCTTAGTCGTTGGTCTTTTCTTTGTCACCCTCCTAGCCATGCTCTGTCAACCCTTGCTAAGCCAAGCACCTTCTAGGACGAGGTATTCGTCCTCTGCACGTCTTACCGTGTTTCACAGAAGCATAGCCGTTCGTCCCGGGGCAAGATTCCCAGACACCCCTTATAAATTCCAAGTCGTGTTCACAGGAACTTTGAAACTCCCAGATGTTTTCCCTGGATTCCTGATCGTTTTTCATGAATTTCCATACATCCTTCTTGAAACCCTAGACACCCCTCCTAAATTCCCGACCGTCTCTCCTAAATTCCCGACCGTTTTTCGTTAACTCGCGACCGTTTTTCCTGAATTTCCGACCGTTTTTCCTAATTTTCCGACGTTCCTCCTAAATTCATGGCCGTTCCTCCTCGATTCCTGACCGTTCCTCCTGAATTCCTTCCCGTTGCTTCTGGATTCCTGACCGTCTCTCATGGATTCCTGACGTTTCCTCATAGTTTGTTGCTTCGCCTGCTCCCCATCAGGCGCTTCTGGAGTACGCTCAGTGGCTTGAGATGGAGCTTCCGAGGGAGGAAGAGAAGGAGGGTTTGCTCTGTTGCGGGTGGCCCATCCCTCACCCCCCTTTCCAGCCGACCCCCATCCCTCTCGGTCCTCCATGCTGCTCCCGTGCTCTGCGTTTTTGCCCTCCTTCTCCCGCTCAGAAATTCTCGAGTACGCGCGGTGGCTGGGAGTGGAGCTCCTGGGGGAGGAGGAGCTTCTGTGGGTGGCCTATCCCCTGTCAGTCACCTCCCTTTGCATCTAACCCCCATCCCTGCGTCCCTCGTCTCGTCATGCTGCTTCTCTGCTCTGCCTCTCCCGCTTCCTTGCAGAGATATTGGAGTACGCGCGGTGGTTGGGGATGGAGCTTCCGGGGGAGGAGGAGTTGCTGTGGGTGGCGCGGCAGGGGCTGAAATCACCTCTGCCGCCCAACTGGAAGCCCTGGTGAGTGCCGTAACTTTAATGTGCCTACTGCTGCTGGTGGTAGTGCTGGTGCCGCTGCTACTGCTGCCCCACGCTCTCCCTTCCCCTTCTACCCCCCCCCCCCTCCCCCCCCCCGCCCCCACCAGTGGCACGGAGGACGGGGAGATCTACTATTTCAACTTCCAGACGGGCGAGAGCGTGTGGGAGCACCCCTGTGACGACCACTACCGCGCCGTCTACCACCAGGAGAAGGCCAGGCTGCTGCTCGCCCGCGCCCCTCCCCCCCCTGCTGCTGCCAGTGGTGCTAGTGGTGGTGGTGGTTCTGCTGCTGCTTCTGCTCGTGCTGCTGTGGCTGGCGGTGGGAGTGTGGAGGGTGCGGGGAGGAAAGGAGGCTTTTGGGGAGTGGCGGGGCCAGGGACAGGGATGATGGGGGGAGGAGGAGGGATGGGTGGAGAGACGTATGTACGGCAGGCATCCCTGCCACCACAGAATAGAGGGGAGCATCACGAAAACTTGTTTCGCCAAGGATCGTTGCAGCCTAACTCAGCTGCAACGGTGAGGCTGTTTGAATTCACATGTTTCCTCCGTTTCCCTCCTGAATTTTCCCCTTTGCTCCCGTTTTGAAACCTCCTTAACCACACACTCGCCGCCAGCTTCAAGGCACGCCCCCAGCCCCACTTACCGCACTCCTTTTTGCACGCACTCCTTTTCCTTGTCCTCTGTCTTCCTTTTTCCTGCGAACCCTTGTCTCGCATTGCCCTGATGTTCTTATTCGACTCAAAATCGACTTTTGTACTCACTCCGTTACCCTTCCTGCATGCCCTTCTCTTGCGTTGCCCTGCCAGCGCCAGCAGAAAGGGTCACCTGCGCGCGCCCATGCCCAGCAGTCGCAGCTAAGGCCTCCGCAGCAGCAGCAGCAGCAGCAGCAAGCAACAACACGAAGCTCATCCAGTAAAAATTATGTGAAGCTCTTTCACCAAACCTCCTGGTCCCCCGAACCTGGCTCGGTTCGTCAGTCTGCCGCGGCTGCCAGCCTGGCTCGGGCAGGCTCCGTTCCCGTTGTGGCGAATGGCGTGAATGGCCATCCTGCTGAAACTGAGGAGGAGGAGGAAGGTGTGTGTGCATGCGTGCGTACATGATTGTGCGTCCGTGCGTGAGCACTTGTGCCTTTTCAAAGTCAAAATGCCCTGCTTACGCCGACTTCATTCTCCTGCTCTCCCTCTCCTTGTGCCCCCTCTACCTCTCCTGCACAGATTGGAGCAGCTCTGACGATGGTGACGATGGTGGCAGTGGTGATGCGGCTGCTAATGCTGCTGCTGCCGCTGCCTGCCTCATTCCTCTGTTCCCCCTCTCTGTATGTTCCCTCTACCTCTCCTGCACATATTGGAGCAGCTCTGACGATGGTGACGATGGTGGCAGTGGTGATGCGGCTGCTAATGCTGCCGCTGCCGCTGCCGCTGCTGCTGCTTGCTTCATTCTTCTGTCCCCCCTCTCCTTGTGTTCCCTCTACCTCTCCGTGACATATCGGAGCAGCTCTGATGATGGTGACGATGGTGATGCGGCTGCTAATGCTGCTGCTGCCGCTGCCTGCCTCATTCCTCTGTTCCCCCTCTCTGTATGTTCCCTCTACCTCTCCTGCACAGATTGGAGCAGCTCTGACGATGGTGACGATGGTGGCAGTGGTGATGCGGCTGCTAATGCTGCCGCTGCCGCTGCAGGCGGCGAAGGCGTTTACAGTGGGAATGCTGCTGGTGGGATAAACATTCCTGCTGCTGCTGCTGGCTGTGGTTCAGGGACAGGGAAAGGAGAGGCAATCGGTGGGGCTGCGACAGCTGCTGCGCAATCTGCTGCTACTGGTGCTGCTGCTGCGACTCCTACAGCTATTGCCGTTGCTGTCTCTGGTGCTTCTACTGCCATTGCCACTGCTGCCACTGCTGCTTCTACCATTGCTGCATCTCGAGCAGCGGGCGCAGGTGCAGCTATTGGTGGTTCTAAAGTAGCAGCAGCCATAGGGCAGGATGTGAGAAGATCCTCTTCAGACCCAAAAAAGGCCTCAGGATTTGTTACCGCTGGCACTGATAGCCCTGAGGCTGCTGCTGCTGGTAACCCTGTTGTAGCGCGTGTGGGTGGTACTATTGCTGCTGCGGCTGCTTCAGGGGAAGCTGCAGAAAAGAGAGAGGAGGGGAAGGGGAGGAGGAGGTCTTTAGATGGGGCAGGGGAATGGCGAGGAGGAGAGCAAAGAGGAGGGGAACAAGGAGGAAGGGGACAAAGAGGAGGTGGGGGTGACAGTGGGAAGTTTAAAAGAGCCGAGAGTGGAAGTGGAGATTCAAAAACCGTGCTTCGTCTTGGTGATGTTGGTGTTGATGCTCCCAGAATCGGTGGCAGTGGGAGCTTTAAAAGGGCTGATAGCGCTGATTCAAGTGCCAAGGGTATGCTTAAAGCTGAAGGAAAAGGAGGGAGTGAGAAATTCAAGAGTGCTGATAGTGCCGATGCTAGTGCGAAGGGCTTGCTTAAAGCGGAGGGAGTAAGAATAGGAGGCAGTGGGAGCTTCAAAAGGGCTGATAGTGCTGATGCTAGTGCTGCTAAGGGCTTGCTTAAAGCAGACGGATCAGGAGGGAGTGAGAAATTCAAGAGGGTTGATAGCGCTGATGCTTGCGCGAAAGGCTTGCTTAAAGGCAAGGATGTGAGACGCGGAGGGAGTGGGAGCTTCAAGAGGGCTGATAGCGCGGATGCTAAGGGTGTTGTTCAAATTGAGGCTTCTAGGAAAGGAGGCAGTTGGGATTTTAAGAAGGATAATGGTGGGGATAGTAAGAGGAATGGCAGTTGGGATCTTGCTAAGGGTAGTTTTAGATGTGAAGAGGCAGGTGGGGAGGAGAGAGAAGAAGGAACAGAGTCTGGTCAGGAAGGGATGGTAATTTTGGACATGGGTCAAAGCAAGGTAAGGGAAAAGGGAGTGTACGAGGATGGTGGTGATTTAAAGGAGAGACATGAGTTGGTGTGGGAGGAAATGCGGAAGGAAATGCAGAAAGAATTGCGAGAGGGTATTGAGAAGGAGAGGGCGCGACTGTGGGAGGAGATGCAGGCAGATGTGATGAACCAGTTGGAGAGCAGGAAGCAGGAGCTGTTTGCTGACGTGGCGAGGAAAGTTGATGCTGACGTGGCGGAGGAGTATGAGAGGATCAGGCAGCAACGGGTGGAGGAGATTAGGCAACAGGGCGAGGTTGAAGCAGAGGTTAGGGAATACCGAGCCAAGTTGCTAGCTTCGGTAGAAGAGGAGGAGACGCGCTTGCGAGAGAATTTAAGAGAGAGTAAGGCTCGGGAAGTGGCTCGGGCCGAGCGTGAGGTTCGGCGGCTGCAGGAGGAACTGGAGGTTCGGGCGACCCAGGTGCTAGACTCGTTCAGAACCGACCTGCAGGTTCGGCTGGAAGGGGAAAAGCTGAAGCTGAGAAGAGAGGCAGTGCGCGCATTAGAGCGATGGAGGGAGGAGCTTGAGATGAAGGTTCAGAGGAAGGTTCAGGGCATGAGGATGGATTTACAAATGAAGCTGGAAGCAACGAGAAGGGAGATGGAGGTGGTAATGAGGAAGAAAGTGGAGGAGGAGAGGGTGTGGCGATTGGAACGGCTGAGTCGGGAGTTGAGGGAAGAGGAGACCGAGCTGAGAAGAGTCTGGAAGGAGAGGATGGAGAGAGAGAAGCAGAGGGTTCTGGGAGGTGGTGGGTCAAGGCGTTCGTTTGATCTGACGGGAAAGGCAGCTCTGCTGGGGCTGGGGGGTGAGAGGAACGGGCAAGGCGTTGGGATGAGGGAGGAGCAGAGGGTGCTGGGGGGTGTTCCGAGACATTCTTTTGATTTGACGGATAAGTCCCCTCTGATGCTGGGCGGAGTGAGAAACGGCCAAGGTGCAGGGTTGAACTTGAGAGAGGATGAGCAGATGATGTTTGGAAACATGAGGAGCCCGAGAAGGGTCGGAGGAGTGATGGGGCAACAACAGCAGCAGCGGCGGCGGCAGGTGGGGGAGTCATATGTATGGGACGGATTTTTTGACATGGAGTCAGATTTTGCCCGAGACGGCTTGAATGGGAATGAGCATGGATATGGGAACGGGGATGGGGATGGGAATTGGAACGGGGATGGGGGTGTGTACGGATATGGGAATGGGGATGGGGTGGGGGAATTAGTGTTCCTCCTCACTTCCTCTCCAGGAGCCCGCCCTGAGCATAGGAGAGCGAGGGCAGGGGAGCAGGGGCAGCAGGTAGGAGGCAGTGGTGAGGGTGGATATGGGGTCGCCGCTGCTGCTTCTGCTAATGGTGCTGGTGGCGCTGGTACTGGTGCTGGTTCTGGCGGTGCTGCTGTTGGCGGTGCTGCTGCTGCCACTGGTACTAACAGTGGTAATGCCTCAGCTCCTGCAGCAACAGCAGCAGCAGCAGCAGCCGTTTCTCCTGCTCAAAACCTTGCCCCCTTTGAGGGCGGCAAATATGATTCCGGCAGCAATTTTGGGGAGAGCTCGTGCGAGTTCATGCCAAGATTTTCTCTCGGGCAGGCCGGGCAGGTGGAAGGAAGTGTATTGGCCGGGGACTGGATAAGTGGGGGCCGGATTGGGCTGGGGTCAGGAGGGAGGAAATTGAGGAACCGGGGGAAAAGCAGTCGGACGGTTGGGAGCGAATCTGGTCATGATCGGACGGTGGAGGATGCATTGAAAACGGGGAGCGGCGGAGGGTACTACTCGCCATGGGGCGATTCTGGTTCGGAGGGACTGGGAGAGCTGGGGAAGGGGGATCTGGGGAGGGCTCATCTACGTGTGCGGTGCAGAGGGGTTGAAAGCGGTGGAGGGGCGTTTGACGATGGAGGAATCTCGTTCGGGTAAGTGTGTGTGTGTGTGTGTGTGTGTGTGTGTGTTTTTTTTTTTTTTTTTTTTGGATGGACCCCGTTCAAATCTTGTTTTGACTTTCTTGCTGTCTGTTTGTTTTTGGCGGGTTAAACCAAGCCTACATGTTCCCCTATCAACTCCTTCCCTTCCCTTGTTCCCCCTACATCCCAATTTCCCCCTCCCCACCCCCCATTCGCCGCCCTCCCAGCAAGCGCGAGATCATGTTGAAACAAGCCAGGCGGTTTGCAGCGGAGCAGCGGCAGAGCTTGAAGGAGCGAGAGGGGGTGCTGTAGGCGGCTAGGGCGCTTCAAGCCCCACATACTCCCCCACTCACCCCTTTCACTCCCCCCCTGCTTACCCGCGTTCCCCCATTCCCTGTCCCAACCCCACTCCTCTCCTCTCCCCACTCCTCTCCCCCCACTCCCCTCCCTCCCAGGGAGCGCGAGATCATGTTGAAACAAGCCAGGCGGTTTGCAGCGGAGCAGCGGCGGAGCTTGAAGGAGCGAGAGGCGGTGCTGGAGGCGGCTAGGAGGGACTGGAGGAGCCGTATGGAGGCAGTTGAAGAGGTGAGAGCGGTAGAGTGTGACTGTAGTGAATGGTTTTCATTTCATAGCTTGAAGGAGCGAGAGGGGGTGCTGGAGGCGGCTAGGAGGGACAGGAGGAGCCGTATGGAGGCAGTTGAAGAGGTGAAAAAGCTTGTGTGTGATGGTACTGAATGGTGTGGCCTTACTAGTGGGGTTTTGAGGTGTAAGGGAGCTTGAAGGAGCGAGAGGGGGTGCTGGAGGCAGCTATGAGGGACTGGAGGAACCGCATGGAGGCAGTTCAAGAGGTGAGGGGGGCCGTCTGTGATTGTGGTGATGAATGTGATTCTACTTATGGGGTAAGGGAGCTTGAAGGAGCGAGAGGGGGTCCTGGAGGCTGCTAGGAGGGACTGGAGGAACCGCATGGAGGCAGGCAGTTCAAGAGGTGAGGGTAGGGGGGGGGGGGGTGGTGTGCTTGTAGTGAATGGTGTGACTGTACTAGTGGGGTTTCAAGGTGCAAGGGAGCTTGAAGGGGCGAGAGGCCGTGATGGAGGCAGCTAGGAGGGACTGGAGGAGCCGTATGGAAGAAGATGAAGAGGTGAGTGAGGGCATGTGTGATTGTAGTGTAATTTGTGATTGCTCTAGTGGGGATTCAAGGTGCAAGGGAATGAGAGGCCGTGTCAGACGCGTATAGGAGAGACTGGAGTAGCCGCATGGAGACAGTTGAAGAGGTGAGTGGGGGCATGTGATTATAGTGAAGGGGTGTGCTTGTTGCAAAAGGGGTGTAAGTGTGGGTAGAAAGCAGAGTGGTTGTTGTGGAAGGGGTGAAAAATAGCCTTCTCTCTTTCTCCCCTTCTTCCCCTCTTCATTCTCAACTGCCCTGTCTGTCTTCTTCCCCCCCGTACCTTGCAGCTCTCCGACCCTGATGAGAAGAGGCGGAAGGTGCAGCACCTGATGTTTATCAAAGCCACAATGGACCAGCACGAGAGGGAACTGAGTGTGACACGATTTTTGAGTCGACTCAAAAATCGACTTATTACACACACACGTTGGACAAGCACGAGAGGGAACTGAATGACGATGCCAGGAGCGTCAACCAGATCAGAAAGAGCTTTCTCTTATTCTCTTCCACTTCTAACCCTCTCGTTCCTCCTTTATTCTTATCGTTCTTCCCACCCTCCCCTCTATCCCCCATTCTCCCTCCCCCGCCCTTGCAGCTATCGGATCTGGATGAGAAGAGGCGGAAGGTGCAACACTTGATGTTTATCAAAGCAACGTTGGACCAGCACGAGAGGGAGTTGATTGACGATGCCAGGAGCGTCAAGCAGCTCAGAAAGAGCTTACTTGCTTTTTCCCGAAATGCAGCTTCTGCTGGTAGTGGTGGCGGCGGTGACGGCAGTGGTGGTGGTGGTTTAAGTGGCAGTGGACTCTTACGTGCCAGTGGTGGTCTAAATACGGAGGAAGGGTTTTGGGCTGGGAGTAGGGTAGGGGGTAGGGAGCGAGTGGGCGGAGGGATGGGAGGAGGGATGGGAAGGGCGGTTGGTGGTATTTCTGGAAAGTACTTAGGCATCCCGCCAGGTGGCGGCGTGCGATTGGACCAGAACCGCCCGTTGGTGAATTTCCCACCTAGTGCCATCGTGTCCCCAGCCTCGTCGTTTGCTTCGATAACGATCCAAGAAGGGAACCCGGACCTGAGCGACGTGAGCTACAACTCAGGTTCGGGGCTGAGATTCCCTGCCGAAGCTGGTGCAGCTGGTGCAGCGGGTGCAGCGGGTGCAGCGGGTGCAGCGGGTGCAGCGGGTGCAGCGGGTGCAGCGGGTGCAGCGGGTGCTGGGTTTGCTGGGGGCTCTGGGCGCGTTTCGTCTCCCTTGTCCTCTCCTGTGAGGCGAGAGATTGGGAGGAGCATGCTCGGTTTCGAGTCTCCTAAACATAATTCTCCCCTGCCTTCTCCTGTGCGGAAAGAGGTTGGAGGGAACATTTTTGGGGTGAAGGGTGAAGAGAGGAGGGTCGACGTGGGGAAGGGCACTACTGGTTTGACTGCTGCTGCTGCTGCTGCTGCTGCTACTGCTGGTGCTGGTGGTGGTGCCGTTGCTACTGGTGGTGCTGGTGGTGGTGCCGTTGCTACTGGCGGTGCTGGTGCTCGTGCTGGTGGTGGTGGTGATGCTGCTGGTGCTGGTATTGGCAGCAGCCAAGGGACTGGACTGAAAGCGCAAGGGCGAAGTGTGGGGGCAGGAAAAGGTAGAGGGGAAGCAGGAGGGAGGGTGGAGGAATGCAGAGCAACGGCTGGAGAGGTAAAGAAGGCAAAGAACAACGCAAGAGGTGTTGCTGATAACCTTCCACCGAGAATGTCAACAGCTGTGAAAGAGGGGAGGCGGGGAGAGGGCGACGGGAAGTGGGGAGAGGGAGGGGGGAGGCGGGGAGTGGGAGAGGGGATGAATGCAAGTGGCCAAGGAAAAAATGCCACTGCTTCAAAAAGAGGGCCGGCTTTCGTTGGGATGGCAGCAACAGCTGCAGCAGCAGCAGTGACAAGACCAATGGAAGCCCAATCAATGCAGCAGTCAACCCAAAACGAGCCTTCGTGAGCTTGCGTTCTTACCCTTTTTATTTTCTCCTTCTCCCATTCTTGTTCTCTTTCACTCCTCGTTTGTCTCCCTCGTCCTCTCCCTTTCTCTTCGCTCCGTCTGCTCTCTGATCTCTTCTTGTTTTCTCTCATTCTCGTGCTTTCCTTATTACGCCTTCCCTTTCCATCTCTCCTCCCGCGCTCCATTTTCCTTGTGTAGTGAGGTGCATTTTGAGGCGCCTCAAAATGTTACGTTTCCCTCGACTCATTCTTCTTGCTTTCCCTTCTCTCCCACTGCCTCCCCTTAACTCTGGTTTTTTTTTTGCCTCCTATGCTTGCCAGTCAAAAGCTGAAAGCTGGTCGTAGCGGCGCAAGCAGGGCTATAGGGGGTGTGTCTGGTGGACAGTCGTTGGGGGCAGGGACCAAAGAGGGTGTGGTGGGAGGAGCAACTGGAGCAGGGACGGGTGCTTCGTGAGGCTCCAATCCTTGCCAGTCAAAGGGTGAAAGCCGGCCGTAGTAGCACAAGCGGAACTAGTGGGGGTGTAACAAGGGGCCAGGCGTTGGGGGCAGGGACCAAAGAGGGTGTGGTGGGGGGAGCAACTGGAGCAGGGACGGGTGTTTTGTGAGGCGCCTCAAAGGCGGTAGCAGCACAAGCAGAGGGCTAGTGGGCTGTGGGGGTGTGACAGGGGAAGGGCAGGTATTGGAGGCAGGGACCAGGGGAGGTGTGGTGGGGGGAGCAACTGGAGCAGGGACGGGTGTTTTGTGAGGCGCCTCAAAGGTGGTAGCAGAGCAAGGGCAGGTGCACTATTGGGAAAAGCAGGAACAGCAGCAGCAGGAGTAGCAGGAAATGCAACGATAACCATCAGTCCTCCTAACCCCAACACCTACAGCAACCCAGCAGCAGCACTGTTTGTTCATTGTAACAGGACCAGCGGAAATGGTACCTGTATGGTATTCTCTCTTGAAAAAAAACAAAAACAAAAAAAAAACATCGGCAGGTTTGAAACAGCAGCCGCAGCAACATTGACATCAGGGCGATGCACAATTGTATTATATGTTCATTTGTTTCCATTTAATTTATTTTATTTGATTCGAACAGTTGCTTTGGCATATAGAATGGATCTTGAACATTCATCTTGTTCATGCTCCGCAACAATTGTGTCATCTTAACAAAAATGTGTAATCTTAACAACAATGTGTTACGGTACCTGTGTTTGCAAGAACCCACTGCACCGGGCATGCCAGGTTTATATGCTTTTCTGGGCAATAACCTAGCATAAAATATGAGTGTACATAAGAAGCCAAGTAAGGTACTGACTGACTTATGATGATAATGGTACTTGCTGTTGTCACTGCCGATGACTGGCGCTGCTGTTGCTACTGCTGCTGCCGCTGCTGCCATTGTTGCTGCTGCTGTTGCTGCTGCTGCTGTTGCTGCTGCTGCCATGGCTGGTGGTGAAACGTTGACATCTGTTGCTGTTGGTAGCTTACCTGTTGCTGTTGAAATGTGTTGTGCTGGTAGTTAACTGGCTGCTGCTGGTAGTTAAGCTGTTGCTGCTGTGGGAACGATTTTTGCTGCATGTGCTGCATCGGCCCTAATGGGGTATAGCCCTGTTGCCCTAACCCTTGCTGCATCGTTCCTAACTGGGTGTAACCTTGTTGCCCTGATCCTTGCTGCATCGGCGCTTGAGAATATCCCTCGAAAGCATAACCTCCTGCTGATGGGAGTGGTGCTGCTGGTGATGCTGCTACTGCGTGTGGTTGTGCGTGTGGTTGTGTTGCGGTGAGGGCAGCTCCCAGGGATGCCATGTTGGGGAAAGGTGCCTGTGGGGATGGGGACTGGGAGAGGTGAGGAAAGGGTGGGATGGGGGAAGAGATGGCGTGAGAAGGGACAGAGGGGGAGCTTCCTGTGGTTTTGTGTTAGGTCCTGTGGGTGGTTGTGTGGCAGCGAGAGCAGCTCACAGCGATTCCATGTTGAGGAAAGGTGTCTGCGGGGATGGGGACTGGGAAACAGGGGGCAGTGTGAGGAAGGAGAGAGACCTAATGAGAACTAGTAGTGGGAATGGAAGGACTAGGAGGGAACTAACAGCCCTTCATTCATTCTGCAGGGTGGTCTTTGGAATTCTGGAGAAAAAAAAAAAAGAATGAAAAAGGCTGGGCAGGGAACTGGCCGGCCGTACTAGCAAAACATTGTTATGAAAAAGAAAGGAGGAAAGAAAGAAGGAAGAAAAGAAAGAGAAATAAGAAGGCAGGCACTAAAGAAAAAATACTGTGAACGAAATGTAAATGAATAAATTAAATAGCACTGTGTGTGGGAACATACCAATCCGGGAGACCCCAACGGTGATGGCCTCATCCCAGGGCTTCCCATGACGCCTGCAGGGCTCCACATCGCAGCTCTTCCGCTACCCATTGCTCCTCCCCCTGGGCTCCCCATGGCTCCCCCTGGGCTCCCCATGGCTCCCCCTGGGCTCCCCATTGGGCCCCCTGCGCTTCCCAGAACCCCACCTGGGCTCCCCATCGCTCCCCCTGGGCTTCCCATAACCACCCCTGCGCCCCCCATCACCCCTCCTGGGCTGCCCATTGTTCCTCCTGGACTTCCCATCATTCCCCCTGTGCCCCCCATAACCCCGCCTGAGCTCCCCATCACCCCTCTAGGACTTCCCATAACCCCCCCTGGACTCCCCATAATCCCCCCTGGGCTCCCCATTACCCCCCCTGGGCTCCCCATAACCCTTCCCCCCATCAACCCAGCTGCACTTCCCATAACCCCTCCTGGACTCCCCATACCTCCCCCAGCGCTCCCCATACCCCCTACTGGACTTCCCGTCACTCCTCCTGCACTCCCCATCACTCCCCCAGGGCTCCCCATAACCCCTCCCCCCATCAACCCGCTTGCCATCCCCATACCCCCTACTGGACTTCCCATCACTCCTCCTGCACTCCCCATCACTCCCCCAGGGCTCCCCATAACCCCGCCCTGAGGGTATGGGTGTGATTGTAAGGGCGGGGACTGTGTCGTGAATCCTCCTCTGCAGACTCTCATTCTCACTCTCCCATGCGTATCCCGCTGATTCTCCCTTATCTCCTTCCTTCCCTACCACAGGTTCAGCCCTTCTTCCTCCTGGTGTAGGTAATCACCCTGTCCTGTAATCCTCCTGGTATCTCAGGCTTCCCTTGCAACAAGTCTAAACTCCCTCGCAAGGGCTCAGTCAGATTGCTGTTAGCTTCTCCTACTGCTAGTTCCCTTCGGATTAGGAAAGCAAATTGCAGTAAACAAGAAACATACAAGCAAAAAGCAACGAGTCTGAGCGCTACCCCAGTCTACATCCCCTCCTGCCTAGTTGCCTTGTCCCGCAAGCTACCTCTACCCCTAAGCGCGAGTCAGCTGAGCTGATCGCGTAGGCTTCAAGGTGCTAGCTGGGTCCCACTGGGCCCACTAGGCATGCACCGCCTTCCAGCCTGGTGAATGGCGAATTGAATTCCCAGGCTGGCTGGAATCGAATTCGCCACCAACCTCCTCATCAACCTCCTCGAAATCCTCAGCAGCTCGACTCTGTATAGTACAGTAACATTCCAAAGCAAGCACACAAAGTAAAAATGCGAAAAGCAGTAAACTATAATACACCCTCACCTTGGCTGCTGCGAAATTCACACTTAGTTGCCGGCTAAGTGTTAATAACGCGACAGCTGTCGTGAATCCTCCTCTGCAGACTCTCATTCTCACTCTCCCATGCGTATCCCGCTGATTCTCCCTTATCTCCTTCCTTCCCTACCACAGGTTCAGCCCTTCTTCCTCCTGGTGTAGGTAATCACCCTGTCCTGTAATCCTCCTGGTATCTCAGGCTTCCCTGCCCCCTCCCGTGTCTCAGCGCTCATCTTAGCCGCTCGAGCCACGGGACCCAATGCCTGAGGCTTCCCTTGTCCCGCCCTGGCCACGTTGGTGATGTGCTCCTTGATGGTTCCCCCTCGGATATCTTCCAGCACTAACACTCCCGAGCCTCGAATCTCTTTCACCTTCCACCGCTCTGAACCCACAGCTAAGTCCAGCGTGTCGCGCTTAGCTTTGCGGAGGTACACCTCCTGTCCTGCCTCCACCTTGTCTTCCCTTCCTCCCACCCCTGATGCTTTACGCTGCTGGTATCGTCTAGCATCACGCAACTGCGCCACGTGGAGATTATCCAGGGCTGCCGGAGTCAGCTCCTTCAAATACTTCGCCCTCTTATATGCTAACTCCGCCCACAGGTTCGGCTCATCCGCCTCAATAACCGCAGAGAGCAGCTTCGGTGCGTCGACCGGCAGCACAGGGTCCCGTCCGAACAGCAGGTGGTATGGGGATAGGTTCTTCAGTGCCGCCTGCTTTGCGAACCTGTACCCAGCCAGTACCCACCATAGATCTCGGTCCCAGCTCCTTTTGTGGGTCTCACTGTAGGCCCGAAGTCCTTTCTTCAAGGTCTGTATGAGCCTCTCGGTCAGTCCGTCTGATTGCGGGTGGTACCTAGAGGTGACCCTGTGCGTGATACCCATCTCCTCTAACAGCTCATCAAAGCTCCCTTGGAACTCAGTCCCTTGATCAGTGAGTACCTCTCCGCATGCCCCATACCTGGTAAGCACCAGCTCCTCAAATGCGTCTGCTATCAGTGCGCTGTTCTTGCTTGGTAATGCACGCACCTCCACCCATTTGCTCGTGTGCTCAACCATCACCAGAATGTACTGCTTCCCCCCTTTCGACAGCGGTAGCTCCCCCGCGAGGTCCAGCGACCACCTGTAGCCCAACCCGTGAATTGGTAACGAATGCAGCTCATCCCTCTCTTTCTCCAGCCTTGCTTTATTCCTCTGACAAGCCTCGCAGCTCGCCACTAATCCTGCTACATCCTTTCCCATGCTCGCCCACCAGTACATGGTGCTCAGCAGCTGCCGCGTCCTGGTTATGCCATAGTGCCCCAGCTTCGCGTGCACGTTCCCCATAATCCTGGCCCTCTCCTGTGGCTGCGGCACTACCTTCCACCCTTCGTTAGTTCTCAGCTGCAGCTGTTCCTGAAACCACCTGAAATGCTGTCCTCGGGCCCTGGCTCTCTCGCTCACTCCTCCCTCTTCGAGTGGCTCCCCTTTGATCCAGCTCATGGTCTCCTCATCTTCCCATATATCCCCTAACCGCTTCTTTCCCTTCTCCTGCCCCCAGGTTACTGCCGCTACCTGAGCCATGGCTGCCAGTTGTGCTACCGGCTGCAAAGGAGGCGGGTTCCTTGATAACCCATCGGCGTGCTGCAGAGTTTTCCCAGGTCGGTGTCGGATCTCAAAATCGAATCCCAGCTGCTTAATGGCCCAGCGTGCGTTTCTCCCAGTCAGCTCCTGATGAGTCATCAACCATAGCAACGGCTGATGATCAGTCACAAGTGTGAAATGCCGACCCTGCAGGTACACCTTGAAGTGAGTGATCCCCCATACAGCTGTCAGGCCCTCCCCTTCGTAAGAGCAGTAGTTAGCCTCGGATGGGCTGCAGCTGCGGCTGGCGAAGGCTACCACTCTCTCCTCTCCCTCTATCTCTTGGCAGAGCACTGCCCCCATTCCTGTGCTGCTCCAGTCGGTGTATAAGATGAAAGGGGCATCTGCCCTCGGTATCTGCAGCAGTGTTCCAGTCCGTACTGCTTCCAGCAGGTCCTGCCTTGCCGTTTCCTCCAGCTCTCCCCACTGCCAGCTCCTCCCTTCCTTTAGCAGCTGATTCAGTACGTAGGCGCGGCGGCTGAAGTTCGGAACGAACTTCCTGTAATAATTCAGGAAGCCGAGTAGCGCCCGCAGCCCGGTCTTGTCCTTGGGTGCTGCTAAGTTCTCCAGCACCTTCACCTTTGCTTCCTGTATTGCCAGCCGGCCCCCCTTCACTTCGAAGCCCAGGTAAGCCACGGTCTGCCTTGCTACCTTGCACTTGTCTGGATGGCACGTTAGGCCTGCAGATGCTATTGCCTCTAGCGTCCGCTTCAGATCTTGCACGTGCTGCTCTTCGCTGCTGCTGAATATCAGTATATCATCTATGTAGCATGCTGCTGCCGGAATCCCCTTCAGCACCTGATCCATGGCTCGCTGAAACACTGCAGGGGCGTTGCGAGTCCCGAAAGGCATCACATTGTACTCATACAGCCCATCCACCCCGTGGAACGCCGTCTTCCGTTTGTCTTCCTCCCTAATGGCTATTTGGTTGAACCCTTGCCGCAGGTCCAAGGTGGTGAAGATGATGGCGCCCTCTAAACGGTCGAAGATGTCTTCAGCAGTTGGCATTGGATACCTATCTGGACTAGTGATCTTGTTCAGCTCCCTGAAGTCCCCGCACATCCTCTTCGCCAGTACCTTCCCCGTGATATCTTTCCTAGCGGCTACCACTGTGGCTGCGGCGTAGCTTGACTCTGACGGGCGGATAATCCCTGCGGCCAGCAGCTCTTCGCACTTCTCCTTACATATGGCTGCATCCTCTGCATTCATCCTCCTCCTGCGTTGATATGTGGGCAGCTCCGTGGTGAGGTTTAGCTCCAGCTCTCTCCCCTTATACCTCCCCAGCTCTGACAAGTTGTACGCGAAAGTGTTCCTGTGTTGCCGTAGTACCTCCTGAATTGCAGCTGCGACTTGCTCCCCTATGCCAGCTCCTAATTCCCAGTCTTTGCTTGGCTCTGCTTCCTTGCCCCCTGTGGTCCTGGGGTCAGCCTCCATCCCTGCCGTGGTCTTACTGAGAGCTACGTATGATGCTTGCTGGATGCATTGTCCCTGTTCTGTCCCTGCCTTTCCTCTCCTGCTAGTCGGACCCTTTCTCATCTCCCTTACTAACCACCTCAATGTGTGCTGGTCTATGGCTCTGCCTAGAGCCGCTCTGCGTGCTGCTTCTCCCATTCCCTCCGCAGCTGTTGCCCCCGGCAGATAACCCATGGCTAATTCTCGTTCTAAGGCCGTCGGCTCTTCCCACTTCTTCTTTCGGTAGTCGTACACCATCCCTGGACCGGGTTGCCCATCCACCTCCACGAACCCCTGAGCCTGAGGGTAGGCTACCAACGTCGGCCAAGCTCTCCGTGCCTCTCCCACTCGGTTACACTGGTACTGCCGCGGATGATCTGGCTTCACCACTGGTGCGGCGACTCTGCCCGGTTCCAGAATGTCTTCCACTATCCGAGTCCCATCCCTCTCCACCCTTGCTAGTCTTGCCCTCAGTTCTCCCTCTGGCAGGACATTCTGCCAAAATTGTCGCACTCGGTGGCACCATGCCCCCAGCTGTGCGCCATCACAACTCACCCCCCTACCCAGTTCTGCCTCCACTAGCTCTCGTACTGCTCGGACTGGCTCCCGTGCATCTCCTCTCATATCCACATGCTCCAGTATGTAAGCATATTCTCCTCCCGCTTCTCTCGCCCACCTCATGATTGACAGAAGAGCGGATACCATGGCTGTACGTTCATCCTGCAAGCCCTTCCCCTTTCCTGCTCTGGAAGTGCCCTGGCATTCCCATCCGGCCACGAGTAAATCCACCTTCCCCCAGCTTCTCACATCTTCCTTGGTAAGCTGCCCCACGTCCCACTTTTTGTTCTGCATGGCTTCCCGTAGCACTCCCTTTGTCAGCTGCACTGGGTACTGCTGTTGTAGCATCAGAGCATGGTTCCACGCCATCTTCCTTACTTCCGGGTCTAACTCCACATATACCCACTTTTTCACTTTCAGTCCAGCTTCTAGTGCTGCTGCCAAGCCTGCTCCCAGCCCCCCGAACAGCTCCACCAAGGTAATACTGTACTGATCTAAGCTAGCGGTAACATTCTCCTTTTCTGAACTCCCTCCTCGCAAGCTCTCCTTCCTCCCTCCTTCTGCCCTCCAGGCTTTCTTCGGTTCTGTCTTAACGAATCGTACCGGCAACTCACTCAACTCCTTCCCTTCTTCCCGGAAGTCTGGGCGGTAGAGCACCTGTTCTTCCCAAGTACAAATCATGGTACCTATCTTAAACAGCAGCTCCATTCCAAGTAAGATGTCGTAGTCTTCTGATTCGGTCAGCCCACATTGCACTCTAATCTTCGTCTCTCCTTTCTCCCCGGGCCGTAGAGTGATCTCGATCGGTTCTCGCGTGCAGGGCATCCATTTGGGGGCCCCGCCGTCGGCTGTCATGATCAGTATGCCTTTGCTCACGATCTCCAACTCTCCCTGGGCCCGCAGCTGCTCTGTCAGCTTCTTTCCGATCAGCACGCTTTGTGCCCCCGTATCCACTACTGCGTTTTCCACCAGTATTCCCCGTACGGCTACCGCTTTGGGTTCCACTACTAAGGCTGTAGGCTGGCAAACGAGCCGTTCTTCAGGATGACGACGCGCTGTCCTTGAGCTTCCACTCCCTTCCGGCTGCCTGCTAATTCTCTTCTCCTGTTGTTTCTGCTCTGCCCTGCCGTCCACTCCTTTACTGCGCAGTCCCAGATCCCCTCTTTCCCTTGGTGGTATAGCCATCGTCCCATACTCAGGCTCTCCCTCATCCGACCCCTCTCCTTCATCATCCTCCCAAGCCAGCAGCGCCTTCTCCGAATCTTCGCTAATCTCTGCCTTCTCCATTTGAGCTTTCAGTTTAGCCAGCTCTCTTTCCAGCTGTAACTCCCTTGCTGATTTCCCTTTCGTCCGCTCTCCCTTACTGTAACATCTAGCTTCCGTATGTCCCCTCTTCCCGCAGCCGGTACATATTGGCGCCTTGGGGCAATCTCTTCTGAAATGCCCCTTTGCTCCGCAGGTGTCGCATGTTATCCCCACAGCACAATCCCTACGCAGGTGCCCCTGCTCTCCACATTTATGACAGCGCCTTGTATCTTCTGTCGGCCTGTCTCTTCGCTCCTCCTCTCCCCTTCTGCCCTCCACAGCTGCCCAAGCTGGCCTTCTTCGCTCGTTCGGCCGACTGGAACTCGACCCCTGCATGCCATCATAAAACCGCTTCCCTTCTTCCACTTCTTTCGCCACCTGGTATACCTGCCGCAGCGTGGCTCGTACTCCCAGGGAGTAGAGCCGGCTCCTCATGTCACTTATCAAGTCTTTATCCAGCCCGTTGACAAACTTAGTCACCAAGATACGTTCTTCCATGCAGCCCATGTCCTCCGCCAGCTCCAGCAGCCTGTTGTAATAGGCCAGCAGCGACTCTGGAGTGGCTCGAATGAAGTTCTGAAATTCTGCCATCCTGTCTGCCGAATGCCCCGGGAATTGTTCTTGCAGACTTTCCAAAAACCGGTCCGTGATCATCGCAGCTGGGAAGTCCCCTCTCTTATTCTGCATCAGCAGCCCCTGTCTCTCCACACGGTAATGCGTCAGCGCTTCTCCCTTAAGAGTCCTCCCCAAACCTCTGAAAAATTCGATGGGATCCAGCCCTTCCCTATCCCAGCAGTAGCGGATGTCGTCTATCATCATGAGGTAGTTCTTTAGCGTAGGCTCTTCTCCTGGCGTCCCCGAGAAGCGATCTGGCACCTCGATTTTCGGTGGTGCAGCGTTCATCGATCTGCCAGTTCCCCAGCTTGTCGCCCCCCTTTCTCCACTCCCAGCAGGCCGGCCTCCTCTTCCAGCCTCCATGGCTTCGTACACACCCGCTGAGAATCCATGATACTGTTCTCCTCCTCTCTGACTTCGCCGCTCTTCTTGCTGGTCGTCTCCTTCTCGCAAGCTTCGTCGTTCTTCATGGTGATCGTCTCCTCCTTTCTGACTTCGCCGTTCTTCGTAATTATCTTCCCCTCCCAGATCAGGAGGTCCTCGTCTAGGTCCAGTCCCCACAGGGCGAATTCCGCTTCCTCCTGCCGGTGAATCACAAGCTGAGCTGAGCGGTGGTTCTCTCCGTCCACTCCCTTCCTTCTCCCGATCCGATCCTTGATTACCACGTACGTTGTTATCTCCCTCTCCCGCGCGAAATCCAGGCGTCCTAATTGGCGGATCACGCCCCTCCATCATCCTCGCAGGGAATCGGTGACCCGAGCGCAGTTGATGAGTATGAAGCTCCTGATCGAATTCACTCATGCCTCACGGCGCCTCACCATGCTCTACTCCAGGCGGTCAAGCCTGTCCCCTGTACTCTAGACAGTCGTAAGCAGCCTTTTTGCTTGTATGCAACAAGTCTAAACTCCCTCGCAAGGGCTCAGTCAGATTGCCGTTAGCTTCTCCTACTGCTAGTTCCCTTCGGATTAGGAAAGCAAATTGCAGTAAACAAGAAACATACAAGCAAAAAGCAACGAGTCTGAGCGCTACCCCAGTCTACATCCCCTCCTGCCTAGTTGCCTTGTCCCGCAAGCTACCTCTACCCCTAAGCGCGAGTCAGCTGAGCTGATCGCGTAGGCTTCAAGGTGCTAGCTGGGTCCCACTGGGCCCACTAGGCATGCACCGCCTTCCAGCCTGGTGAATGGCGAATTGAATTCCCAGGCTGGCTGGAATCGAATTCGCCACCAACCTCCTCATCAACCTCCTCGAAATCCTCAGCAGCTCGACTCTGTATAGTACAGTAACATTCCAAAGCAAGCACACAAAGTAAAAATGCGAAAAGCAGTAAACTATAATACACCCTCACCTTGGCTGCTGCGAAATTCACACTTAGTTGCCGGCTAAGTGTTAATAACGCGACAACTGGTATGGGTGGGACTGTGTGGGAGGGGATTGGAACGAGTGTGATTGTGAGGGAGGGAAGGGATGTGACTGTATCGGAGGGGACTGTACTGGAGAGAACGCCTGTGCATAACCCCCATTAGCTTGTAATCCATAGCCCTGCCCCTGCCCCTGCCCTTGCCCATAGCCCTGTCCCTGCCACTGCCCTTGCCCATATCCCTGTTCCTGTCCCTGAGCCTGAGTCGATAAGTGAAACTGTCCCTGTCTTTGCGTCTGAATGAATAATTCAGTCTGCCCCTGCCCTTGTCCCTGTGCCTGGGTTACTTGAAACTGCCCCTTCCCGGCCTGGGTTACTGGCTGAAACTGCCCCTGCCCGGCCTGGGTTACTGGCTGAAACTGCCCCTGCCCGGCCTGGGTTACTGGCTGAAACTGCCCCTGCCCGGCCTGGGTTACTGGCTGAAACTGCCCCTGCCCCTGTGCCTGCATCCCATAGGCCTCGTACTCTAGTGGTGCTGCTGATAACTGAGCTTGCCCATAGCCCATGGATCCATATTCTGTGCCAAGAGAAGGGGCGTTTCCAGAGATCAATTGCATAGCTGGCATAGCTGGCATAGCTGGCATAGCAGGTGCAGTTGCAGCTGGTGCAGGTACAGCTGGTGCAGGTACAGGTGGCATGGGGCTGCTATCAAAATGCGCCCAGGAGGAAAAACCATTGGCAATGCTGCTGCTGTCGCCACTGCTGCTGCTGCTGCTCTCTTTTTCCACTGCTGCTGCTGCTGCTGCTGTTCCTGCTGCCGCCGCCGCCACTGCTCCTTCTGTGGCTGCTGCTGCTGCGGCTGCTGCTGCTGCTGTGTCTGCTTGCGCTGGCACTTGCGTTTGCCCCTGCAGCACCGTGGGCTGATGCTGCTCCGCTCCCCCTGCTGCACCCTCCGTCTGCTCCTGAAGCTGCCACTGCTTGGGTGCAGGCACGGGGGCAGCAGGAGGCAGAGTGAGGCTATCTCCATCCCCTTCATCTGAGAAGTCAATCAGGTTACCTAGAGGAGCCAGTGGTGCTGATGCTGGTGCTGCCGTTGATGCTGCTGCTGCTCCTGCTGCAGTTGCTGATGCAGCTGCTGCAGGTGCCGGCACAGGGCCGGCTGGTGCTGATGAAGGGATTTGAGAGGCAGGAGCATGGGCAGCAGCAGGTGGAGAGGCAGGAAGAGAGGCAACCGCAGAAGGAGCAGAGGGAGCAGAGGGGGCAGAGGGGGCAGAAGTGGGAGAACCAGGTAGGGCTGAAGGAGAGGAGGCAGCTTGATACACATGTGTGTTCCCCCGCCCTGGCTCGCTGTGATACACCCTCAGCTCAATCTCATCCCCTAGTAGATCAGCCACAGGGCGAATAGGTGCATCCACCCCATCACCACTGCTGCTTGGGGCGTTGGAGAATCTAGTGCTACTCGTGCTGCTGCTGCCAGGGAATCTCGCACCAGTGCTGGTGCTGGCGCTGGTGTTGCTGTTGGCAGAAAGAGAAGGGGATTTGCGTGGTGGTAGAGCCTTCTGCTGCTGCTGCTGCTGCTGCTGTGGCTGCTGCTGCGGCTGCTTGTGGTTGTGGGAAGGAGGGAGAGTGGGGGAGAAGGAGAGAGAGGCCCGGGCGCTGCTGCTGCGTTGGAGGTCGGAGGGCTGGGGGAAGGAGGCAGAGGGAGAGCCGTCCATGGAGTGGGTTCGACCCGAGGGAGAGCTCTGAAAGGAAACAAATGGGGGAGGGAGGGGTGTAAAACGGTGAGGGTGAGAGAAGGGAGAAGACAAGATGTGCAGGCAAAGGGAGAGAGAGGTGCGGGCGCTGCTGCTGCGTTGGAGGTCGGAGGGCTGGGGGAAGCAGGCGGAGGGAGAGCCATCCATAGAATGAGTTCGACCCGAGGGAGAGCTCTGAGTGAAGGGGGGGGAAGAGGGGGGGGGGGGGGGAGAAGGGCGCAAGTGAGAGAAGGAAAGAGGCGATTTGTGCATAAAGGAGGAAAGGATTGCAAAGAGTCATATGTCATGCCACTGCTCATGTTCACCATACCTCTCATGTTTGAAGCGCCTCAAAAAACAGACGCTTAGCCATGTCATATCGCTGCTCGTGTTCACCATCACCACTATACCCATCACCATCACCACTATACCCATCACCATCACCATCACCAATACCCATCACCATCACCACTATACCCATCACCATCACCACTATACCCATCACCATCACCACTATACCCATCACCATCACCACTATACCCATCACCATCACCACTATACCCATCACCATCACCACGAGCAACATCACCATCACCACTATACCCATCACCATCACCACGAGCAACATCACCACATCACATACCTCTCGTCGTGGGTCATGTTCACCATTGCCAGTATCATCACCACATACCTCTCGTGAGTTCCGCCCGACATATAGCCTCTCCAAGAAGACAGCTCGAATGAACTCCCTCACAGACTGGGGATCGCTGATGGGTGGAAGAAAAAGGGCAGAAGGGAAAGAACACACAGCGAGGAGGAGGAGCCATGAGGGCTTTTCGTCCACCTGTGGTCCTGCCTGCCTGCATCCCATGTATCGCCTCTCCACGTGTGATGAGTCGATTTTTGCGTCGACTAAAAAATCGACTCAAAAGCAGGGCTTTTCGTCCACCTGTGGTTGTGCATCCCAAGTACAGGAGGGGCGTTGGCTGGGGGTCACTGGACTCCCTCAAGACAGCTCGAATCAACTCCCTCACAGGCTGGGGGTCACTGGAGGGGCGTTGGCAAGAGGAGAGGGGGAAGTAAGCGGATGTTGAAAGGGAGAAGGGTGCGCGTCACATCGCCTTTCATTTCCATAAAGACAGCTCGAATGAACTCCCTCACAGGCTGGGGGTCACTGGAGGGGCGTTGGCAAGAGGAGGAGCGACGGGGAGGGGGCAGGGAAGGAGGGTAGGGGAGGAGGTTAGGGGAGGAGGTAAGGAATGACAGAGCGTTTTCATAAACTGTGCCCATCACATTCCATTCCCAGAAAGACCACTCGAAGAAACTTTCTTGCGGTTGAATGGGCCAAGCCACGGCTGATCCTAAAGCCGAGCAGCACAATGAATAAATAGGGCAGCCAGAAGCAGCAGCAGCACAACAACTTAGTGACTCACTTGCCATTGCAGGGGCTCAGCTGACCCTCAAGCCGAGCGGCACAGTATAATTATAGGGCAGGCAGGCAGGCAGGCAGGCAGGCATGCACTACTCAGTGACTCACTTGCTGTTGGGAGGGGCTCGGCCGCCCCCTGGGAGAAAGTACTCTCGTGCCCGCTGCAAGAAAGGAAAAGGGGGGGAGAAGAAGAAGGGGGAGAAGGGGAGGGAGTAAGAGGACGCGCGGGTGCAAAGATGGAAGAAGCACAGGAGAGAGTACACTGCAATGCTTTGCAGCTTCTACAAACACAACAACTTGTCTGAGAGCAAAGAGAGAAGGATAGGGTAGAGTGCCTGGAGTGGAGGCAACTTCACGAAGCTGCTTACCCCTCGACTGGTCACCAGGTTACCAGCTCTCACCTGGTTGGCTCCCTGCTGCAGCGCTGCCACCTCGTCTGGTGTAAACTTGGCCATTGACACCGACTTGACACGATGGTTCTTACCCCTTCACTGCCCGCCTCTCACCTGGTTCGCTCCCTGCTGTAGTGCCGCCACCTCTTCAGGCGTGAACTTGGCCATTGATACAGACTTGACACGATGATTGAACTCCCGAGTGCAAACAGCACCATGCAAAAAAAAAACATAGCACAGAAGAAGCATTGTACGAAAGGCGTTTACTAAAAAAAAAAAAAAAAACACCTGATAGAGGGAGAAGAATGGATCCCCATGCTCTTAAGGGAAGATGAGAAACATTGAATTGACGGCACAAAGCGCGGACAGCCAAGGTGGAGCAGAGAAAGAGGGCACTTGACTGGACCCCGCTGCATGAAGGGCAGATGAAGATGGCATAGTTGGTCCACACACACGTACTGAGAGAAGAATGAGGGGACACGAGGAAAGCTATTACAATAGAGCAGAACAGGCAATTAAGGTGGAGCAGAGAGGACAGGACACTCAACTGGACACCGCTGCATGAAGGGCAGACGAAGATGGCATAGTTGGTGCACACGTACTGAGGGCCCTGAGGGAGTGTGCAGTGTGTGTAGGCGAAGAGGGGAGACAGAGAATGATGAAAGTCGTGCGATGGGATGGGATGAGATGACGCATGCGTCCTTGGATACGTATTTCCATGATTTCTTAGGCGCCTCAAGAATGAAAGGCGTGCGTGGGATGGGATGACGCATGCGTCCTTGGATACGTCTTCTCATGAAAGGCAGACGAGGATGACAGAGTTGGTGCACACGTACGTACTGAGTCCCCTGGGGTGGTGGTGTACTGTGCAGCGTTGGCGAGAAACAGGAGGAGACTCAAAATTGGAAGACAGTTGGTGTTAACGAATGCGAGTAGGTTTTTGACATGATCTGACATTTACAGGACATTTACATAAGACGGGCATGGCAATGGCATCATGTTGAGATGAATTCTACAAAACACTGACATGGCGATGGCATCACATTGATATGACAGTTAGTGTAGGCAACATGACACTGACACGACATTGACGCGACACTACATTGTCATACGTTTCGCTAGTCGTTGCTGTGACAATGAGAAGGCACTGGCACGACAATCGAAACCCATCAACATGACATTGACACGACATTGGCATTTTCGGCCTTGCATCTCGCATGTTGCCACAATGTTCGAAGTCAACAGAAGCCACGGAATGTGAAGGACGGCAAGGCACTGTCCGGTACTGTATGGTATGGTGCAGCAGGGCATGAAGCAGGTACCAGACTGTTGCAATTGAAGCACTTCCGGTTTTCCGGGAGCTTCATCAGTGCGCGAATGATCTTCTCGTGCTTCTCGTCCTCCCTCATCGTGACCACCGCGACGACCGCGAAAAATCACGAACGACCACGAACAACCGCGAACGACCGCGAGCGACCGCGAACGACAATGAAAAGGTCACTCCCGGCGACTTCGACGACGACGACGACAATGTCGAGGACCTTCTTGACGACTTCGACTTGAAGACTACGGTCGCGAGCTCGTTCCCGCTATTCGCAACTTCGTTGTTACCCGACTGTGTGGTACCAAGTCGCTGAATGTTGAACAGATCGTGGTTAGTGTTTCTCCACTGGCCTAGGAGTGCCTCGGTTGGCTCGCACTGTACTCGGAACAAGAGAAACTCTCGGACGAGTTATGAGGAGCCGCAACGGAGGCAACACAAAGCCAGCTGCAAAGGATGGTGGTTAGCTCGAAGGATTTCATCGAACTGTCGGAAGGTGTGGTGGTACGTAGAGAGAGGCACTTGCTGGTGACAGTGGTGCAGGCTGGGATTGGCTGCGAAGGGTATTGCGATCGAGCGTCGTTTCGGCAGAGAGAAGTAACCAGTTTGTGCGAGACAGGTACCCCCTTTAGAAGATTCGATGGTCACTGGGCGGCATTACCATGGGGATTAGTTTCTACGTGTATGTTCTAGGGATGCTTCAAAAATCGGATTATATGCCTGTTATACCGCAAGATTAAACTGTATATGATTGCCATTGAAGACTTTTGTCTTCGTTACAGTGAATTGGACCACAAACGACGTGGCGCCGTTCGAGTCCAGCACAGCACCCACCAGAGGCAGCTGCGAATCGAGTGACAGCTGGCCTGGCGAGGTTTCGGCTATCGACGAAACTTCGTTCGTCGTGCAACAGATGCTGACGAAAGCATGCTTCGCGTTTCTGCGAAAATATTTAGGAGCCTGGCGATGCGATCGCCACTGAAACGCAGCCTTCAGCGACATCTATGCGACGTGCGCAAACAGCGAAACATGTAGGGATTTCGCGACTTGCTCGCCACAAAGGTGAGAATCATAAATCCGACAAGCTTCATCACATGTCACCAAATGTAAGCAAATCAGTTATGAACCTGACTTGCTGACTTGCTCTTGGGTTGTGTCAGCAAATTAGTTTAGCTGTTTGTTAGTAGCTGAGCAACGAAATCCAGAAAAGTCGCCGCTGCTGGTGCTATATACGCGACGCGAAGCTATGGCAGCGAGCGGTGCGCGCCGATGGGGGCTCGATCAACTATCAGTCCGTGGCAAGGTAGCTCTTGTAACGGGCGCCTCGTCGGGAATCGGCCACGATCTCGCGCTGTTCCTCGTGGCACGTGGATGCCACGTGGTCGCCGCAGCTCGGCGCGTGGACCGCCTGGATCAGCTGTGCGCGGAGGCGGAAGCAATGCGCCGAGAAGCGGAAGAATTGCGCCGAGAGGGGGAAGGGATGCGCGGAGAGGCGGAGGGCATGTGCGGAGAGGGGGATGATCCACGCAACGGGAGAAGCTCTGACTTATCAAACCCGGTTGACGCTGGAGGGCGGGAACGGCGGGCCGTGGGAAATGGTGACGTGACTCGGGAATCATCAGTCAGAGATTCTGGACGGCCAGGATCGCATTTCATTGTTGGAAACGAGATGCCGGGGCGCATGAGGGCTGTCGCGATGGACGTCGCGGCGGACGAGGTGGCGGTAGATGCGGCGGTGCAGGCGGCGTGGGACGCGTTCGGGCGGATCGACGTGCTGGTGAACAACGCGGGGTTCCGAGGTGAGGCGCGTTGACTCCCGTTGACTCGCGTTGACGTTACCACCAAGGCGTGATTCCACTACCCTGTGCTGACGTGAACGCCACGTGTTTCCAAGATTGCAGGGAAAAAGGTGGACGCGATCGACATCAGCCAATCAGAGTTCGACACGTCATTCCACACCAACGTCCGAGGCGCTTGGCTTGTTTCCAAAGCTGTGGTTCGGCGCGTGCTGGGGCGGACAGGCGGGGGGGCGCGAGCGGGGGGAAGGACCAGCGAGGGGGCGCGACGGGAGGGGAGGGAGATGGGGAAGGGGGGCAAAGGAACGGAGGGTAAGAATGAAAGGGCACTTGAAGGGGGTAGTAACGGAAGCACCCGCACGGTTTTGAGTGTAATCAACATCGCATCTACAGCCGGCATTCCTGGTGCCATTCTCCCCGGCGGTGCTGCCTACTCCTCCTCGAAATCTGCTCTCATGCGCCTCACCGTGGTGCGTACATTGGGAGGGAATGGTTAACTCGCTGAATGGAGGAAAGGCTGGGGGAAATGGAGCTGGGAGGCAGGGTGACGAGTATTTATGGTACCATTCTCCCCAACGGTGCTGCCAACTCGTCCTCCAAGGCTGCTCTCATGCGCCTCACTGTGGTGCGTGCGCGCGTTTTCTGAGGGGGAGAGGGGATGGGTTATGGGTGGGAGGGATAGAGAGGAGCGAGGAGAGTGGCAGTGGAGTAGGGTGGGAACATGGCATTCGTGGCTTGAGGCATCTGTAAGGCCGTAGTTTCCATTCTTTCTTCCTGCTTTCACTCCTTGCAAAGAACAATTTCAAGGAGTGGAAGACCTTGTGTTCTTGCGATTCCTCTCCTTCCCTTCACACCAGGCTATGGCGGTGGAGTTGGGGGAGCATGGCATCCGTTGCAACTGCATCGCCCCGGGGATATTCCGTTCCGAGATCACCGAGGCAAGAATGGCCGAAGGAAGGGGTGGTGGTGGGTTGGGGGGTGGGTGGGGGGGGTAAGTAGGGGAGGAAGGAAGAACAGGGGAGTGGAGTTGGGTTGGGGGAGCATGGCATTCGCTGCAACTGCATCGCCCCGGGGATATTCCGTTCCGAAATCACCGAGGCATGAAGGGGGAGGGGTGGAGGGGGGATTGGTGGCATTGGAACGCCAGGAGCTGCTGTGCGTGCATGGTTTCAGACTCTCTTGGGAAAGCCTTGATTGGTTAGGAATACACACCTTTTCTCTCGGCTCTCCTCCCTCCTTCCCTCTCTCTCTCTCTGCCTCTTACACTCTTGTGCTCAGATGCTCACTCTGCTCTTCTCCTCCCTCCTCTCTCTCATGCGGTTGTGCATGTGTTCAGAAGCTCTTGGACAAGCCATGGATGGAGAGGAACGCACAGGTGGTGGTGCCAATGCAGAGGTATGACAAGGTTTGGATGGGTTCAAAGGGTATACTGAGGATTGAGGGAGAAGGGCAAGCCATGGATGGATAGGAACGCACAGGTGGTGGTGCCAACCCAGAGGTACGACGAGGTTTGGATAGGTTTGAAGGGGTTCAGAGGTTGTCGAGAGGGGTATGGGTGTAAAGGAAAGTACGAGATCAGGGGTTTCGGGTTTAGGGTGGTGTGTATAGGGTGGTACACGTAATACGTTTGACCTCATATCGCTGCTGCTCGTTCTGACATTATTTTTAGATAATCTCCAACTGTTTCCTGCCTTTCCCTCCTTTCCACTTCTCTCCCAGGTGGGGTTCCATTCATCCTGACCTCACATCGCTGCTCCTGCTCCTCGCTTCTGACGCATCTGCCTACATCACAGGGCAGTGCATTGCCGTGGACGGGGGACACCACTTGATGCGAGCTAGGTTAAATCCAAAACTGTGACTCTCAAGTGGAATCATTGGAATTTCATGGTGTGGCTTTTGAGACAACTCAAAAATGATGTGGCTTGCATGAAGATGCTCTTACCATAGTCTCCCACTTAAGTGTACAACAAAGGACAACAAGAGCTCACAAATTCCAGTAATGAATCAACATCTTGAACCAATACCGATAGGAATTGTCATACTATGTCGAAACACATCAGATCATCATATCGAATCAGACCACTAAATCGCAGCAGGGACGTCAAGTGACCCTGAAGCTACGAGCCGTGATAGCACCTGCAAGCAATCGCAAGGGCAGGGCAGCAAAGGAAGCAACAAATCATGACATCCTTTTGATGGGAGAATTTCTATCCCGACACAAGCAGGAACAATCATGTGACCCCACTGCTACGAGACAGGAAAGCTCCTGCACTTTTTCTCATCTCACCTCCCTGCACCCCACCTCTCCGCATCCCACCTCCCCGCATCCCACCTCCCCACATCCCACCTCCCCACATCTCACCTCCCCACATCCCACCTCCCCGCATCCCACCTCCCCACATCCCACCTCCCCCCACATCCCACCTCCCCGCATCCCACGTCCCCGCATCACACCTCCCCGCATCTCACCTCCCCGCATCTCACCTCCCCACATCGCGCCTCTATCTTGATCTGAGCAATGCCATCAGCACGGTTTGGGCCCACAGCTAGCAGTGCTAACGGCTTGCCTTCATGCACACATTGGCTGGAAGGGGAGAGGAGGGTGGGGGAATGAAGCGGGTGGCGGAATGGGTAGTGGCAGGGGCAGCACGGAATTTTATCAGCACGGCTTGGCCCCACAGCTAGCGGTGCTAGCGACGTGCCTTCATGCATGCATTGACTGGACATAGGCAAAGGGAAGAGGGTGAGTAGGGAGACGCCGTAGTGGATACACGTAAAAGGAATTGTCGTGTGGGAAATTTCTCAAATTGAAGAAGAAAGGAAAGAGGGAGATGGGGGAGGTGGCGTGGGGGGCGAACATTGATTATCCCGTTATTTTCTTTCCTATCTATTTCCCACCTTGCGATCCTAAAAGCTGAGAGCACCATCAGCGAGGAGCCAACGACCAATAGCGACTCGGCAGATGACATCATCCGGGCAGCTTCTTGATTGCGGGCAGGTGGAAGGTTGTCGCCAAAAAGTACAACCTGCCCGAGGTCATGAAAATTACCACAAGAAAAAGAGCTCGAATAGCATGGGAAATAAAAAATATAATCTGTAGCATGGATATATCAAGACACAGTAAACGGCCTACTCACATTGGGCTTCAGCACGCCGCCACATGCACCACAGCTCGGCACAACAAACTCGCCATGTCTCTCCCACTCCTCCTCGCTGATCTCTATATCCCCATCGGGCCGCCTCCTCATGCCCATCAACTCTCGTTCAGACATTCCAGAATCAGCACTCCCAGACTCTACAATCCTCTGCTGCCGCCTCCTCATGCCGAATGACTCGTCTGACCCTGCTGGTTTGCCCTCCTCCAAGTGCTCCACCGCTGCTGCCCACTGCATGAAGAGGAAGCAGGGGGGAGAGGGGAGGAGAAGGGGGGAAGAGGGTGGGGCGGAGAAACATCACGTGCCTCTCCCACTCCTCTACGCTGATCTCAATATCCCCCATCTGGCTGCCCCCATCTGAATCATCCGACCCTGCCAGCCTGCCCTCCGCCAAATGCTCCAATGCTACTGCACACTGGCACGAGTTTGAAGCAGGGGAAAGGCGGGAGGAGATGGAGGAAAGAGGGTGCTGGTTTGAGAAGTCTAATTTGAGTGCTGGAATGCTGTGGTGTGGTCCAGTGGTTGGCCGGGAAAGAAGCAGCAAGGTGACTCTCGAGTCGACTCAAAAGTCACCTCTGTGGTTGGGCCGGAAAGAAGCAGCAGAGCATTCAAGGATGCCGGTTGGGTGGGGAGAAAAAAGCGTACGCAAACAAATGCAGCTTTCATGAATATTTCCTTGGCAAGAATGAAGCTATTCCACCCCACAACAATTTGTAGTTTTTTCCTTCTTCTTTTCTTCAGAATATATAAATGTATATACATATATATATATATATATCTTTTTTTTTTTCTGGGGTGCAAAGGTACTAGAGGGCCAGGCTCAGAAAAAGGAGAAGAACAGACCTCTGGGTTGGCTCCTTTGATCCTTTCCTGGAAGATTCTTCGACATGAGATGTCGCCACATTCCATGCAGACCACCTGGCGATGCAATGAGAACAACACATGACAGGGACCGAAAAAAGTCATGACATCACTTAGACGTCACACGAGTGTTTAACCACTAGTAGCACAAGACCGCTTACAATATTAAACACAAAAAAGAGGGCATCTCTTTCTTATGGAGCAACACGGACGAAGGGCACAGGCACGTTGGAAGATGTTGGAAGATGTTGAACATGGACGAAGTGTTCTGTTTTGCATGGTGGATGGAGCAAGGAAGCCTTACTCTCGCTACCCAGCTCAACTCACGCCCTTGAAAACCTATTTCCTTTTTTTACCTCATGGGTAGTGCCGTGGAGTTCAAGGGCTGGGCTTCCCGCGATGTGGTGTAGTCTGGGTGGAAAAACAATGGGCGTGTGGAATGGCAGGGGAGGAGGGGGAGGGGGAGGGGGAGGGGGAGGGGGAGGGGGAGGGGGAGGGGGAGGGGGAGGGGGAGGGGGAGGTGGAGGGGGAGGGGGAGAGGGAGGGGGAGGGGGAGGGGGATCACAAAGGGTGGTTCGCTGGAGTGCTGTGGAGTTCAAGGACTGGCTTCCCGCAATGCGGTGCAGTCGAGGGGGGGACATAGGTGAGTCACCTGGAAGCATGTGCGACACAACAGCGTCTGAAACGCACCTGCCAGCGTTCTGCGTGATAATGCCACCCTCCCGTCTCCCCCTCTCGTGCAGCCGTGCCAGTGCCCTGCGCACCAATGCCCTCAGTGACCTCCCCAATCACGCCTCCACCACGCCTCCACCACGCCTCCCAAACACACTTGGCTAAGTCTCTTCGCCACACGCCTTACAGCATCTGAAACGCACCTGCCAGCGTTCTGAGTGATAATGCCGTCCTCCTGTCTCCCCCTCGCATGCAGCCGCGTTATTGCCCTGTTCGCCGTGCCTCTCAAGCAAGACAGTCTAGCCCCCTTGCTACATGCCTTGCAAGTTGCAGCGTGTGAAACACACCTGTCAACGTTCTGAGTGATAATGCCGCCCTCCAGCCTCCCCCTTGCATGCAGCCGCGCCAATGCTCTGTGTGCGGTTCCTGGTCGGGCAGCTGAAAATCTCCGCCAGCCAATGAAGCTGCGAGCCCAGTAGCGTCTCCGGGCAGACAGAGAACGAACAAAGTCCTGGCGTGAAGAAGGAGAATAGCAGCAATAAGAAGGGCACTGAGGCGCCTCAAAACACTCTCCTGACACCATTCCCCAAAACCTGCGATTGGAGTAAGAGGATTAAAAAGGGAACTGAATTGTTGGGTGGATCTTGCAGTGTACCCTTTACTGAATGCTTCCTTACCAGCCATATCTTCAAATGCATGAAAACTTTAAAAAGTGACTCTCCCTCTCAAGTACCTGCCTGATGGATCATTGGCTTGTACCCCTTACTGTATGCTCCGCCTGGGCTGCACGTTTATCAAAACGCAAGATCCATGCAGTCGTGCAAAACCATGCAACCAGAAAAAAATCGAATTAGTGAATCAGAAACCAAAAAAAAAAACAAAAATCCCGTCAAGAAAGTTTCAGGAACTCTCTGGCGTGCTGATCACAGCGACTGTTAGCACCACCACCGGTCCATTGAAAAACATTCCCTTCTATAATCCGAAATGCCACTCTGCGTGCTCACTCCAGCGCCAGTCAGCACCAGCAGCTACCGCTTTGAATATATCTCTGTTTATCCCCGTTATAGACTGACCTTCTGTAATCCGGAATGCCACTCTCCGTGCTCACCCCAGCGCCAGTCAGCACCAGCAGCCGCCGGCTGCCAGCCACGAAATCGTGCAGCTGCTCTAGCTGTCCGTCCGTGATTGGCGGAGCGTCAGGGATTATGGACGTTGCTAGACTGCGAGAGAACTGGGTACCTGCTGACGAATGGCGACTACGGACAGACGCTGCGTGATGTTTTCGATTGAACGGCTCTTTCAAGTTCAATCTGGATGCTAGATTAATATCCTCTTTACCACTCCCACACGCGGTTCGAATGCCAGAGGCGACATGGCTAGTCGTGCTACTCGCACTGCCGGAAAATGAGTGATACGATCGGCTAGTGTTGCTACCACTACCACTGCGACTGATACTACTGTTCTTGATTCCATAAGTCGAATGGATCCGCGATTGAAGCATGCTCTCGTTAGGCGACAAGAACACCCTCCCAGAACCAATCCCCCGTGGTCTATAGCTAAATCTTCTATAATCAATACCTCTAATACTGAATTTCGCAGGACTTAGTCGCCAGGCCCACTCCGTCAAGTGCGAGCCATGGACCATGTTAGCTAGCAATCTCGCCATTGATCACCCGAGAGAAAACGACGAATTTTCCTTCCAGAGAGATCAACAACTGAAAGTGAAAGCGAGGGAACTCGCTCAAACTGACGGTAACAGCGAACTGATGGAGAGGGTACTAACGTTCGCGAACTGACGACGTCATCATCCTTCGGAGGCTTCTGGAGCTCCAGAAAGCCACAGGCATGACAAATGAGGGTGGCATCAAGTGAAGCAAACTTTGGTTGATTGTGATGCTTTACGTTATGAACCGGTTCAGAAAGGTATCGAGTGTATTCCGCCTTATGTTAATTCTCCAGTGGGTCGTCAGTCTCAAGGCAAATGTGACTGGAAGGGATGGGAAGGAAATCTGCGTTTTTAAGTAGCTCGTTACAGAGGTATACCGATAGTGGCTGCTTTTCTTTTGCCAAGATAAATTCAACTTCATCGCACGGAAAAAGACATAACGTGTCGCTTTTCGTAAATTCGTATCACCCGATGTCTCCCACCGGCACGAGGGTTTTAGGCAGCCTGTCATCATTCTCACTCAATTCGGCACCACTCCCTAGAGCTCTATAACGCCGGCTTGATAGGTAGTACCAGATTGCACCGCACTAGATAACCTGAATCTGGCCGTCATTAGGTCACACAAAGCGGGATTCTTGAAGATATTAGATATTTTCCGCCTCATCTCTTCCTCACCATCTTGCTGGCGCTCACAAGCTTCCAGTTTCTTCCCGAATCTCGCGTGATTCGCGGTGCTGTACGCCTGTTACGCCTTTGTCTAACTCACACATAGTTAGTCGGCAGCCGTTAGTAGTCGCCGTCAGTCGTTAGTCAACTGCCGTCAGCCGTTAGCTGTCACCCGTCAGTTAGCCACGCAAGATGATTTACGACGTCAACTCGGCGCTCTTCCGGTCGTTTCTGAGCACCAAGGGCGCAGTCGTCGACAAGAAGTAAGCTCTCCTTTGCTTCTTAAACGTACCCGTTAACCTCGTTCTTTACCTCATAGTTTCCGCACCCTGCGGGTTGAACATAGAGGCAACGTCCGACGATTGTTTTGGTGTCATTATGCTCTTCTTGTTCCATTAATTTTCCCTCCTTATTCCTCCCTTTTGCCTCCGCCTTCCCCCCTCGTTCGTCCGCAATGCGTGCGTGGGAGCAGGAAGACGGCGTTCGACGAATGTTGAGGTGCCACATGGAAGGTTCTGGTCATCCTCCAGTTTCCTCCTTTCCCTGCTTCTGATTCCTCCTTTCTCCCTCCTTCTCCCTTCGTTTCCCCCTCTTTCTCCCCCCCCCCACGTTCGTCCGCAATGCGTGCGTGGGAGCAGGAAGGCAGCGTCCGACGATGCATCAGCCGCAGCAGCTGCAGCCAGTCTCAAATGCTCTTTTGATTCCATTCAATTTCCCCTCTTTTTTCCCTCCCGTTTGCCTTCTTTCGTCCCATTTTCCGTCCGCAATACGTGCTTCGAAGCAGGAAGACGGCGTCCGACGATGCAGCGGCGGCAGCAGTGTCAGCGGCTCTGAAGGAGGCGTCACTGAAAGACACGCCCAAGCCCGATTCCACCACCATTCAGCAACCCGCCAAGTAGTGTGCTCCGTAAATGCGAAAGACGTCAGTGTAATAACATATATTTCCAATGTTGCCCAACTTGGTTTTGAATATAGAGGATGCGGCCAACTGCGATGGGTTGGGTAGGGTTGGGTTGGGCTGAGCTGGGCGGGGCTGGGTTGCGCTGAGCTGGGCGGGGCTGGGTTGGGCTGGGTTGGAACTTGGATTCCCTTCTCTGCCCCTCCTGACTAGTGCCTACACCCATGCGCATGCCTGTGCGCATGCTAATGCCCATCAAACAGATCGAGCAGAAGAGATTGCCTGGAGTGGAGAGGGGAAGGGATTGAGTTGTTTTGCATACACATGGGATGGCATGGAAACATGGCTTCATCTGAAGAGGAAGTCAAAATATTCGGCTATACTTGGGGCATTGTTTCTGTAAGCACCAGGACGTGAACATCTGAGTCAAGCAAGCACAGGTCTAAGCAGTTGCTATGGGCAGGGCATCATCACTGTTGCCTCCAGCTCTTTGGTGTGCGTGGTCGTTAAGGGAGCAGCAGCAAGCCCCCCCTCCACCAGAGTCCACCTCAATGCGGTCCCCATCACCACTGTTGTCCCACGCGAAGCACACAAACATGGTGGCGACGACGGGCACGAATACTGTCCAGACCATTCACTCACGCCCCCAACTAACCATTTGATCTAGGCACCACTGTGGCCACGACAGTGTGTGTGGTGGCTAAGGGAGCAGCAGCACCGCCAGTGGCACCCCCAGCAGAATCCACTTCAATGCGGCTGTCCCACGCGAAGCACACAAGCGTGGTGGCAACGACGCCTGTCAGACTTGTCAGACACATCATTATGCGTGTGACCTGGGCACCACTGTAGCTGCCAGCTCCTCAGTGTGTGAGGTGGCTAACGGAGCAGCAGCACCCCCTGTGGCACCTCCAGCAGAATCCACCTCAATGCGGTTGTCCCACACGAAGCACACAAACATGGTGGCGACGACAGGCACGAACACGAGCTTGAAGGAGAATACTGTGATGCCGACGGCGAGAGCGACGGGGAGGAAGACGAAGAGCGCTTGGATGGTGTCTGTCTTGAGGAGATGGCCGAACAGCGGGAGCATGAGAATAGACTGTAGTGTGAGAGGGAGAAGAGCAGGGAGAGATGGGCGGGAATGGAGAGAGGGAAGGGCAGACATGAAAGGGGGGAAAGGGGGAGAGCAATGGAGATTAGCAAATAGAAAGCAGGGAGGATGTGATCGGGTGGCGACGCCAGGCACGAATACGAGCTTGAAGGAGAAAACTGTGATGCCGACGGCGAGAGCGACCGGGAGGAAGACGAAGAGGGCTTGGATGGTGTCAGATTTGAGAAGATGGCCAAAGAGAGGTAGCATGCGGATTGACTGGGAGAAAAGGGGAAATAGGGGGAAAAATGGCCAGGGCAGAGCAGAACGGGCAGGGGTAAGGGAGCACAGGGCACAACGAATGAGATGCCAATGAAGAGAGCTTGGATGGTGTCGGCCCTGAGGAGATGACCCAACAGAGGCAGCACGAGGATGGACTGATACGGGAGAGGTGGAGTGGCGGGAGATGGTGAGAGGAACGAGAGGGTGAGGGGGAGAGACCAGAGGGAATTGTAGAAACGAAGCTGACAAGCCGCGGTGCGGGTGAGAACAGCTTATAACAGGGACATGGAGGCAGGCATACAGGCAGGCAGACGGGCAGGCAGGAAGGCAGGAAGAAAGCAGGCAGGCAAGCAGACAAGAACGAGCTGACTTTGAGTCGACTCAAAAGTCAAGCAGACAAGAACGGCTTTCAAAGGAAGAGGAGAAGGATCAAGGTGACGATGGTGGAAATGACTCCCAGGATGCACTTGGTGGTGAGGTTGACAGCTAGCGCGGACTTGAGGTGAGAGTAGCTTAAACAGGGACATCCAGACACGCCGGCAGACACTTCTTACTGGGAAGAGGAGAAGAAGGGTGACGACGGTTGAGATGACACCAAGGATGCACTTGGTGGTGAGGTTGACAGCTAGTAAGTAACTTGGGTGGGAACAGCTTATAGTGAGAGACAATTCTTACCAGGAAGAGGAGAAGGGTGACGACGGTTGAGATGACTCCGAGGATGCACTTGGCGGTGAGGTTGACAGCAAGAGCAAGTAACTCGTGTGGGAACAGCTTATAGTGAGTGACGAATTCTTACCAGGAAGAGGAGAAGGAGAAGGGTAACGACAGTGGAGATGACTCTGAGGATGCACTTGGTGGTGAGGTTGACAGCTAGTAAGTATCTTGGGTGAAAACAGCTTATAGTGAGTGACGAATTCTTACCAGGAAGAGGAGAAGGAGAAAGGTAACGACGGTTGAGATGACTCCGAGGATGCACTTGGCGGTGAGGTTGACAGCGACGGCGGACTTGAGGTAGTTTAGACGAGGTCAGTTGGGCAGGCAGGCAGGTGGGACCGCAGGCGGAAAGGCAGTTCTTACCAGGAAAAGCAGGAGAAGAAGGGTGACGACGGTGGAGATGACTGCGAGGATGCACTTGGCGGTGAGGTTGACAGCAACGGCAGATTTGAAGTGGTTGCGCAGCAGAGAAGTGGAGAGCGCGAGCGAGCGGCGCGAACCGTGGCCTGAAATGGCCGCCACCACCACCACGAACCTGCGGAAGAAAAAGGGGATTGGGGAGGGGTGAGATGCGGAGGGAATAAGGAAAGGCACTTGAAGTGGTTGCGCAGCAAAGTGGAGAGCGCGAGCAAGCGGCATGAGCCGTGGCCTGATATCGCTGCTACCACCACCACAAACCTGGTGGGGAGGAGGAATTGCGGAGGGTGAGGGCAGATGCACGTGCGATGATGGAAGGAAGGAGCAGGAGCGGAGGAGGAGGAGGGGGAGGTGGGGTGGGGAACAGGGGAGTGGCAGACACGTGGAATGATGACGTGTGGAATGATGACGCGTGGAATGATGACGCGTGGAATGATGACACGTGGAATGATGACACGTGGAACGATGACGCGTGGAAAGTGGGGAGCGAGTCGTGAGGAAGGAGTCGGGAAGGAGACCAGCAGATGTGCAGCAAGCTTTGAGAAAGCACAGAGAGTGGCAGAAGAGGAGGAGAGAAGCACAAGGGACAAATGAGGGCATCAGGGTTATGAGGGCATGAGGGCACAAGGGACAATCTGAAATGAAGTTTCACGCAGCTAGACTCACCAGGTGAAGAAATACGTGAAGATGAAGAGAGCGAATGCGATCGCGACACGTGGCACCACGACAATCGCCGACATCCCGAACAGCCAAATCACAAGCACGTTCAGCAGCACAGACACCACCGTTGCCAGCGTCAGGATAAAGCTGACTAGGCAGATGGTACCCATAGACGAGGAGTAAGCTAGCTTGACTGCCCAAGCCACTACATTCCATCGATCCACCAGGGCGTCTCGATCAAACCACCCTCCGGCTTCGTCTTGCAAGCTCCCCACCCTGCTGCTGGTGGTGGTGTTGTGTGATTCGTTGGAGTCGCCATTACTGTAGACCTGCGCTACTGTAGCTGCGGCGATGAACTGGAGAGTCACGCCGATTTGATACGCCATCCAGATGCCTATAAAGAGGAAGATTACAGCGAGTGGTGACAGCCAGTGCTGAACCGCTATAGTGTCACCCCATAAGACACATCTCTCCTCCTGGGCATGAAACGGCGAATCAGGCGATCCGAACAGCGGGTCCTGTTGCATTAAGAACCTGCAGGAGAAAACCAGCTCAACGAGGCTGGCTATAACGGGTACAAACAGGACGATGCAGAGGAAGGAAAAGATCGCCACCCCCACTATGAGGCCCCGGGCTCGGGTCATCACAGCCTGGGAGGCTCGACCAATCACAGTGGAGGAAAGAGGGTGGTAGCCCCTGCAGACCAGTAGCACTGCGAGAACGGCCAATCCGTTAAGTAAATCTGTTAGGAACATTTCAAGACTGAGAACGTAGTTTGCGTTGGGGTCAGGTCCAGGAGGTGGGGGTACGGGCTGGTTCGGATTTTGTGCTGGCACTGGTTCTGCAGCTTCCTGGAGCTTTCGCCTGTTGAGATAAGCAGCGAGGTGATTGGCAGCCGTGGCAGTGATGACGTGGATGTGAGGCCCGTCTGCTGACGTGTCACGTAGGAAACGTGACATGGAGAACGGAGCCGCGGACTCCAAAATGCTCGCCGCTGATTGGCCGCCGATACCCCCATGCGCGGCTGCTGACGTGGATGTGGATAAGGGAACCCCGGAAATCGCGGACTGTGGGGGCGCGTCAGGCGCCGCAGGAGCCGCCGGGGATCCCGGCGGCGGCGGAGGCGGCGTGTGAAGCGCCATGAGGCTGTGAATAACGAAGAACGCTACAGTAACTCTGAGGCACCACTTGACGAGCTTAACGGACATCCTTCTAACGCAGACAAGGAAAACGAACATGGTCGGGAAGATCGACACCAAGGCGATGGCAAGCGCGGAGAGCGCTTCGAGAGAGAAGAAACGCGACGCGAAGGAGTTAAGGGACAGCAACGGTCGGATGAACCAGGAGAACTCCCGCAGAACGAAAACCGCCGCGCAGATTATGAAAGCTCCGGCCCAGACCGGCTCGCGAATGGGACGCTCAGATGCGTTGAACACAGACGCGGAAGCGTCCAGATTCAGATGACCGCCGGCGCCAAAACGACCGCTTTCCCCGCTTTCGCCGGTTTCCTCGGAGAATTTGGCCATGGCTGATCGTCCTGTCTTCGCTCCTGTCAATCCGCCAGTCTCTTCGTCGTTATCACCGTTTTCGTCGTCGTCTTCGACGTCGTCCCGGCGAGAGACGAGCGGCTTGGTCATGGAGTCTGAATCTGCTTCGGTGTCGGCGATGCTGATGTTACCAGTGCTGCTCAATTCTCCTGGAACTGGAGCTTTCGCCGGTTTAGTGCTGCTGCTCGAAGCAGCGACGTCGTCGGGTAGACCAGACATTTTTGTAGCTGTCAAGAGGCAGGGACTAGCGTGACGAAACTTACGGAACCAGCGTTCGAAAGAAAATCTTGTGAAAACGAGAATGGAATCTAAGAAAAGTCGTTCTTTTCAAGACGTCCTAGCAATACTGTGTCCGAAAGGAAACATCTGATTAGAGAAGAAAGACACTACTTTTATTTCTCAAAACCTAGTAGATCATACTCGCTTCACTCAGAAACGCCATGGCACAACGAAAACTGGAAGTGAGGGCGCATCACCTCGGGGCTGGAAGGCCCAAATCCGAACATACGTAACGAATTCACTGTACGAACAGTTTCCCGACGAGATCCGAACACAAATTTGAACACCTTGGTGAATGTGACAGCTCGTGACTAGAGGTGACAGCCTGTTCGAACATACGACGTCGCCAAGTGCTGGACGACTTCGTGAAACGTCGCAAAAAAATAATTCTGTCGTCTGCCATTCAAGTTTGACTCATTTTTCGCCCATCCAGTCAAACAGTCTCTTCGTGCTCTTCTACTACTGCTCACCTTGTTGTTTCCCAACAACAATGTCCTTTTTGATGAACTTTCTCCTGCATGGCGACATTTGCAATGGTCGCAAACATTCGAGTGCGACCCGAAGCCTGCTAACCAATAAAATCAGTCGTCCATGCGGAATTCCTGTCACCAAACCCAACTTTGTTCGAACAACTCTGTTCGAACGTGCGGAATGGAGAGCTTCGTGCCCCGTGTGACAACTCTGTTCAAATTCGCGAAATTTCCGACTAGCGACGTCACGAACACCCATACGAGGAGTGGCGAAAATGTAACATTTCGCCTGTTCGAACAACCGTCCTGTTCGAACTGAGAGGTGAAGCGCCCTGAGAACCTAGCAGCGATGGAAATATGTCACGAGTCAATGTGAGCAAGAGATGGTGGACATCTGCTGCATTCCCAGAATGTGACGCAACGCAACACCGCGGTCCAATGCGTTTCAGAGCGTTTGAGAATGGTTCGTGAACATCTAAAGCGTTCAACCATGGATTACCGAACCATACCAGGTCAAAGTATGCGAGTTCCCAGGTTCCTCAAGAGATGACACCGAGGCACCGGCTTGCTACAGCCTAAGATTACTTGTACTCGATAAAGTTGCTCCGTTTCACGTTAAAAAAACGGAATGCACAATTCATATAACAGAGGTACTGTCTAAAGCTGAAATGCCATTTACATATGGATGTGACTGCAAGCAGATACATTGATCACTTCAGACATTGTGAGAAAGCTTTGCAGGCAACATAATCAGGTAACATTCATAGCCAGTTACTTCACATCACATTATCAGTCAGGGCTCGAACCCCATGTGGCTGCTGGGTCATCCCCCCTTGTGAGGTACCCCTTTCTGTGCGCCTGAAAGTGCACTCCCAGGAATTGAACCGGCGACGTCTGCTTCTCCCCTTCCTTGGCCCAGTCGTCAAAATGAGTGTAGTGCATAGAAGAGGGGCACTTCATGCCGTCCTGAGGACGATACTTAAAGAATTGAGTGGGCGTCTGCAGGGGAAGGGGGGGGGGGGGAGGGGAGCAGTGAGAAGAACAGGAAGGTGCAGCAGCAGGAATTGAACTCGCGAAGTCTACTTCTTGCCCTCCTTGGTCCAGTCGTCAAAGTGAGTGTAGTACATCGGCGATGGGCACTTCATGCCGTCCTGAGGCCGGTTACTTAAAGAACTGAGTGGGTGACTGCAGGGGAGAACGCAGTCGCAGGAATTGAACCGGCGACCTCTGCTTCTCGCAGTCCTTGGCCCTGTCACTCAAGTGTGTGCATATGCTATGTTATCAAAGGCTTTTCAGCCCCTAAAACATTGTCAACAGCTGATGCGGCTCTGTTCTTACCTGAATAAATAAGTAGCTATTGAAGACACACCACCCCTTGTCCCACCAGTAAGAGAAACCAGTCATTTTCCATACAGGAAACCTGCTATGCTCTGTCGAGAAGTCAAGTTCTCACCTGGATGGAGAAGTTGTTATCAAAGACGCACCACCCCTCGTCCCACCAGTCTGTGGCGTTGCACCAGCGGGGCGTTGCAAACGAGTCGACCCGGAACTTGGGTGTGAACTTCCCCCGTATGCGCGCTGACCGCTCGGGAGTGACCCCACTCTCCTTGTCACAGATGCACTGATGGGAGGGGCAGGGTGGGAAGGGACAGAGGGGAGGGAAGAGAGGCAGGAAGGGGAGGATGAAAGGGAGGCATGGCACCAGCTACCACAGGGGCGTTGCAAACCAGTCGACCCGGAACTTGGGTGTGAACTGCCCTCGTATGCGCACTGACCGCTCGGGAGTGACCCCACTTTCCTTGTCACAGATGCACTGATGGGCGGGGGAGTGCGCGGGTGGGAGTCAAAACGGAAAAACAGGGAAGGGGGTGGGAGTTAAAACGGGGAAACAGGGAAGGAGGGTGGGAGATAGAAACGAAAAGTTGGATTCATTACTAATACCTGCAGGTGTTGCACTATAATTAACCACACCTGTGGGACCAAGTTGTGGGGGTTCCTCATCCAGGAAATACTGTAACAAAGTCAAGCATCAAGGGAGACGATTAACCATACTTCTGGATGTAAGAATAGTACCTGTGGGTGCAGGTTTCTGAAGGTTCTTCATCCAGCACCCCGTGTGCGTGTACCATCCCAGCACCACCCTGTCGTTATAAGCACAAATAGAGATGTAGGGGCACACGCATGCGGCGTACCTATTCATGCCTGTGGATGTAGACTCAGCCACACCTGTGGGTGCAGGTTTCTGGGCGTTCTTCATCCGGCACACCCTGTGAGTGTACCATCCCAGCACCCAATGTATACATATTACTCATACATGCAGGTTCTGGGCTCTGATCAACCAGGGTGTAGGGTTTCAAATTTACCTGGGGGTGCAGGTTCTGTGGGTTTTTCATCCAGCAGATCCTGCGCGTGTACCAGCCCAGCACCACCATGTCGTTATAAGCACACATGGGGATGCCGGGGCCCAAGCATGCTGCATATCTACTCATCATACCTGGGGGTGCAGGTTCTGAGGGTTTTTCATCCAGCAGATCCTGTGCGTGTACCAGCCCAGCACCACCATGTCGTTATAAGCACGCTCCGCTACAAGCCGTGCATCGCCAGGTTGCCCGTACAGGGTTGCTTCCTAGAGAGGACAACAAGAGAGGGGGGCAATGTGATAGTAGTAGTTACATTGCTGTTATAAGCACGCTCCGCTACAAGCCGCGCATCACCAGAGGCTGCCCGTACAGCGTTGCTTCCTGGATGAGAGGAAGAAGGAATGTGGAGAGAGGTGGTTTTTGAGGCGCCTCAAAAACCACCTCAATGCAGCGTTGCTTCCTGGATGAGAGGAAGAAGGAATGCGGAGCGGGAGAGTAGGGGAATGGCTATGGGAGCTTTATTAGGAGCTTCAAAGGCCTGGTTGGCCGTACAGAAGTGCTTCCTTAGGTGAGACGAAAGAAAGAAATGGGGAAACAAGCAACAGCCAGCCACCATGTCGCTATGAGCATGCTCACCAACAGAGCAGCACCTGAGGACCAACAGAGCAGCATCTGAACACCAACAGAGCAGCACCTGACCAACACCTGAGCGCATACCTGAACAAACAGCTGGAAGAAGTCGAGGAAGTCAGAGAGAGCATCGTACGTCCAGAGGGACACGTGCCCACTCACTGCTGTGGACGCATACTGGCTGGGGCCTGGGGCACGAAGACTGTTAAGGAATGGGTGAGGGAAGGAGGGAAGGAAGGGGAGAGGGAACAGTCAGAGAGGGCATCGTACGTCCAGAGGGACACGTGACCGCTCACTAGCGTGGATGCATACTGGTTGGGACCTGGCGCTCGGAGACTGGTAGGGAGCGGGGGCAGATAGAAAACGGGGCAAAAGGGAGGATGAAGGGATGGCGAGGGGAGTGGGAAGGAGGAGAGGACATCCAGAGAACATGAGAACATCACACGTACAGGCAACCTAAAATTTAAAAGGACGCGAGAACATCACACGTACAGGCAACCTGAAATTTAAAAGGACGCGAGAACATCACACGTACAGGCAACCTGAAATTTAAAAGGACGCGAGACACAGATGCGTACTGGCTGGGGCCCGGGGCTCCGATAGAGCGGGGCTGCGATAGTGCGGGGCTCCGATGGTGCGGGGCACTCAGAGCACAAGTGAGGAGCACGTGCAATCAAACCCCAAACAGGAGTCATGGTCTTTGCGTGGCAGCAGCAGCTTTTAGCAAACTGTTTGTTTAGTGTGTGTTAAAACTTGCTTTGAAAACCTTGTGTAAAGGAATAATTGCGGTAACTAGTTGTGGCTGGCTGGGGCCTGGGGCTCTGATAGTGCGGGGCTCCGATGGTGCGGGGCACTCAGAGCACAAGTGAGGAGCACGTGCAATCGAACCCCAAACAGGAGTCATGGTCTTTGCGTGGCAGCAGCAGCTTTTAGCAAACTGTTTGTTTAGTGTGTGTTCAAACTTGCTTTGAAAACCTTGTGTAAAGGAATAATTGCGGTAACTAGTTTTGGCTGGCTGGGGCCCGGGGCTCCGATAGTGCGGGGCTCCAATAGTGCGGGGCACTCAGAGCACAAGTGACGAGCACGTGACGTGTGCACCCTCGACGTTGGCGTGAGGGGTACCAGGGGGTATAGTGCGAAGCGTGAGACGCGCTGTATCCCACCCCACCCATACCTGGGCCAGCGCTGGGACAGCCACCAGATACATGCAGGAAAGGAGAATGGCGACGACTTTTGAGGCGCCTCAAAAGTAGGCAGCGCTGGGACACCCACCAGGTGCATGCGGGAAAACAGCATGGTGGCGAGTGCAGTGACGTTGGCAAATAGGCATCCACACACCTGTGCCCATGCCTCCCATACGTATAACCCATGCCGCCATTACCTAAGGAGTCGCTGCACCGATCCCACTCGTACCTGGGCCAGCGCTGCGACACCACCAGATGAACTCTCGAGAAGAGCCTGGTGGCGAGATCTGTGATGTTGGCGACGAGGCACCGACACATCCACGCCCATACTGGCACCCTCCATACCCATGCACAGCAGTGTACCTGGGCCAGCGCTGGGACACGATCAAGTGGACTCTCGAGAAGAGCCTGGTGGCGAGATCTGTGACGTTGGCGAAGAGGATGACGTCCGAGTCGAGGAAAAAGACGCCCCTATACCCCACATGCATAACCCCCCACAACTGAACACCCAACCATACCTGGGCCAGCGCTGCGACACCACCAGGTGAACTCTCGAGAGCAGCCTGGTGGCGACCTCTGTGACATTGGCGAAGAGGATGACGTCCGAGTCGAGTAAAAAGATGGCTATACACCCCGCACCATAACCACCACCCCGAACACCTACAAACCTACGCACCCATACCTACGCACCCATACCTACGCAACCATACCTACGCACCCACACCTACGCACCCATACCTACGCACCCATACCTACGCACCCACACCTACGCACCCACACCTACGCACCCATACCTACGCACCCATACCTACGCACCCATACCTACGCACCCATACCTACGCACCCATACCTACACACCCATACCTACGCAACCATACCTACGCACCCACACCTACGCACCCAGACCTACGCACCCACACCTACGCACCCATACCTACGCACCCATACCTATGCACCCATACCTACGCACCCACACCTACGCACCCATACCTACGCACCCATACCTACGCACCCATACCTACGCACCCATACCTACGCACCCACACCTACGCACCCATACCTACGCACCCATACCTACGCACCCATACCTACGCACCCATACCTACGCACCCATACCTACGCACCCATACCTAGGCACCCATACTTACGCACCCACACCTACGCACCCATACCTACGCAACCATACCTACGCACCCATACCTACGCACCCACACCTACGCACCCAGACCTACGCACCCACACCTACGCACCCATACCTACGCACCCATACCTACGCACCCATACCTACGCACCCATACCTAGGCACCCATACTTACGCACCCACACCTACGCACCCATACCTACGCAACCATACCTACGCACCCATACCTACGCACCCACACCTACGCACCCACACCTACGCACCCACACCTACGCACCCATACCTACGCACCCATACCTACGCACCCATACCTACGCACTCATACCTACGCACCCATACCTACGCACCCATACTTACGCACCCATACCTATGCACCCATGCCTACGCACCCACTCGTACCTGCGCCAGCGCTGCGACACCACGAGGCGGACTCTTGAAAACAGCATGGTGGCGAGCTCAGTGATGTTGGCAAAGAGGATGACGTCCAAGTCGAGGAAGAAGATGCACCCACGTGTAGCCCACCATGCAGCCACATTGCCCCACACGCATACGGGTAGCCCACACGCCTGAATACCTGCACACCTAGGCAAGCACATGCGTTCGTACCTGGGCCAGCGCTGCGACACCACGAGGTGCACCCTTGAAAACAGCATGGTGGCGAGCTCAGTGACGTTGGCAAAGAGAATGACGTCCGAGTCGAGGAAGAAGATGCGCGGAAAGGCATGGCGCTCCATGAAGGCCTTCAGGATGAACCAGCGCACCTGAGGGAGTTGGGGGGGAAAGGGGGGGGAGAGGAAGGGAAGGGAGAGAAAGAGGGAGTTGACATGAGATACATGAGGGTAAGCGGAGATGAGGGGAGAAGACAGAAGGCATGGCGCTCCATGAAGGCCTTTGGGATGAACCAGCGCACCTGAGGGAGTTGGGGGGAGAAGGGGAGATGGGAGACACAACGGGACAGACAGGGTGACCCTGATGTGCGGGTTTAGGCACCTGTAAGCCTACCTGATCTGATACCAGGACACAGGGTCACCCAGACTGGCCGAGAAAGAACCAGCCAACGACATCTTGATACCCGATGACAGGGTCCAAAACGATATCCAGCTCCCTCGCCATCTCCACACACTCATCGCTGTCCGGCCCGATGAAATACACCACCGCGTTGCCGTTGAGAGAGTGTCACAGCATGCCATTGAACGCACCTGATAAGACACAGGATCTCCGAGGTTAGCAGAGAACCAGCCAACCACGTCTTGGTACCCTATCACTGGGTCCAGCACGATATCCAGCTCCCTCGCCATCTCCACACACTCGTCGCTGTCGGGCCCGATGAAATACACCACCGCGTTGCGCTGCGCTGCCGAGTGTCTGGTGTGGCGCAGACAGACAGTCTAGTGCCTGGTATGGCGGAGACGAGCAGCATACACACCCACCTGGTAGGACACAGGATCCCCAAGGTTGGCAGAGAACCAGCCAACGACATCTTGATACCCAATGACTGGGTCCAGCACGATATCCAGCTCCCTCGCCATCTCCACACACTCGTCGCTGTCCGGCCCGATGAAATACACCACCGCGTTGCGCTGCCGCGTGTGGCGCAGGTTGCGGTGCATGAAGTGCGAGGGGCGGCAGGCCACTGACCCTGACGGCTGCTGGTGGACTACCACCACTGGAATGGGCTGGTGGGGGAAACAAAGGGAGACACGTAGGGGAGATGCAGGGGAGAGAGAGGGCATGTGGAATGCCGCGCGTGGCACAGAGCAGGTTGCGAGGCATGTAGTGCGAGGGGCGGCAGGCCACTGAGCCTGACGGCTGCTGATGAACCACCACCACTGGGATGGGCTGGGAGGGGGGAGAAGGGCGTGTGGGGCAAAGGCAAGAGGAGAGGAAAGAGGGAGAGGAGAGCTTGTGTGGTGTCGCGTGTGGCGCAGGTTGCGAGGCATGTAGTGGGAGGGGCGGCAGGCGACTGAGCCTGACGGATGCTGATGCACCACCACCACTGGGATGGGCTGGACGGGGCCGACAAGAGAGGGAACGGGGGCGGGGAGGGAACGAGCATGCAGTGAGATGGCTCCAGTGCCGCGTGTGGCGCAGGTTACGGTGCATGTAGTGCGAGGGGCGGCAGGCCACTGATCCTGACGGCTGCTGGTGGACTACCACCACTGGGATGGGCTGGGGATGGCAACAAAGGGAGACACGCAGCAGAGACGCAGGGGAGAGAGTATGTGCGGTGCCGCGTGTGGCACAGGTTGCGGTGCATGCAGTGAGAGGGGCGGCAGGCCACTGAGCCGGACGGCTGCTGGTGAACCACCACCACTGGGATGGGCTGGGGAGGAAAACCAAGAGGAGACACGCTAAGGAGACACAGGGGAGAGGGAGGGGAAAGGGAGGGGAGGAAAATTGGAGGGACGGAAAGGAGTATGGATGTTCGCTGGTGTCGTGTAAGGCTGCGGTACATCCAGTGGGGGGCGGGCAGAAGGCCGCTGATGTTGCAGGGTGGTTTTAAGAATCCTAAAAAAAAACCTTGAAAGGCTGCGGTACGTGCAGTGGGGGGCGGGCAGATGAATAGTCGTCAGGGTTTAGGCAGAGCGCATTTTACAGATGAAGAAACGAATTCATGGTAAACTGAGTTTCCCACGTCATCCAGCCAGCCTCACCTTCACTTGCCAAGTCAACCAGCATGCCCATGTCAACTGATTGGCCATGACCGATCCTAGTCACACTTGATCGATCCTAGTCAAACCTGATCGATCCTAGTCAGACCCGATCGATCCTACTCACCCCGCATCCGTCCACGTCATCACTCCTATCAGTCCTGCTCACCTGTTTCTTCCACGGCTGCTTGAGTGCCGTGGTAATGGCGTCTGGAAGCTGGCGGTTGAAAATATCCGACGTGAAATTGGCAGGCTGGCGAGAGAGTGGGGTGAAAGGCGGAGAGAGGGGAGAGGGGAGGGGGAAAGGGAAGCTGTGACTGATGAGTCGGCTCAGAAAGCCGTATTAATGGCGTCTGGCAGCTGCCGATCTTTAATTATCCGGTGTGAAATTGGCAGACTGGAGAAAGTGGAGTGAAAGGCGAGGAGAAGAGAAAGGGTGGGGTCCAGGAGCTGGCAGTTGAATTGAAAAAGGCCGATGTGAACTGGCGGGCTGGGCTAGGGGACAGAGAACGAAGAAGGGGCGAGGAACTCTCTATGCACGGGGCAATCAGGGTTCATACGGGTGCATGCTGAGTTGCGCACAGTGAGAAAGGTAAACTGATTGCCGTGCGAACTCAGCATGCACGTTGAACACTAACTATTACCCAGCTTCTGGACGCAATTTTAAGGGAATGAAAGAGGATGGATAAAACAGGCCCACCCACCCACCCTCTCGTGTCCATCACTTCAAATTGGATTGGACTGGAGAATTACCTTTACCCGCTTGTGAATGCGACCTCCTCGGGGGAATGGGCAGGTGAACGGCAGCAACCAGCAGCCGAGCGTGAGCCATCTGGGATAGAAAGGCCACGGTGTGTAGGGAAAATCGGAAGCGGAGAAGGGGAGGGAAAGGAGATATACGTGGGTGAGTAGGAGCCAATGTGAAAATGAATGGGAAAGGGCAGGTGAACGGCAGCAGCCAGCAGCCCAGTGTGAGCCATCTGCAATGCGGGGAGCCACGGTGTATAGGGGAAAGATGGGTGGAGGGAGGGAAGGAGGGGGTGCGGGGAAAGGAGGTATGAATGGGTGGCTAGGAGACAATGACAGGGAAACGGGCAGGTGAACGGCAGGAACCAGCAGCCGAGCGTGAGCCATCTGCGATAGAAAGGCCACAGCATGTAGTATGGAGGAGGGGAGGGGGGCGAAGGATGAAGGCAATGGGGGAGGGGGGAAAGGGGGTTAGTGTGTGGGTGGGTGGGTGGGAAACGATGTAAAAGGTGAAGCAGAAACAAGCTGGTGAACGGCAGAAACAGCACCCGAGCGTGAGCCATCTGCAATAGGAGAGCCAGCCACGGCGCGTGGGGAGAAATGGGGGAGGCAAAGGGGGAAGGGCAAGGGGGTGTCTGTGTGGGTGGGTAGGAAACGATGTGAAATGTGAAGGAGGGAAGGGCATCTGAACGGCCGCAGCCAGCGGCCGAGTGTGAGTCATCTGGGATAGAAGAGCGGCGGGGGGTGGGGTGGGGGGAAGGAGAGGCGGGGGGAAGAGGTGGGGGAAGTATGTTGAGGGGGGGGAATTGCGGAGATTTCATGTGCGCGACAAAAAGTGTGAACCAACCGCAACATGACACGTGCAGTGCGGAGAGAGGTTGGAAAGGCTGACTCCGACGAGGCTCTGTAACAGCTGCTTTCAAGATTGTGTTTTCAAGATTGTATCGTTTCGCACCAGGACCACAAAATTTGTCTTATTTACGAGCTCGAGAGTGACCATACATGAATGTGATTGCAGCGAGAGCGAGACCAACTTGAACCCTTTTATGTCGCGATCCGGCAGGTCCGCCGCTTCCAACGCCGCCGATCACGGACACGAGGAACCGATTGATATGAGCACGGTAGTTGATTCCCTTACTGCGCTTCGAGTGAGAGTCTCCTGGAGACGCGTGCGACGGCGAACCGCCAGTTAAATGGACTACCATTGCGGAACGTTGTGTTTGTAAGACTGGGCTAAACTCCCCTAGTCTAATTACTACAAAGAATCCCACCGAATTTTATCTGAGAAGATAGAGTCCATAACAACTGTAAGCTAAATCTCATTAATATTCATTCACACAACCATCTGACTTGCAGCCAGCCTCGAAACTAGTTGGTGTTGATCGTAACAAGGCATCTAATTTTCCGGCGAGGAGCAATGGTAGCACTGATAGTCAACGTAACGAGACGACCACCGTTTTGATGCGCCAAACGCGGTGAAGAAACCCTGGTGCGTAATCGGATCTTCTAGCTTAGCGATTAGATGCCTTAGGTAACGAGCAGCTACCTACCAACTCGCGTGTTTGACTCCACTGACAGCATCTGAATGAAACCACGAAATTGCCAAGGAAGCCGAGTATGTGTGCCAGCAGTATCTCTCAATACCGCACCGAACCACTTCGTGTGTTTATTTGACCGTCGTATATTGTAGAACACTGGGCCACATTTGGTGCAACACCTTGACAGATTCGGTGAGAGCCAGACGACGGGACATTCGAGAAACCATCTCAATGTTGATAAAGATCGATGACTATCTTATACCACCCATAATTCCTCTAGGATCTTTTGTAGCATTCAGAAGGGGATTACTGGTACCAACTTAACATATGACTTGATGATGCTGAGCACCATGTAACAAGTGTATTCAGGATCAAGTTGACTTTTGAGTCGACTCAAAAGACAAGTATATTTTTGAGTCGACTCAAAAGTCAACTTTTGAGTCGACTCAAAAGACAAGTATATTCAGGATCAAATATGCCATAACATGTGACAACATTTGTTGACACAATGGTACATGACGCAAGTCAATCAGCATAAACCAGGGAGAACGAAGGTCTAGGAAGTGACACGCTGGTCTAAGGGTGTACACAGGCGTGGAATCAAGGCCAGAACTATTACTACCACCAAACCACTCAAATTAAATACTTCCGCAGTTAGCACCTGTTACTAATCCAAGCTTCAATTCGGTCTATGCACAGCAGGTGACGTGTTAGGCTTCAGCTCAAGAGGTTAGGGTTATGCCTTCTTAGATAACCAAGGCAGTAGGCACTGCTTCACCATAACTGGTGATACCACTTCCTCTTTGCTCTTCCCCTCACGAGACACCTTCCTGGTAACCCCACTCCCTTTCTCCTTCGCCACTGTCCCCTTCACCGATTTCTCCGCTTTTAGCTTCCGCTCCTGTCCTTTTGCTACAGCAGCACGAAGCCTATTTTCCTCCGCGCCCTTGCCACTTCCCTTCCGCGCCAAGGTACTCTCCTCGAATTGCACACACTGTTCCCCGCTTTTCCCCGCGGTTCTCTCCGCTCCCCCTGCACCTTCCGCTTTCAACCCCCCTCTTTCCGCGTTTCCTCCCACCCTGTGAACCGCTTCCGAACTTCCGCTCCGCCTTAGCGCTGCTGCCGTTTTCCGATCAGATACCCCGTCCCGCTGCTCCCCCCTGTCCATCTGCTCACCCCCCTCTGGCTCCGGCTGAACCTTGCTTGATTTAAGTATTCCTTTTAGCGGTTGCTTAGAATCCTGACTCTGGCTCGGCTGTCTGCTATGCTGCGGTGATTGTAGCGCGTAAACCGACGGGCTAAGATCTTCCTGCTGAGACTCGTCCTGAATGCCTGTAATATCGAGAGGTGGCAGCTTCGGTTTCCGCAGTTGCGGCCGCTGCTGCTGCTGCTGCTGTTGCTGTTGCTGTGGCGATTGTGAGTTTAGCGAACGGGAGCTCGAGTGTGATCTTATCGGAAGCGCATGACTCACGGGGAGGAGCGCAGCTGAAAGCGCAGGGCCGGCACGGTTAGACTGGCCGGAAGCGCTCAGCTGTCGTGGCGTTCGCGGCGCGAGTTCCCTCCCCGCGCCTGTGCGCGCCTGCCCTTGCGCCATTCCGCTTCCGCTAGAAGGCCTTCCGCCCATTGAAAGCGCGCCCGAGGGACTCTTGGGAAATGCGCATGCTTTTACGTTTGCCACCGCGGCGGCTGCGCGGGCGGCGCTGGCGGGGGACTGCGGCGGGAGAGAACGGGATTGCGCCAGCGCCCGCAGCTGCTGGTTGGGCGGAACAGGCATCCCCGCGCCTCCTCGGAAAGAACGCGGGGAGGCGAAAGACACCTGCGCGACACCGTGCGGCGCGGCGGAGGGCGCGCGGGGGGATTTTGCGGACAATAGCCGCGCCCTGGGGGAAGGATGCGCTGCTGCATGTCCTGGCGCATTGGTTGGCGGAAAAAATTGCTGGCGCTGCTGCGGTCGCCCGGCAGGAAGGCGGGGGGTTCTGGCGGAGCCCCCGCTAGTGGCGCTGCCAGCTCCACTAGATGGGCGGCGGGATTCGACGGCGGGCGGCATGCTAGTGGCTTTCACAAGCACGCGCTTGCCGCGAGTATTGCGGGCAAACGACGTGGAGCTGCCGACTGCGCTACCGTAATTAGCGGCCCCCCACGGCGCTCCAGCAGCGGTGGTTGCGGCGACTGCAGCAGCGGAAGCGGCGAGGCTCCCCCGTCCGTGCGACCGTTGGTCTGGCATTGTGCCGGCCTTGCGCAACTTGCGCCGGCCGCTAGCGCCAGTTGCGCTGCCGCTACTCCCAGCGCTCCGGCCACTGGCGGAATTGCTGCCAACCGTAGTGTTGCTGGTGAAACTGCCTGTTGAAAGGGCGGATCCCGACAGCTGGCGCCGATGACCGTTAGAACTGACGGAATTTTGACGCTGGTGACCGTTGGAACTGACGGACAGCTGGCGCTGATGGCCGTTAGAACTGACGGAGTTTTGCCGTTGATGACCGTTGGGACTGACGGACTGCTGCTGCTGATGACCTTGTGAACTGACGGAATCTTGCCGTTGGTGACCGTTATAACTGACGGACTGCTGCCGCTGATCGCTAAAACTGACGGACCGCGATCGCCCATGGTTCCCTCGAAGCTGGCGCGGGGTTCTGGGCACAACAGCCACGGAATGGACAGGCAGAGTCGCCGAGCCCGGAAAGGCTGCGCCATTCACGTTCGCCGCGACACTCGCGTTCGCTGCGAAGTTGGCTGATGGGAGATTTTGATGATGATGAAGCGAAGGCGCGTATAAATCGGCAACCTGAGCGGGCGCGTTCCCAGCTGAGACTTCCACATCAGAAGCAGCAATTTCGAGCATGACGCAATCTTCGTCGTCGTCGTCGTCGTCATACTCGTCGCACCGTGGATAGTAGTCGTCGCCTTCGTCGCCGTCGTCGTCGCCATCATCTTCCTCGCCCTCGACGTCGCAATAGTCGTACACGGGCTCGCCGTCCAGGACGGGCGTCTGCGGCTCGTCCCCGTACACTATAACGGAACCGATTTGCTCCATAGCGGAGTTGAAACTGGATACCGAGTCATACCCATTCCAGGACATTACACCCATGGCTTCGAACGAGCCGCTACCATGCTCTTCCACTCTCGATAGCGGATCGGACAAACGGCGTTGGAACGGCGGTGCAATAGGCTGTGCGAAGTCCTGCGAAAAATACGACGCCTCGTCGTCGCAATCGTCGTTTACTATCTCCCCTTCGATAACATCATCATATTCCGAATCGCTTGTCTGAGACGGCGGCGCAGGTTGCGGATAAAATTGAATGGATGAGTTGGAAAGAGGCCGGGTACGAGCTCCTTTAGCGGGAGTGGCAGCGGGAAAGACGGGAGGAGAGCCGGTCGTCATGAACGAGTTGGGCATTGACGGGTAATACATCGCCATGGATTCTCCAGGCCCAGCGAAGGGCGAGAAATGCTGATGAGGCGGCTGAATCAAAATTTCTGCTCCTTGACTCATTTGGGCAAAGTGAACTGGCAGAGTGGAGGTACCAAGCGAAATTCCAGAATCACTAGACCTAGGACTCGTGAGTTCTAGGGACAAGTTGACGAGGTTCAAAACTCTTTGTCCAGCGGAGGCTAGGCGTTACCGAAACTAGTCGGTCCAGATACAAATGAAGAGCGCACTTGAGTCGTGCTTGTGAAATGCTGAGGTCTGCGTTTGCCAGTGTGGGTGGAATGGAGAGAGCGAAGGAGACGAGGGATACAGCGATCCTAACGGTACAATGCATGAGATTCAGTCATTAGGGCATGCGGCCAGCAGGGCTGGTTCTCTTGTGTTGTGAGGGTGGGAAGATATCGTACAAACGACAGCAAGAAGTGCTTCGATTCCCCTCAGGCTCCCCACACTTGAGCCTCCCACTCCGACCTCTTGTCGCAGCTTGTGCTGGTCAAGCTCAACATCGAGTGTTGTTGAGTCGACGCTCGGTCCTTGGTTTGGGAGAGGGACTTGGTATGGAATGGGAAGGATTTGTCAGTCTTGGATGTACGGGACTTGTGACTTGTGACTGCAGGATTCACGAATCTCGCTCGACTCGACACCAAACAGAGAAAGACGAGAGAAAAGAAGGGTTTGGAACGGTTTGGTTCGTTCGATTTGAAAGTTCGGTCTACCAGGGAAGCTGAAAACTAAGAACCGTAGAGTACACATCTGTACCGTACATCACAATTCACGGTTCAGTCCAGTTGTGCAGGATGAGGAGGCTTGTTGAGTGAAGTGAAAGAGGGGCGGCGAAAAAAGCTCCTTGCCATTCCTCCTCTCTCCCACTCTCTCGTCCTCTGCTGCAGGTAAGACGAGAGAAGCTAGCCACTACAGTTGGCTGGTTGGGGGGGGGGGGGGGGGAAGGCGAGCCAGAAACCAAGAGGACGACGTTTTCTTGATGATCGTTATGCACGCATTGCCTCTTCTTGATTCGCCAATAACAGTTTGTCGGTTTCGCTGAAATTTGTAACGACGAACAAGCGGCTGCTACTGTACTATAGCGAATTTCAGCAGGCTTGCCATCCAGTCAGCTCAGCAGCAGCAGTTTCATCCAGCCACAATGGTTTATTGGATCAACTTGTCGGGTTTGTTGGACAGTTGGCATCAGGAGGAGGTGCCTACGGCGAGCCATCAGTGAGGTTCGGACAACCGGGCCGGAGCTGCCGGTCTGTGTGTTTTGGGCGGGGCTGGGCTCGGATGAAGTTTTTTTTGGGGAGAATTGTTGGTGGGTTTTCAGCTTAGCGGGGACATGTATCTGGACCCTTCCGCTTTCAAGGTGAGGACAGCGCAAACTGTGCACAGTTTCCGCAAAAGTCTGGGCTAAGGGGGGAGGGTTATTGTTCAGGTTAGGAATTCGAGCTCTCAATGAGCCACGTGGTTAGTCCTACACAGCTCTCTCACTGTACATCTACAATCTCAGATTCTGCACTGCGCTTGTTTGTCTTTTCTACCGAATCCAGGCTAGCTCGTCAGCTCACTGTTCCCAAAGCTGTGTGGCCGTTGTTGTTTTTTTTCTTGTCCAAATTACATTGCTCCCAAAACCCTGAGAATATGTGCACTCTTCCTGACCGAAACAAAATAAACCCAATCGGGAAGGGGTGCGACTCGGGAGGCATCAACCCTAACAAGAAAGAAGGGTCCCGTGTTTAGGGTTGATTCCTCCCTAAAATGCGTCCGAGGGAGGCATCATGCCACAAGGTGTTTAGGGTTGATGCTCCCTGACAGGATGCCTTCCCGACTGGGGTTTATTTTTTCGCTCCCATGTCCGTTGGGGCATTTCGAGTGTAATATATTGATTAAAAACGACAAACCAGAGCAGTGAGAATCTGTGATTGAACACCTACAGTGAGCTCTCTGTGAGAACTGGGAAACGTGGCTCATTGAGAGCTCGAGTCCCTAATCTGAAAAATAAATCTCCCCCCCTAGCCCAGACTTTAGCGGAAACTGTGCGCAGAAAGCGCTACCCCTAACCTGAAAGCGGAGGGGTCGGGATACCCCTCCCTGCTAAGCTGAAAACCCATTGTTGGTCTTGCAACACAAGTACACACCACGATGCCCAGAAGGATTACAGAGTACTCGTTAGTAGCATCTGCAACTAAAAACACGGGCCATAGTCGAAATTCTTACCATGTATATTGACAACCGAAGAATGAAACACCTCTTGAAACTCGATGGAACCCTGTCCCCCGCTAAAACCAGAGAGCTGATCTGATCTGCCTGCCACTCCGTCCTGCTAATTAGAAGCTTCGAGATTACGTCCAACGAAGCGTGTCGCTGATAGCGTTTCCCTTATATCTCGCTGTGTGCTCTTCGTCGAAATGCTTTCGCTTAGCAGCCGTCCTTGCTGCGGCTTCAGTCGATCAGAAATCACAGCCGCGCCTGGATCGAACCCACGATCGCAAGCACAGAAACTCGGGGTGCAATTCCATCAACAGCGATCATGGAACCCTCGGCGTCGGATCGTCATATCGGCAGCGGGGAAAGGGTCAAAGACGAAGACGGCGTCGAGTGGAGGCTTCGGCGCGAAGACCAAGGCCGGGGTGAAAGCGGCGGCCGCGCCTAAAAGTGGGTAGCGTTTTACAATGTAATAACCTTTTTTCGCCTTTACCTTTGCTTTTTGCCGTAGCGAAAGTTTTGGAATTTTTCTCCTGGTTAAAGTTTTGATTTGAATTTCGTCTCAATCGATTTCGCCGTATTTTTGTTACATTTGTGAAACGCCACCCTCTCTCAATTCGTTTTGCCTGGCCGACTTCTTCCCTGATCATTGTCCCCCAATGCCGCATTGTTCCCCCCATCCCCGTTATTAGTCGACGCGGCTGCTCTTCTACGGCGCAGCGAGCAACAGTACCACCAGCTCCTATGCGACTACCATCAGCAATACCATTCCCAGTCAGAAAATGCAGAAGCTTCCTCTGCAGATTCCTTTCCGGAATCCCCGGGCCTACGGGAGTACGTCATTTGCGTCAGGCGAATGCACCAATCGGGTGCCACGTCAGCGGGGCCTGCTGCTGACGTGGCCCTCTCTGATTGGCTGCCTGTAGTGGAGCTGGTGCTAGTGTCAGACGAGGAAGCAGCGACGGCCATGCCGAGAGTGCTGCCACACGTGTGCAGGTTCGTAGGAAACGTCTAGGGTTTCGGGTTGATTGAGGGTGTTGGAGAGAGGCACCGCTGAGAAGCGGGAGGGGGGGGAGGAGCGGGGGAAGAAGGGAGGGGATGGTGGGGAAGGGAGTGTGGGGGAAGAGGGGATGAGTGTATTTGTCAGGGCGGGTCTTGGTGTAGCACGGTTGATTACCCCCCTGTCAAAGCCCAATTCGTGCTTTGCACCTGCTAGTGACCCTTTTCTCACAGAACCCGTGTTTTTAGGGTTGCCTGGAATCTGTTTCTCTGCCTGACTTCATCAAGTTTCTTCCCAGATTCCCTCCTTGACGCCTGCCTGTCTGACTCCTGTCTGTTCCAGATTTCCGCATTTTCTACTGACTCTGACTCTACTCTGTCAAGTCCCAATATTGACTGACTACAACATCTGCTTCTGCCTGCTTTTCTAGTTGCTCCCCGCCTTGACGCCTGTCTGTGCCACCAACCCCTGCTCCCGTGTGCTGTGGTTTAGTTTTCATGGTTTGTTCCTTTCTGTTTTGATTTTCCTGGTCGCAATATTCTGACTGCAGGTTGGTAGCAGAGAGCGCAGGGTCGTTTGTCAGCTCAGTGCCACGTCACCTGTAAGCTGCCTGCCACCTGTTCCCTTCACTCTCCAGTCTCCCCTTCATCACAAGCCTCTACTTCTTGGATTGCTTCAAATTCACCTCAATTAAGCACTTTCCTTCCTTTTTTTTTTCAACCAGTACTGCTGGTAACCACCACCCGTCACCCGCCATCCATCCACCACCCGCCACCTGCCACCTGCCACCTGTCGTTGTGTCCTTCTTCATGCTCCTTCCACTCTGTAACCTGAAAACTTTCCACCCAGGCTGGAGTATGCATACGAGAGCGCGGAGAGTTCTACTACAAGGTGGTAACCACCACCACCCACAGGCTTTCATCCTGTTCTCTCTTCCTCATATTTCCCTGTTACCCACTGCATCCCACACACAACACAACCCGTTCATCCAGGCTGGAGTATGCATACGAGAGAGTGGTGCAGAGAGCTTTTATGAAGAGAAGTTAACCACCGCCTTCCACCCTTCCCCCTGTTCTTCCTCAACTCCTCCCTCTACCACCCAATACCCTAAATCCATTCACCCAGGCTGGAGTACTCATATGAGAGCGCCGAGAGCTTCTATGATGAGGTGGTAACCGCTTTGCTCGGCTCCTCGCCATACCCCCTCCCTCTCTACCAACCAACTTCAATTATATCCCCTGTCACCCAGGTTGGAGTATTCATATGAGAGCGCTGAGAGCTTCTATGACGAGGTGGTAACGGCCATGCTCGGCACTTCGCCCTCGTCGCCAACGGGGGGTGACAATAAAGGGGCGGAGGAGCACTCCTGCCCCTACTCCATCCTCGGCATTGCCAAGAGTGCTGCTCCCTCTCAGGTGCTTGCTTATAGGTGCTCCCTCTCAGGTGTGTTGAGCCGTCTCAGAACACAATATAGGGCCGGAGGAGCACTCCTGCCCCTACTCCATCCTCGGGATTGCCAAGAGTGCTGCTCCCTCTCAGGTGCTTGCTTATAGGTGCTCCCTCTCAGGTGTGTTGAGCCGTCTCAGAACACAATTAAGGGCCGGAGGAGCACTCCTGCCCCTTCTCCCTCCTTGGCATTGCCAAGAGCGCTGCTCCCTCTCAGGTGCTTGCTTATAGGTGCTCCCTCTCAGGTGTGTTGAGCCGTCTCAGAACACAATAAAGGACCGGAGGAGCACTCCTGCCCCTTCTCCCTCCTTGGCATTGCCAAGAGCGCTGCTCCCTCTCAGGTGCTTGCTTATAGGTGCTCCCTGTCAGGTGCTCCCTCTCAGGTGCTCACTCTAAGGTGCTCACTCTAAGGTGCTCCCCACAGGTGTGTTGAGCCGTCTCAGAACACAATAAAAGGGGCGGAGGAGCACTTCTGCCCCTACTCCATCCTCGGTATTGCCAAAAGCGCTGCTCGCCCACAGGCTCTCCCTCTTAGGCGCTCCCTCTCAGGTGCTGCCTCACAAGTCCTGCACTCTCCTTGTGCCTTGAATTCCTCCGCCAACCCATCCAGTGTGTTCTTGTGAGATGCATCGTTCTGCAGTGTGCTTTCCTAACAGTTCCCCTTCTCTCTTCTTTCCCTCTCCCTCACGCTCACGCTCTCCCTCACCCTCTCCCTCTCCCTCACCCTCTCCCTCTCCCTCTCCCACTCCCTCTCCCTCTCCCTCTCCCTCTCCCTCTCCCTCTCCCTCTCCCTCTCCCTCTCCCTCTTTTTGAGTCATAAAAAATCCATATCTTCAACCTGAACCCTTCCTTCTCTCGTGGCTCAGATCCGGCAGCGTACCGCTCCTTGGCATTCAGGCACCACCAATACAGGCCCAACTCTCTAAGACTTTTGAGAGTTCTAAAATTTCATACCCTCAACCTGAACCCTCCCTCCCTCCCTCACTCAGATCCGGGCGGCGTACCGTTCATTGGCAGCCAGGCACCACCCAGACTGGCACAATACGCATGACTCCTGAGAGTTCTCAAGAGCCTTTCTCTCTCAATCTGAACCATCCCTAACTTCTCCCTTGGCTCAGATCCGGGCGGCATACCGTTCATTGGCGGCCAGGCACCACCCAGACAGGCACAATACGCATGACGATAAGGCCTCTGCTGAGGCCCAGTTTATGAAGGTGAGGGTGTGGGGAGAGGTATGTCGTGTACAGTACAATACGTACTGCTGATGAGTTGTTTGCCCTCGTGACGGGCTTAAGAAAAATGTAATTTCGTTCCTTCTTTCCTTCGTTGCCTTGTTGCTCACATGATTTTGAATGGACCCCCAAATTTGCAGATTACCGAGGCTTATGAACGAATCAAAAGGGGCGGTCACGTGTCTGTTGGTGCATCATCTGCTGGAACCTATGCTTCCTTGGGAGGGGGGAAACGGGAGGGGCTAAGCCCAGCACTGCAAATTCGGCCAAGCCCACCAAATGAGAAACTACCTGCTGGAGTGACGGTCGCTGTTAGAGGGCTGGAGCCTGAAATTGTTGAGCTTTTCTTGGCGCAAGCAACGCGACGATCGCGGTCTGCAGCAGCTGCTGCAGTTGCCGCTACGAGGTGACACCAACTTGTGCCAATTCGTGTACTATTGTATTGTACCGTATTCTAGATAAATATGGTATGTATTCGTTGGCAGACACCAAATAACAAGCGAACACCAATAATGGGGAGGGAAAAAATTGCAAGAATGACGGCGGCGTCGAGTAGGCTATGTATACGGCTGGTAAGTTGAGTTGCTAGATGTAGCTGTGGTTCTAGGTTAATAACCAATTTGAGAAATGGGCTTGGAAGTTACTGAAATGAGCTTGACTTTCTAAGATTATGCTAAAGCTTGATATTCGTTACAATACAGTAGTAAGTGTCAGGAGTTCGCAATCGTTGCGGTTCGTGGATTCCCAGCCAGCAGACAAAGCTGCAATGACCACCTCGAGTTCTCCCCCCAACCGCGAGGGCTGGAGTTCTCCATCCAGCCAGGCTGGAAAGGAGGGAGCGGGGACCGAATGGTGTTTCCCGCCAAGTCGCCACAGCCAATCCCAATCATTCTTTGTGTGCCAGATGAAAGCAGCACCGTTATGCCTGTCAGCTGCACCTTCTTCCAAGCTGTATCTGTCTAAGCATCATTTGACTTAGTTTGTTAGTGAAGCTCCACACGATACAGAATCTAAGAGAACTCCAGATTCAGCATCTCCAGCAGTAGAATCGCGATAGTTGTTGCAAGTCCCGTCGAATGTTTTAAGGCGTGTCTTTTCTATCCCGCATTCTGAGTGGTTTTGAGAGTGTTGGCCTCCCATCATGGAGCAGGTGAATATAGTTTTTGGTGCTGTTGATCGCTTTCGCTGGTCATTTTTCGCGCGTTCGAAACGGTCTAATGATATATTTTCTTATTTGCAGTATGAGAAAGTTGAGAAAATCGGAGAGGGGACGTATGGCGTCGTGTACAAAGCGCGTGATAGACTGACCAATGAGACCATAGCGCTGAAGAAGATTCGGCTAGAAGCCGAAGACGAGGGTGTCCCAAGCACCGCTATTAGAGAAATTGCACTGCTGAAGGAGATGCAGCACGGGAATATTGTCAGGTTAGTACTGGCCTCGCAATATTCATTGTTCTTCCACTGGGGAACGCATTCAGAACGAACCTGACCTGACAACCTTATCTTATCTTCAGGCTTCAAGACGTCGTTCATGCTGACCGAAGGTTGTACCTTGTCTTCGAGTACCTCGATCTGGACCTCAAGAAGCATCTTGACACAAGTCCGCACATTGCGCAGGACAGGATGATTATCAAGGTGAGCCTCGTCATTTTCAAACTAGAATTGAAGTGGTGGATTTTAATCCAAAAATTATCAGAACAAAGTCGGTATGTTTTACTAGAATTAGAGTGTTCAGTGAATCGAACCCAACACGTCGACCTGCTCGTTTGCCGTTTGCAGTCTTACATGTACCAGATTCTTCAAGGAGTAGCATACTGCCACGCTCACCGTGTTTTACACCGGGACTTGAAGCCTCAGAACCTGCTCATCGACCGTCAGACGAATTCCTTGAAGCTTGCTGATTTCGGCCTTGCCAGGGCCTTTGGTATTCCAGTGCGGACGTTCACTCACGAGGTGAGATGGGACCACAAATTTATTTCACGCAATCATGTTGTTCTCTATTCAACCGCGAATTCGCAAGAGGCGGGAGTGATCATGAACGGATGGACCCTGTTTGCATGACACAATCATGTAATTCTGTCCGTTCTATGCTTTGCCTGATTGCAGGTCGTGACTTTGTGGTATAGGGCCCCAGAAATTCTTCTGGGTTCAAATCACTACGGAACGCCTGTGGACATCTGGTCTGTGGGTTGCATTTTTGCGGAGATGATCAATCAGCGCCCCCTATTTCCAGGGGATTCCGAAATTGATGAGCTGTTCAAAATATTCAGGTGAGGCGAGTCCCAAGGCGTCTTGAGTGATGGTTCAACCAGAAACCTTACTCACCTTGTTCTGCTTGTCTGTGGCCTAACTTCACAGATTGTTGGGAACGCCTAATGATGATAATTGGCCAGGAGTTTCACAACTCCCTGACTACAAGACATCGTTTCCGCAATGGACAGCCAAGGTAAAGCCTCCACAACACTCGCTTTCAGACTGTTAAGTTCTGACGGAAGTTATACAACCTGTGTTGAACCATTTGGTGTATCATAGTCCCAGTTTCCTTCTTTCTGTCTTTCTTTCTTCCAGGATCATCAGTCCATTGTGCCAACCTTGGAAAAGAGCGGAATCGATCTTCTGTCGGTAAGTTTTTTAGGAGTTGTTCTCTACAACAGCATTTAATATGTTATCTAATTCGTATAACTAAAATGTTTCTGTTCGTTGACGCCTTGTTTGTATGCAGAAAATGCTTTGCCTTGACCCTAGCAAGCGTGTCACTGCACGAGAAGCACTTGAGCATGAGTACTTCAGAGATTTGTTAAATCTAGCCGGCCGTTGAGAAGGCCGTTATTGTGGATTTGAGTCTCTTGGTTTTGTATTGTCAAAATTCTTGCTCACCTTGTACATTATCTGCAGTGACAATATTTTAAGTGTACCTCAACCAGCAACAGAACTATAATATTCCTTCTACAATTCTCCGTAACTAACAATGTTGGAACACAGTAGCGAGCCCAACCTAATCGCTCAACCCTTTCGAGCTTCAAAACCTGAACCCTTTCAATTCCTTGAAAAAGGCCATCCGGTGCCTCTGCAAGCCCTAGACTAAACTGCTATGTTGCCGAGTGACTGGCGCAGGTGCGTGTGCAATACCTTCTTGCACGTCTGGCCGATGTCCCACCTCAGCATTCGCAAGTGACGTCTTTGCCCGGACCCAACATTCCGAAGCGGCTCTCTTAGAAAAAGTACGATGCTCGTAACCTAGCACCGTAGACCACGCTCGCTCCACCTGGTCAGCGCTTTGTTTCAGCGGGGTTCAGTTGGTGATTTACATTCCTTTTTAACAAAGTCATATGTTATGGAGGTTCAAGGCACTCCCGTGTCGGCGGCGAAAGGCGGGCGATTATTACGCCGTTTTCTTCAGTACGTACCAGAGCTTCAAACTGACGCTCCAGATCTTTATTCGCATCTTAGCACTATCCTGACAGTTCTCGATCCTTCCGGACCACCAATCAATGCGCCAGAAGCCGATGCACATAATTCTCCTGAGGTCAGTGCTGGAAAGGGTTTAGCCAACAGCGCCGTCGCAGATGGCGACGAAGGTGCTAACGAAGCAGAAGAAGCAGAGGTGCGGAACACAGAAGCTGCAACACCAGCGAGTAAGCCGACATTGTCTGCAGAGACTACCGATAGCGGAAAGAAGAAGAAAAAGAAGAAAGCGGTGACAGTGGATGGCAATGTTGGTGGTGGTGATCAGCAAGAGCCTAGCATTGGGAAAGTGAAGACTCCCAAGAAGAAGAGGAAGTCCCGGGATGCTACGGAAAGCGGGGATGCCGACGGGGTCAGACAAGAAACGAGTCAGCGGCAGGACGGCGTAGAGGAGGGTAGCGTTCCGGGAGCAGATGTGATCCCTGACAAAACGGAGAATGGCGTCGTGAGCGAACAGAGTGCACGGAAGAAGAAATTGAAGGGCCGATCCCAGGAGGTGCAAGGGACGTCTGGCTCGGGTGGAAAGGGTGGTGGGAGTAATTTGAAGGAGACAGGTGGAAGCAGTGTGAAGCCTGGTGTGCCACAGGAGGCGGTGGAAGGGAAATTGCCAGCAAAGTCGACTGATCTGGCAAGGTTGAAGTCTCTGGATTCAATAAAGAAGAAAAAGAAGTCCGCTGCACCGTCTGGTCATTGAATGGTATTTTTACCAGATTCTGGAATTTTGTGGAATGGAGAAGCTCAGGGGATGGCAATTAGGCCTGAGGCAGCCTGCAGAACCCAGCAGCAGGTGCAGTTCCTTCAAATCACACGTTTTATTGGCAACATCATGTTCCATAAAGCAGTGTGTTTGACCCAAAAAATGGAATGATCTTTTGACCCTAAAACCATCTTTATTGAAGCCCTGTACATGCGTTTTGTGAAGTGCACAATCTGCATGAACCACATTCCATTGCCAGCAGATATGCTGTGCGGATGTTTTGCTAAGTTCGTGGACTAGCCAGAGCTCTAAAAGGCCAGGAATCCCTTAGCAGTCGTGCGCATGCTCAAAGTTGTGCTGCTCTCGATTCGGAGTGCCTGGCGAGGTCTCTCTCCAAGCTGCCTGCATGTGTTGCAGTATGCGGTGCTGCAACCAACACACAACCAGCTTGTTTCATAAACGATCTAAGAGTGCAAAATTGAGATACGTGTCACCACCACCTACCGTACTGGTAAAATGCACTTACCGAGTGAAGCATCATCAGAGTGGGCCTGAGTCGACATGATGGATATAGTGGAAACCAAACATTGGCAGAAACAGTCATGGGACCAAAGGTGAAAACCTGCAAGAGATGTAAACAAGAGATGAGATCAATGTAATCATTCCCATGTATATAATGGGACAAGACACGGCTCTCCCCTCCCTCACCTCGTGCCACCATCCTGCTGGTAAGAAGATTGCTTCTCCCTGCATAAGCTGCACGGAGGCGCCGACCAGAAGGAATAATTCCTAAATCTAATTCTCATATGATCCCAGTGGAAAGGGTGAGAGAGCAGCAGAATGAGAGATGTTACCTGGACTCTGTAACATGTAGCATGAGAGAAAAAAAGGGGATGTTTTTCCGGACATGCAGTGAGTATGGAAGGCAGTGCCGATTTGTTGTTGATAGAACCTGCCATTACAAAATACACAGAATTAGGCGGATAAAGGGCAGACATGCAAACAACGATGGTCGAAAAACATATCGGAAACGTGACTCAGCGTACCTTCGCTCCACGGCATGGGATAGAGGAAGATGGAATCAGAGGGGCTGTAGAGGTGAACGATCTTGCTGCCCTGCAAGCACACGTGGACATTGTCCATGCCATCAAAGTGAATCTGACTCGTGGCACTCCGTCCCACCCACAAGTTCCACTGCTTGCGACCGCCAGCCACACTTCCTGTAACCCCTGATCCCCTCCCCCTCCCCTGGCTCCTTCCATCCCCAGCCCCTTCGCATTTGTTTTGCTGTGCTTCCTGTTGCCTGAGAGCCTCCAGAAAAGGAGGAGAAAGCGTGGGGGCCAGCAGCCGGTCTATGAATGCTTTGAAGCCATGTGGCTGCTCGTTTGGACATGAAGATTTCTCAGTTAATGCAAACTCAATGTCTGACTGTACGGACGCAGATGACTGGGGAAGTCCACGCCACGTCAGATACATCAGTTGCCATGCCGGCAAGGGTGGCTCTGATGACTTGGATGGTTGAGCGGACGGTTGGGCAGAGGGTCCTCTACAGGTTGATAGGAATTGGCCCAGCGGCATAAAGTGCACAGTGGAATGTGGAAGGTAGGAGAATCGCAACGCCAGTTCTGGTTGTGGCTCAGGCGCTGGTACAGTGTATATGTGTCTTGCTGCTTTCATTTCGCATGTCTCGCTTATGGATGGCTCGCAGGGGGCAGGTAATTCTGCTGCTGCTGTTGCTGCTGTTGATGATGGTGGTGGTGCCTCGCAGGATTGCACAGCCGCATTGCCACTGGCAAGAATGCTAATGCCTTCCACACACCGCCGCTTCTTCGTCTCTGCTACTTCTGCAAACCCTGCTTCTTCTGTTCCCAAATCGCACGAGGCCCTCTTGACCGTTGATGATACCACTGATTCAGCGTCTCTGCTGTCGCTGCGGAAATCGAGGCGGAAGACCTCAACCTGGCTGGGGATGGCAGGGGGGAGCAAAGGAAAGGAAGAGGAGACACGGAAAAGAGGGAGAGGAGAGAGGATTAGGGGAGAATTAGGAGAGAGACAGGGGAGCGGCAGGGGAAAGGCAGGAGGGACGGAGCGGAGAGGCAGGTGAGTGACACATTTGACACAAGGAAACGCATGGAAATTTGAGAGCAGATTTAACCACAGAGGAAAGCGTTTGAAGTTTGCATACGTAATAACGAGTTGTGCGAGCCTCATAGAGCTCGTGTTTTAAGTGCTACCACGTGATAATCCCTAGACAAGCTCAATACCCGTCAAGACACCTGATTCATCCTGACTGCTCACCTCTACTTCATCGCCGAGAAGACCTTTTAGTCCCTCCGTAACACTCGGAGACTGGAGGATCTTCGTCCACGGTGGTAACCAGTCCGCCGGCATCACTACTGGCTGCGACTGGAACCCTCGACAAGTGAGCTCGAATTCGGCTGCTGTGGGTGAAGTCGTCAGGCGTTTCACGGGATTCAAGTGCTTGAGAGAAGCTTCCGCTGCGCGAAGCCTCATCAGAAAGTGACGTTGTAGAGGAAAGGCTTCCCATTCTGAAGAGCAGATAACATTCTGACTCGAGTGGGGAGGTTTTTCCGCCATGAAGAAAATAGCTTGGGAAATGACTGGTGATAGGTGAAACTGAACAGAAGATGGTGTTTTTCCGGCCTTGTGCCGCTTGCGAAGCTCGTTTACCACCCTAGGCGAAAATGGTTTGCTGTTGCGAAGTTTGTACCTGTTTTGCTGGGGGGACTTCGCGAAGGATTTGCCCAGATGTGGGTGTCGCAAGAAGAATTTCGCACAATCTACCCTCCCCCAAAGCTCCCTCGGGAATCTGTGAAAAGACACCTCTTCTATCCACACAGAGAAGAGTTTGCCTGCTAAGCCAGAGCTGCGCCTTGAAATTGTCGACTGACAGAAAACAGCTCCGTTGACGTCGATCCGCGCCTCCAGTAGCCAATCGCGACAGAGCTGAGCCGAATTGGGAAAAACAGATTCCTGATTTCCGCCGTCAGGCCAGAGATTCAAATTAAATGTTGCCTTTCGTCCTGAATGACTGATTGCGACATGGCCTGTCGGAGATGTCGATTGTCTCCGTCGACGGAGGCCGGGACAGACGAGAGGATGATGAACAGCTTGCGCATGGCGAACAGCAGAGCAATGTTTCCGTCAAAAGAAGAGAGACGAGATTGTAACTTTCGATAATGAATGGACAGGATGAATTCCGTCGTATAGTAGATGCCTTACCCCGTCCTTATCCCATTGACGTCCGTCTTCCTCAGCACTGCACTCCCATGATTCTTGAACTGCTGGCCTAATCTACGCTACCACATCACGTCCGCCATTACCTTGTCATAGGCTATGAGGGAGCTAGACTTGGAATTCCCACAGGCCTCAGATGAAACGTCATGGATGCTGTCACTAGCAGTGATTTCTTCGTCAAGTTTGATAGGAATTCCTTAGGGATTTGAAGTGGCCATAGTTATTCACTGCTTACGACGGATCCTCAGAACGGAAGTTTTTTAGCTGACTGCTCGTTGTCTAATCCCTTATTCTATGTTGATTCCATACAGAGCGTCAACGTTCCGCATGACACCTTGTTGCTGAATGCATCTTATTCTCCATTGACATCTCGGCTTCCCTCTCCTGAACTTCCTAAAGAGTTCCCTGCAATGGCTGACTCCTTACGTCGTCCATCTCGTGGTGATGATTCTTGGTCTGCCGTTCATCACCTAATACCGTCGCTCTCGACAACTGCTCCACCCTCTGTTACATCAACTCCAATTCCTGCCTCGTCAGGACTGAATTTTTCTGGGATGTCAGGAACGTCAAGTGATCACCTCTTCTCATCGCCTAAACAAGTTCCTTCCAGTCGAGCTTCTTCTATACCATCCATGCTTGCGACTGAGCTGCAGGAAAATAGTCCTGTCAAATCTCTGATTTCAGAGGGGCTTCAAGATCCTGAGGAATCAGGAGGCTTCCCGTCGTTTCTTGGTGGTGAAGACCTGGACGTTGGGATAGTTGATGAAAGGGAGAGGCGAAATAATGGCAAAGAGCATGAAACTGCTACAACAGATGGTGATTTAAGCCGTGTTTGCAACATGCTGATGAGCCTATTTGCTAGCCATAGCTGCAGCAGCACACCACGCACCACTGGCGGCCCTGCTCAAGGGGTAACTCCCAGCGATCTAGTTACAAGGAGACGTACGGACGGGATGACGCTTCCACAGCAGCAGAATGTCCAGGCAAACAGAGGCGGCAGGGAAGGTGTCGACTTATGGAGAAACCTCCCACACTTGAGGACCAGACCACCTCAGCAACGAGCCAGTGTCCTGAGGGAAGGCCAGGAGCGTCTGACGACCCACACACAACCTGGTGTCCGTAACAAGAGTCATCGTCCCTCTGGTGGTATTCTTGAGAAGCAAGACGTGGCCAACCTTCTAGATGCAGCTTTAGCAGGAGCTGCACTACAACCAGACGAAACCAGGTGCGTAGTAGTCAGGAGTATGATTGTGCTGTGCTAATTCTTAGTTCTGTTCCAAATGACAGCATCCTTTGTCTTCTCAGATGGAAACGTCTCGGTGAAGGCCTGGAATCGCTGCTGTCTGGCCTGCAAGATCAACAAAAGGAAGAAAACGTCAATTACCTCATGCAGTGGCTGCAGCAAGTGACTGAGGTAGGCCCTTGCCAAATTTTAAAGGGAGTTCCTCGTGCTGAGTCAAATAGTGTAATCGATTCACTCCTGTTTTTGTGGTTGTACAGGAACAAGATTCCACTTCTATGCAGGATTCTGACGTGGCGGAATATGGTAATAATGACTTCAGAGCTACCATTCTGCAGCAGCTGGAGGTGATTGCAGGATTCACCTCACACGAAGTGGCCTCCAGATCCAGTTACTGTGACCCTGTGGAACTGGTGGGAAGCTTTGGTGAGCTCAGCGAAGGGTCTGCTGCTCTGAACGACAGTGGCACGGAGTTGTATGCCAGCAACAGCAACAACAGCAACAGCAGCGATGGGCTTGGGAGATTGGCTTGTGTCTCTGATGCAGCTGGAAAGGCACGGCAGGGGTGCAATTCTGAACAAAATGAAGTGCATCGCAATGGAGAGAGGAACCCTGCTGGAATAAGTAAGGAAGCTCGTCCGGTGAATGTACATGTCAGGAGGAATGGAATTGGACGGAGGCATGGAGCTGAGCAAGAGATCATGGCAGACGACAGTGGAACTGAAGCTGAGAAAAGCTGCAGCAATTCTGAGGAGGGCGAGGTGGACGAGGATGATGAGGCTCCAGTTGGATTGAGGGCGTACAGCAGTGCATGGAGCAACGTCCACAGTGTGAACTGGCTCGCGACCAGGCGCACCTCTGAAGATAGCTTTTTGGAGAACCGGTCCAGTGAGAGGAGTACCAGTGAGAGGCCTTCGCATGCTCAGAGGCTCATCGGCAGAACTGCTAGTGGAAGGAGGTCAACGACAGATGTGAAGGGTGACGAGAGAAAGAGGTCCAGCAGCGTGAGTGTTCCTGGAGGAAAGAGCTTCGGACAACATGATGGAAATATGCTCGCTGCTATGCAAGCCTCTAGTGTACATGCGCTAGTGTCTGGTTCTGCCGTAACTGGGGAGCTCTCAGCAGAAGATGGCACATATCAGCATATGCCACAACCACAGTTGCTGTCGCAGGACCGATCTATCTCTCTCTCCTCCTTCCTCACAGATATCTCATCACCCGATGCAGGCTTGCCTGACTTTGCTCTCTCTCCTCTGCAAGCATCCCCTGCTACATGCTCCCAAGGCTCCCAACCTCAGTCGGGAAATGGCTCACCTCGCCTTCCATCCTCGGATGACGATCTTCCTCTCCCTTCACTTCTACGCAAATCAACAGACTGGGGAAAGCTGCAGTCGTCCTTGGGCTATGAAACAGGGGCTGTGGCTGGCTGCTCTTCAACAAGCACAGAACCTGGCCCTAGTGCCCAGCTCCCTATACTTCCTCCGCCTCCTTCCACTCTTGTCCCTCCTGGCCTCGCTGCTTCACTTACAGCCTCACCGCATCCTTGGCCCTCATCTAATTCATCTGCAAGTCTCATGCCTTCGCCTGCTAGCATGGCTTTCTCCCCTCTCTTGCCCTCCTCCTCCCTTGGCCTTCATGAGCCAAATAAGCCAAATACCGTCACCTCGTCACACACACTCACGCTGCCGCAGAACCTACTTTCATTCTCCAACCCGTCTGCCTCCTCTGACAGCGAGGCTGACTCACCCCTACATCGAAGCACCAAGGCTCGGGAAAGTCTTCACGCGTTTTCAGATCCCGATGTACCTCTGCCCAAGCTTCAAAGCACCAGCACGAACAGTCAGGCTGGAGAAGGCACCAGTGGGTTACTTCACAAAGAGGAGATGTTTGTAGAGGAGAGGAATGCAGCTACAACACTCGCTGCTTCTGATACAAGAACTGCCACGGTTACTGGATCAATGGGGAATGTGGGAGCTAATATCGCTGCTGGAACCAATGCTTATGCTGATATACCTGGTCCAAGCAGCAGTAGGATTTCCGAGATTTCTGGCATGGGATTGCTGACTGGAGAAGGGATAACATGGGACGAGGCGGAGGAAGGCAGTACGCTCTTGCACTTGCTGGGAGAGGCAGACGATGTTCGTGATGGTGTTTCTGGCATGGGGTTTGGAGTAAGTCTGGATGCCTCTGCTGGAGGGTCGGACAGGTTGGACAATTGGAATGGAGAGGCGAATGGGGATGGTGGACAGACATCGCTTATGGGATCTGGAGTAGTAGCTTCGGAAGCAGCCGGAGCTGCAGCTGGCACAGTACAGTCTGGTGGTGGGGCAGTTGGAGTTGAAGGTGTGGACTTCGAGATGATTCAAGCAAGGGGGCAGAATAAAGTGGTTGCAGGGGAGGCCACCCCTCGCCTCTCAGCTGTCCTGCAAGTCCTCCAGTCTGCCCGCCAGAAGATCCGAGCAGTCACTGTTCCACCGCAGCTGCAGCCATCAGCAACTAACGGGATGCTCCTGGACTTCCAGGAGACTGCCAAATCGTCCTCACTGCCAATGCCACGCAAGTCCCCGTTGGGGAATTCCTCCCACACAGATCATCCGCCAGGCCCCTCCACTGCAGAACCTCAAAACCCACTTACTGGTTCCTCTGTGCATCCTCTGGTGGCAGTCGCAAGTGGGGGAAGCTCTCAGCCTGGTCGACATTCGTCTTCCTCTCATACAGCTTCAAAGCTGCGGCAGCCAATGACCACCTCACAGAGTCGCAATTCTGCTTCCAAGAAAGTGTCTAGCTTTGGATCAACGCAAGAGAGAGGACACTCACAAACTGCAGGTGATCATGGTGTTGAAGCTGGCACCAAGTCAGTCACCTCTGTTTCTGCATTGAGAGAAGTGGTTCGTGCACGGCGGGAGAAACAAGCTGGCTCTAGCAATGGACGAAAATCAAGTGCGGGAGACAGCAAGAGAGCTTCTGGTACTGATGCAACTGCCACTGCTGGATCAAGTGCTGCCATGGGTGCTGCTACATCCCTGAATGTAGCGTACTATGAGGACAAGGGCTTCCAATCAGGTTCTGGTTCTGAGAGAAGCCGAAGCAGCAAGTCACGCAGAGCTGGCGGTGGGGTCGGAAGTCGTTCTTCTAGAAGCGGGGAGAAGCAAGCAGGGAAAGGGAAGGCGAGGTCTGACTCGGTTGCTGTGAGTCATCATGATGTCTCAACAGCTGATGAGGCAGATGAGGGCATTGTCCCTCTAAGGCGATCCAAGCATTCATCAAGTCACCAACGCTCTCACCAGGGTTGCTGAAGCAGGGACATGGTGGAGAGTTGTTGCAGTCAAGCCGGTCTAGCCCATTGAAGCATACTGGAAGTTCCAAGTGACTAATCTAGCAATCAAGTGTTGAACAGCCTATTATCAACGTTTGATTTGACAGCAATTTAAAACTTCCAACTCCTTGTTGACTTTTCAAGATGTGGTACATCGGCTAAAGTACGTTCGTTTTTCACTACCGCCCTCACGTAGAAAGTTAGCCTTCACGTAGTAAGTTAGCCCTCACGTAGCGTAAAAAGTTAGCTCTCACGTAGAAAGTTAGTGCTCAAGGTGATCATGGCCATGGGTTCCGTAGGTGGAGACGGGGGTTTCATGATTTCTATGCTTTTGAAGAGCCGCAGTTCAACATCACACGTCTGCAATCTGGAAAACGAGGTTTTGATTTTTTATGTTTTTATATTTACTAGATTGAGAAATTCATAACATCATGGGAAAGCCACAACCAGCTTAGTAGGAGTAGCCAGCCACGAACATGCCCTGCTTAGCCTCCTCAGCCTCACCGTCAGCGGAGTACTTGCCGAGCTGGGCCAGGGAGTTAGCCTTGGCGCGGATGAGAAGAGCGGTCTGAGCAGCCTGGATGTTCTCGGGCTGGCCCTTCCATGTCTTCAGCACCGTGTTCTGGAGAGCGCGGGCGTACGAGAACGACACGTGCCACGGGTTGGGGGACTGGTTCATGGCGTTCAGGTTGAGGGTGGCCTCCACCTCGGACTGGCCGCCGGACAGGAACATGATGCCGGGGACGGCGGGGGGCACGCGCCTCTTGAGCATGTTCAGGGTGTACTCAGCGACCTGCTCGGGGGTGGCCTTGGTCGGGCACTCCGCGCCGGGGGTGACCATGGAAGGCTTCAGGAGGATACCCTCGAACATGACGTTGTTCTCAGCGAGGTAGTAGAAGGTCTTGGCCCACACCTTGGAGGCAACCTCCAGGGTCCTGTCAATGCCGTGAGCGCCGTCGAGGAGAATCTCGGGCTCGACGATGGGGACGAGGCCGTTGTCCTGGGAGATGGCGGCGTAGCGAGCGAGACCCCACGAGCACTCCTGGACGGCGAGCTCGGAAGGACCGTTGGGGATGGAGACGACGGACCTCCACTTGGCGAAGCGAGCACCCTGCTTGTAGTAGGCAGCGGTCCTGGAGGCGAGGCCGTCAAGACCCTGGCACCAGGACTCGTCGTTGGAGCCGGCGAGGGGCACAAGACCCTGTACATTCACGCGAAGGAAAAATGAGAAGATTTGATTAATGCGGGAAGACTATATAGCATTCGTTGAAAGATCACGTTGTGTCTCGTTATATTTGGAAGACCTTGCAGCAAAGAAAGAAAGAGCTATTTAGGGCTGGTGAGGATTGTACCTTGTCGACCTTGATGCCGGGAACGACACCGCCGTTGGAGAGGACATCTACCATCTTCTGGCCGTCAACGGTGTTCTGGTACAGGGTCTCCTCGAAGAGGATGGCACCGGAAACGTACTCGCCGATGCCGGGGGTGGCGACGAGCAGGGTGCGGTACGCCTGGCGGTTAGCCTCGGTGTTCTCAAGGCCGATGGAGGCGAGACGAAGACCGCAGGTGGCATTGGACTCGTCCATGGCGAGGATACCCTTGCCGGGGGAGGCAATGTGTTTCTGTAGGGACAAGCAAGTAAAACATGAGAAGGTAGTAAGATGTCAGGAATGTTACGTTCATACATATAAAGCAATCGATTGCAGACTACGAACGTTAAGAAAGAAGAGAAAATGATACGGTGAAGGTGAAGTGAAAATCAGAATGATGACGAGTGATCAACTTACGGCAGTCTTCACGAGCTCCTCCTCATATCCGCCGGCGCGGACGGTGAAGGAGACATTCTTGGCAGCCTGGGGAGCAGCGGCCTGGCGGATAGCCTTGCCGCAGAACTCGGAGCTGCTGACGGTCAGAGCCTGCTTGAGGGAGAGAGCCATCTTTTCTGAACTTAGGAATAAGTTCAAGGAGAGATAGGCTGTACTTGGAGCTTCTAGCAGGCAAAGAAAACGCGTGGTTGGATGAAAAACAGGAGCCTTGGGATTATAAATGCAGGGTGGGTGGATGAGGGAGGTGTGTGGCGTGATGGGGGACGGGGGAAGATGAGAGGCTTCGCTTCGTAGGAGAATGGCGCGACGTGATTGGAGGTTCCAGGTAAGGATGGGTGGTCGAGGTGAAGCGAACGACGGATACGAAAGATGCGATGGTTTGTAGTGGTTACAATATAAGATAGCTTAGCCGCTGCGAAATTCGCAAGGCAGCAACGGCTTTTCGACGACCTGGAGCCTGGCGGGGTAACTGGACGGAACAAGATGCTGGACGACACCCTGGCGACGCTTGTGGTTCGCGATGATTCATAGTGGACATTACATCAACGGTTGTAGGTCATCATCGAGCTCTGTGGTTGTCACGAAGTCTGTGAGCCACAGGATCTGCGAAAGCCCGTTCAAAAGCGGTCATTCTGACATCGGACGTGGCAGTTCTCATTGACGATCGTCGTTCAAGGGTTGTAGGGTGGTCCACGTGGCGCCACAATGCCCTGTGGAAAAATAATCCGGTCTAAGTGAGCTGTTCTCCTCATCCAAAACTGCTGCTGGCGCCAGGTCAGAAAGCCGCCGAGCAATTAGGAAAGAGATGTTACGTCAGATTTGGCACACGCGCTTCGCGTCTGCTGATTCTAAAAACGGAGAACTCGTTACACGCAAGATTACCAACACGGAAATGAGTGGAAGTTGAAGTGTGACAATAGTTTATTTATGAGAGTGAAAACAGATGAATTTTATTAACAATTATGATACCACACTCTAGCCAAATTGGACGGAGCAATGCTCTCCGAACAAACGCCATTAACGATTCTCAAAATAATTGACAATACGTGCAGGAATTCCCAGAAAACCATCAATTTCGTCTTTTCTGGATGAAAATACACTGACAGCCTCAGTTTTCTCTCTTCCATGCCCCTGTAGTTGGGGCACTGCCACCACCTCTGGATTTCCCACTGGCCCTATTATGTATCGGTCTGCTGCTCCTGCTACTATAGCTGCTAGTGCAGCCGCTTGTAAGAGAGTCCATCCTCGTTGGCCCACTGTAGCGGCCACTACAGTGCCTGAGATTGCACCTGCTACACTGGAATTAACCTGCAGGGACGTAGAAATTAGATCATCAGAACCAGGTGACCAATTGCCGCATTACCTGAATAATAACATCAACCAGTCATCGCCACAATCTAATCCTCTCTATCAGCCTCCATTCACCTCTACCCCACGTCCACTCACCTAATCATCTTGACCCCTCATGTGCAAAGAGGCACATTGCGCAGCATCGAAATCACTGGATCATATTTATCCCAGCTTCTATCTATCCCAGCTCCAACCACATCAAATCCAGCACCACTCACCCGATCATCTCATTTTCACCACCACTCACCCAGTCTTCTTGACCCCTCACGCGCTGAGAAACACATCTGGTTCCCGAGAAGAGAGCAGCGAGCGCACCGAATTTCACGCCATCCCCGAGTGCCGAGCCAGTCTGGGGTGGACACAGGCACGGAATGGGCGAGGGGTGGTGTGTGTTGTCAGCAACAGTGGAAGGGTGGTGTGTGTTGTCGGCAACAGTGGAGGGATGGTGTGCGATGGCAGCAACAGTGGAGAAGCGCCAGGAGATTGGTGGTGGTGGTGGTGGTGGTGGCCGTGGATTTCATAATGGCGATGTGATTTGACAGTGAGGATTAGTCGAGCCGCAGCACATGGGGTTCGCGTTATTGAAAGAAATGGACACACATGGAGGAGACACATGGGTATGTGCAGGAATAAAAAAGAACTCGAATTTAGGAGGCACATGGGTATGGACGAGTTAAAGGAGTAGGTACATGAAAGCCCATGGCACGTGAGTGAGAAAGAAGAGTGACAGGATTGGTGTAGGTGATGACGAATGCCGTGCACTGGTGGGAGAATGAATGATACATGGAAGAGTGACAGGTACGCCAATATAAGTACAAAGGAAAGAGCGGTAAAGGGGAGTAAAGGGGGATAAAGAGGGAGCACATACCACATGAGCGACGCGGAAGATAGGAGAGAATTCTGATAAGGGAGTGTGCAGGGGGGTGTAAGGGGAGTGTGGAGTGGGGTGTGGAGTGGAAAAGTGAGGCAAATTGATGAACGAAAAGTGGAACACATGAAAGTGATTCTGAGATGACAACATGAAAACGGACAAAAAACGAAAGATTAGCAGGGGAAAGGGAGAATCATGGCGAGAAAGATTGCACATTGCAGCCAAGAACAAAGGGATTGCGATGAAATATGTTTCAATTTGTGAGATTACCTCTGGGATCAGTGACACCGCTGTAGAACCCCCACATTACTCCGAACTGACAGACAGCCATTCAAATGACAGTGAACGAAACGAACGTGGAAAGAGAGAGAGAGGTGGTACAGTGAGATTAAAAACCAAAATGACGGAAAGAAGCGTAAGAATGAGAGCAAACGAAGGGGTTGTGGACAAAGAGGGAAGAGCCATTGCTGACGTCAGGGGGAGTAGCCAGGGGGGATATGAAGCGCAAGAACTTGGGGGTTGGGCGAGGGGAAATCGCAATTGTACCCAGTGATTTAAACTTATTTGCGAAAATATTCTGTTTCCCGTTAGATTCTGAATTCGCGGCTACCGCTAGTGTTGTTTCAAGATGCTCGAGAATGACGCCTCAAGTCCGAAGAATATAAAGCCGATCTGAGGTGATCACATATCTCTAGTCAAGCGCGTACCGAAACAAGCCAGGCAACTCACAATGCTTCCGCTGACGCCGGCTGTAGCCGCTACCGTCGCACACGGCGGTTTCACCTCTGATGCCTTTGCCATGATGACTGCTGCTGACCGCTGAGCTGCGAGCTCTTATTTTATATAATCGATTGGGAGAAATTGAAAGCCGGATTGTTGGCTTATTTCTATTCCATATGAGTTGGCTTATCTATTACATTCCAAAAAAGAACATGACGAGAGGTGGCCGACGCGTCGTATTGCTGGGTCTGCGAGCTGACACAAACAAATGGATTCACAAGTGCAGAAAAACAAGGGGGAGAAAGGCACACCCACATACGGCCGCTGTGGGGGGGATTTGACTGGTTGAGGACCCGCATTATGCTCGCTCCGGTATTCGTGACAGATACACGGCTACCACATGCAAGTGCGTGTGTATGAAGTAAAGCATTTTTGTCAGTCTATACGCGGTATGGCTTATTAACGCATTTCTTGCAATTAATGAAATTTGTAGTAGTTTATAAACATCAGCAACAACATGATTACAATACATCCAAAGCAACCAGAACCTCATCAAGGGCAATTGCCCAGTGCACCCAATGGGCTCCACCCTGAAGATAATGAACGAAACAAACGTACATAGACAGCATTGCGGATAAATGAAAGATAGGGAGAAGGGATTTGTCAAGGGAAAGGGAGAAGCTGAAAGGTAGGCGGAGATTGTACCAACGAGTAGAGAGAGGGAGAGGAGAGGGGGAGGATGAGAGACTATTACACGGCAGCATGAGAACACTTGCTGGTAGCTGACAAAGGGACAACAAACGGGGCACCCTGAGGGACATTTTGCAGGAGAGCTGAGACAAAGGAGACATGGAGATATGCAACCAGCATGCGGATGAAACATTGCTTCAACAAACAACGAGAGAAAGTGCTTTGCTTGCGCCAATGGCTTAAGCCAGGAAGAGCAAAGTGTGGTTGCTCGGGCGTATGCTTGTGCGAGCGCACACACACACACACACACACGCAGAAACTCACAAAACCTGGCAGAACACTGCAAAGGGCGGGCGGAGGGAGGCATCACAGGAGAGCTGATTGCATACTTGTACCTGGGATAGAGGCACACGCACATGTGCATGCACACACAAACATACACACGCACGCACACACAAACATACACGTGCACGCACCAACTCCCGTACCTGGCAGAACACTGCAAAGGGCGGGCGGAGGGGGCCGTCACACGAGAGCTCGATGGTGCTGCCGTCAATGAAGGTGCCGTCTGCAAAGACCACCTGGTGAGCGGTTCAGAGGGGTGATGAGTGGTGCAGGGGTTGGGAGTGGCGTGAGAGGGGTGATGAGAGGTTTGGACGGGATGATGGGGGGTGCAGGAGGGTTGAGGGAGGGTTATGTCCAAGGGCGTGCGGAGGCGGCCGTCACAGGAGAGCTCAATGGTGCTGCCGTCAATGAAGGTTCCATTGGCAAACACCACCTGGTGAGCGGTTCAGAGGGGTGATGAGCGGTGCGGGAGGGGAGATAAGCAGTGTGGGAGGTTGTGGGAGGGGTGATAAGTGGTGTGGAAGGGTTGAGGAGGAGTGTGTATAAAACCTCGGAGCACATAGATATAGTGCGCATAAATGTGGTGTACACAAGCATATAGTATACACACAATTACTGTACATGAACGCAGTGAACTCACCTCAGACTCGTATCCTGCTGTGACTCCTGCTGTGGGCTTGATGTAAGCTCCAACGGGGCACCGCCGCTGCACAGCTTGGCAGAAGGCAACGAGGCGAGCGGGTGAGGAGAGAATGACGGCCTGGGGGAGAACAGGAGAGAGGAGGAAGGAGACGGAAGCGGGAAAGACAGTTGATTTCGTACATATGCAATCACACACGCTGCACGGCTTGGCACAAGGCGAGGAGGCGAGCTGGCGAGGAGAGGATGACAGCCTGGAAGAAAAATATAATAGAAAACACATTTGCTTCCACACGTTTTGCATTCACACATCGTGCTTTCGCACACCCTGCAAGGCCTGGCAGAAAGCGAGGAGGCGAGCTGGCGAGGAGTTGGATTTTGAGTCAAAAGTCAACTCCCTGCAAGGCCTGGCAGAAAGCGAGGAGGCAGATAGATAATGGGTGGCAGGAAAAAGAGGGGATGTGTGTGTGTGTGTGTGTGTGTGTGTGTGTGTGTGTGTGTGTGTGTGTGTGTGTGTGTATGCGTGTTTCTCTTTTGTGTCATCTTTGAGCAAAAAAACAGAAACAGGAGCTGCCTGTGTGTCCTCCCCTCACCACACCTGGATGATGTCTTTCCGCCGTGCTCGGGGCTGGGGGTTAACAGCAAACCCTTCATTCGCCATCACCTCTGCCACGAGTAGGCTGCCCTGTTGAGGGGCGAGAGGAAAGGGGTGGGAGGGGCGAGAGGGAAGGGGTGGGAGGGGCGAGAGGGAAGGGGTGGGAGGGGCGAGAGGGAAGGGGTGGGAGGGGCGAGAGGGAAGGGGTGGGAGGGGTGAGAGGGAAGGCGAGTGACGGGGGGAGAGGGAGGGGTGAGAGGGGGGCGAAGCGAGTATGGAAAACGGTGAGGGGAGAAAAAAAAACCTTCATTCGCCATCACCTCTGCCACGAGTAGACTGCCCTGTGGAACGGGAATCACCTCTGCCAAAAGGAACGGGAGAGAATGCAGACAAGACCTGGATTGCTGTTGGAGCAGCCCTTGGAACACGAACCACTTTGAGACGTCTCAAAACTCGTTGGGTTGGTGCAGCCCGCACAACATGAACCACTTTGAGACGTCTCAAAACTCGTTGGGTTGGTGCAGCCCGCACAACATGAACCACTTTGAGACGTCTCAAAAATCGTTGGGTTGGTGCAGCCCGCACAACATGAACCACTTTGAGACGTCTCAAAACTCGTTGGGTTGGTGCAGCCCGCACAACATGAACCACTTTGAGACGTCTCAAAACTCGTTGGGTTGGTGCAGCCCGCACAACATGAACCACTTTGAGACGTCTCAAAACTCGTTGGGTTGGTGCAGCCCGCACAACACGAACCACTTTGAGACGTCTCAAAACTCGTTGGAGCAGCCCGCAGAACATCAACCACTTCTCTTCACTCTCAGACCATCCCCCCATCCCCCTTGTCTCCATATGTTCAGGCACCCCACCCACTTGCCCCACTCCCCTCGCCTTGATCGCCTCGCCTGTCATCTGTGGTCCCAGAGCCAGCCTCTGAAACATCAGCCGTATCACTTTAGATTCCCGCTTGTCTTCAAGCACCTTTCCCCCCCAACCCCTCCACCCATCTCCCCCTGTCCTCCTCCCCTCACCTTGATCACCTCGCCTGTCATCTGTGGTCCTAGAGACAGCTCCTGGAGAATTAGCTGCATAACTCCCTCTTGTCTTAAGCACCCTCCCCTCCCGACCCACACCCATTTCCCCCTGTCCTTCTCCCCTCACCTTGATGGCCTCGCCTGTCATCTGTGGCCCCAGGAACAGCCTTTGGAACATCAGCCGCATCACCTGCCAACTTCCCTTCCAGCACCCCTTCCTTCATGCCTCCATGCCTCCATACCTTCACGCACCCACTTGCCCCACTCCCCTCACCTTGATGGCCTCGCCTGTCATCTGTGGCCCCAGGAACAGCCCCTGGAACATCAGCCGCATCACCTCACCACTTGTTGCTCCTGCGCCTGAGCCTATACGCAGGAGCGAAGAACGAGGGCCGAAGAAAACAAAATGCAGGAATCATCAAAATCCACTCACACGACCATATGCATGTTCATATGAAATAATATGCACGCACATAAAATACTTCGCTCATCGATGCATACATCGGGCACAAAATAAATGATTGAATATATATGTATACATACTGATGCCAGGCGCAGCCAGCCTAGCAGCTGCAGCCTCCACCAGATCCGCCCTGCCTGCCACATACCCCCCACTGGGGGCTATCGTCCCTCCAGGATTCTTTATTAGGCTCCCCGCTATAAGGTCTGCGCCCTGGAAAATGGAGGAGAGAAACGGGACAATAAGGAGAGGATTCTGAGAGCTGCGTGCATATGCCTTGCGCTATGCACCATGTGTGCCATTGAAATGATACCTTGCATTCCCCTTCCACCCTCTGACCACATCTCTTGCCCTTCCAGGCTCCATCTCCTCCATCCGCTCACCACATGGGTCGGCTCTCTCTCTTCAACGAGCTTCCCATAGCAGTTGTCTACCACAACAACGCATGATGTGTTCGTGTGAGTGCCATATGCATGTGTCATGTGTCACATCACCACTCATTGCCCCTCCATCCTCTCACCACATGGGTCGGCTCTCTCTCTTCAATGAACTCCCCATAGCAGTTGTCCACCACAACAACACATGATGGGTTCTGGGCCTGCGATGTGAACAGATGCCATGAGCAATGTGTCATGTGTCAGGCGCCACCACACCATCATGCCATCATGCCATCATGCCATCACGCCATCATGCCATCATGCCATCATGCCATCATGCCATCATGCCACCATGCCATCATGCCATCATGCCATCATGCCATCATGCCATCATGCCATCATGCCATCATGCATATAAGGGAACGAGTTGAAATGACTACGAGGGTGAATGCGTCAAATCCCAAACCTTCCACCCATCAAAACCTCAACTCCAACGAACTCACCCTCAATAAAGCCCCAATAAAGCCCACACTCCCCAGGCAGATAACTCACTTTCATAATTTCCACAACGCGACCAATCTGCTCCACGGTAAGTGTTTCTCTTAGTGAAGTGAATTCAACGTGTTTCCACCATAAATTTTCTTTTTGAGCGCTACAAAGCCCACTCTCACAGGCGGCAGCTCACCTTCACTATCTCCACAATGCGACCGATCTGCTCCACTGTAAGTGTCTCTCTTAGCGAATACCCACACGATCGCTGCACCAGCACACAGCGTGTGCGCTCTGCCACCGCCCCTGGCGCGCTGAGAGCATCCCAGTCCAGGCCGCCCTGTGCTGTCAGCTGTGGGTAGAGGCAGGAGACAAGGTGAAGGCAGGAGACAAGGTGAGGTAAAGGCAAGCATGAGCACGAGAGTACCCACATGAGTGCTTCACCAACACACAGCGCGTGCACTCTGCCACCGTCCTTGGCGCGCTGAGAGCATCCCAGTCCAGGGTGCCTTTTTCTGTCAACTGAGAGAGCACGGAAGGAGACAAGGCGAGGGAAAGCAAGCATGAACACACGAGTAACCGCACGAGTACCCACACGAGTACCCACACGAGTACCCACACGAGTACCCACACGAGTACCCACACGAGTACCCACACGAGTACCCACACGAGTACCCACACGAGTACCCACACGAGTACCCACACGAGTACCCACACGAGTACCCACACGAGTACCCGCACGAGTACCCGCACGAGTACCCACACGAGTACCCGCACGATCGCTGCACCAGCACACAGCGCGCGCTCCCTGCCACCACCCCCAAAGCACTAAGCGCATCCCAGTCGAGCCCGCCTTGTGCTGTCGGCTGTGGCCACACAGAGACAAAATGAGAGGAAGCATCAGCACACGAGTGCTTGCAGTTGAGAAAAGGCAGCAAAGGCAGTGTCTCACTCACACTGCAGAGCCGTGCCTCGGCGTGCGCCTGAGTCACTCTGTGTGTTTGTGTGCGTGCTCCTATTGCCAAAAACACGAGCATTCCTATCAACTCCCATGCGTGCCCTGCCTCGTCTGCTCACCACACCGCACCTCTATCTGCCGGTATGACGCGCCAAACTCCTTCAACGACCCGTGCCCCGGCATGCCTCTGAGTCTTTGTGTGTGCGTGTTCCCTTGCCTTGTTTGCAAAGCACACTGCACACACGCACCTCTATCTGCTGGTATGACGCGCCAAACCCCCTCAACGAGCCATGCCATGCCCCGGCATGCCTCTGAGTCTCACTGTGTGTGTGTTCCGCCGTCTAGCTCCAAACACGAGCATTTGGATCAAGTTCCATGCGTGCACTACCTTGTCTGACCAGCACACTGCACGCACCTCTATCTGCCAGTATGACGCGCTAAAGTCCCTCAACGAGTCATGCCCACCCTGGGCATGCCTGTGAGTCTCACTGTGTGTGTGCATGCTCCTCTTTCTCTAAACACGAGCTCTCATCCCAAATCCCATGGATGCCCCACCGCACCGCGTCTTTCATCCCAATTCCCAGCCACACCGCACACACCTCTATCTGTCGGTATGACACCCCAAACTCCCTCAACGACCCGTGCCCCGGCATGCCTCGGAGCCCAATCACCTCCTCCATCGTATCGTATGGCGCCCCTGCCACTGACAGCAGCTGCGAGGAGGTGGGGGGGTTGGTGGAGGTTGGGGGAAGGTTGAGGAGGAAACAGAATGAGGGAGTGGGAGTGTGCCTCTGAGCCCAATCACCTCCTCCATCGTATCGTATGGCGCCCCTGCCATTGACAGCAGCTGAGGTGGGGCGACGAAGAACAGGAGGGGCGAGGGGGAGTGAGTAAGAGAGAGTGTGCAGGGCGAAGGGTTGCGAGGGGAGGAAGCATTCCATAGATCACTATAAATGCCGGAAAATGCCACCGCACTAGATGCCGGAGACTGCCACTCACCTCGTCCCCAGGTCGCAGAACGGCATAGAGGGCAGCAGCGATGGCGTGTGTGCCTGAGAAGAACTGGAGAGGAGGGGAGGAGAGGGGAGGAGAGAGGAGGAGAGGGGAGGAGAGGGGAGGAGAGGGGAGGAGAGGGGAGGAGGATTTTTAAAGACTGAACACTTCTTTTATCCCAGGGCGCAGAACGGCATAGAGGGCAGCAGCGATTGCATGTGTGCCTGAGAAGAACTGGAGAGGAGGGAGGGGGAAGCAGGGGAAGAGGGGAAAACGAGGAATTTGACAAGGATCCGAAATTGGCAGCAGTGATTGCGTGTGTGCCTGAGAAGAACTGGAACGAGGGAGGGAGGAGGGAGAGTGGAGGAGGGGAAAAGGGAGGAAAAGGGAGGAAAAGGGAGGAAAAGGGAGGAAAAGAGAGACAAGGGCGGAAAAGGGAGACAAGGGATGAATTTGAACATGTGAAAGCAAGGAGAGCTGTCGCAACGGCGTCTGTGGCTGAGAAGAAATGGCCAGGAAGGGGGGGAATGTAGAATGGGGAAACTGTAAAACAAGAGGGATTCAACGTGAAGCCAACGTGAGAAGCAGCCATGGTGTGCGTGCCTGTGACGAAGTGGAGGGAGGAGGAGGGGGAAGTTGGGGAAAGGGGGAGAAGGGAGGGATCGGGAGATGCAAAAAGGGGGAAAAAAGCATCGCCTACACCAATACTACCTGCACCACTCCATACGCCCCACCTCACCACCCCCGCCTCCTCCCCTTTTCTTTCCCCCTCATCCCACCTGTGCGCGCACACACGCTGCCTCGGCCCCAGCGATCTGAGCAAAGGCGGAATCAAGCGATTTTTGAGGCTCCTCATGTTTTGAGGCGCCTCATTTTTTGAGGCGCCTCAAAAACTGCACCTAGAAGATTTCAGTTATTACCTGTGCGCGCACACACGCTGCCTCAGCGCCAGCGATCTGAGCAAAGGCGGAATCAAGTGCCTCTCCAATTTCTATGCAGCCCCGTGCTCCATTCACTCCACTGACCCGGGGAATTCACTTTGAAGTCGACTAAAAAATCAACTCGTTACAATGTCACACACCTTATATGCAGTCCCGTGCTCCATTCACTCCCCTGACCCTGTGAATTCACACCCCTGGCCTACCTACACCAGTACCACCTGCACCTAGACGATCCCAGCTATTACCTGTGCGCGCACACACGCTGCCTCGGCGCCAACGATCCGAGCAAAGGCGGAATCAAGTGCCTCTCTGCCCCCTGCGTCCCCGTGCCCGTACCCCGTGGTGCCACTGAAATGCTGATGGGGAGGGGAAGGGGACGAGGGAGATGGGAGAAGGGAAGGCAGGACCGGGGAGGGATTTACGTTCAAGCGCCTCTCTGCCCCCTGCATCCCCATGCCCGTACCCTGTGGTGCCACTGAAATGCTGATTGGGGGGGGAAGGGGACGAGGAGGCCAAGAGAACAGATGAAGTGTGAAAAGAAATGAGACGGGAAGCCAGAAATGAGAAGGGATCTGGAATCAAGTGCCTCTCTGCCCCCTGCGTCCCCGTGCCCGTACCCCGTGGTGCCACTGAAATGCTGATGAGGGGGGGAGGGTAGGAGGGGGACAGGGGAGAAGGGGAAGAGGAGGAAGCGGAGAAGGGGAGGAGGAGGGAGAGGGGACAAGAAGGCACGGAGAGCGGAGAAGGGGCAATAGGGGAAAAAAGAGGGGCAATAGGGGAAAAAAGAGGGGCAATAGGGGAAAAAAGAGGGGCAATAAGGGGAAAAAAGAGGGGCAATAGGGGAAAAAAGAGGGGCAATAGGGGAAAAACGAGGGGCAATAGGGGAAAAAAGAGGGGCAATAGGGGAAAAAAGAGGGGCAATAGGGGAAAAAAGAGGGGCAATAGGGGAAAAAAGAGGGGCAATAGGGGAAAAAAGAGGGGCAATAGGGGAAAAAGAGGGGCAATAGGGAAAAAGAGGGGCAATAGGGGAAAAAAGAGGGGCAATAGGGGAAAAAAGAGGGGCAATAGGGGAAAAAAGAGGGGCAATAGGGGAAAAAAGAGGGGCAATAGGGGAAAAAAGAGGGCAATAGGGGAAAAAAGAAGGGCAATAGGGGAAAAAAGAGGGGCAATAGGGGAAAAAAAGAGGGGCAATAGGGGGCATTATGTGGAGGATAAGGCGTCAAAGAAACCACATAAGATTAACCAACACCATCCTTACCCTCCCCCCTTTTTCCTGTCCCCCCTTCCCCCACATACTCACTCTCCCTTGAATGGTCCACATCTGTACCTTGTTCCCCCTCCCCCATCGCATCAATTTGCCACGACAGACACAAAGACAGGTGAGTGAAAAGGCAAAAACTCCTCGCTACCTACCATGCACATGCATGTGTACGGAGACACACACACACACACACACACACACACACACACACACACACACACACACACACACACACACACACACACACGTGTAATCACATGCATGTGTACGGAGACACACACACACACACGTGTAATCACATGCAGGGGTACGGAGACACACACACACACACACACACACACACACACACACACACACACACACACACACACACACACACACGTGTAATCACTTGCATGACAATGCCCGCAGCAGCAAGGCACACACACGTGCTAACTCACATGCCTCCCGAGACGTGCAGAGGCGAAGGCAAGGCATCCAGAACCCGCTTCAGATTCACCACCACCAGCCGACATACCTCACCCCCCCACACGCCCCCACATCCCCCCGCACGCCCCCACACCCCCCCACTTCACCCCACAGACACGCACATGCACACATGCACGAACTCACATGTCGCCCCACACGTGCAGAGGCGAAGGCCTCAAGAACGCGTTTCAGGTTCACCACCACCAGCCTGCCCACCTCTCCAATTTTGTACCGCCACTGTCCCACCCACAGCACAAAGCACGCACACTAGTATACTCACATGCCTCCCCACACGTGCAGAAGCGAAGGCATCGAGAACGCGTTTCAGGTTCACCGCCACCAGCCTGTCCACCTCCGCGAATTCGCCCTCCAATGCTGCTGCCGCCGCTGCCACCTGGGGGAGCGGTGGCGAAGGTTGGAAAGAACACCATGAGCAGGAGGAGATGAGTGGAGCGTGGAGGGTGGGAGTGGGGGGTGAGGGATTTGCTCCACCCCAGGTTCACAGTTCACCGCCACCAGCCTGTCCACCTCCGCAAATTCACCCTCCAATAATGCTGCTGCTGCTGCCACCTGGGGGAGAAGGGATGATGAGGATTCGATGAGTGGGAGGATACACTGAGTGGGGTCTGGCACTACTAGGAGCGGCCAGGGCTGATTTCCCCACGCCAGGTTCACCGCCCACCCCACCCCAGCCTGTCCACCTCCTCGAATTCGCCCTCCAGCGATGCTGCCGCTGTTGCCACTTGGAGCGGAGTGGGGCAAATACGGGAACGAGTACTGTGAAAGCTGAGAAACACATACAGGACCGGGGAAGTGATGAATGGGCAGTGGAAAGTACCTGGGCAAAGGGCAAACGGAGAGGAATGGGCGACTGAGGAGTCGCATTTCCAGTCCGGCTCAACACTTACCTGAGGAGAGAATGGGTCGCGGCGACATGTGCTTTGCTGGTGACATCTGATTCTGAGCTGACTCAAACGACTGAGGAGTCGCATTTCCAGTCCGGCTCAACACTCAACACTTGCCTGGGGAGAGAATGGAGATGCGGCGACGTATGAAGTGGTTTCTTTGCTGGCGGCGGTGCCGGTGCTGGCGGCGGCCTCCGTTGCTGGATTCGACCCACTAAGATCGCCTCCGCTAGTATCACCCTTCGGCTCGTCGGTTCCCAGTCGCTCTCGCTCTCGTGCGATCGTCTCTACCGCGGATCGCTCGCTTTCTGAGGCGCGTGGCAGCGGATGGAAGCGGCGTGAAATACGCGATACACGCTGCTTCGGAAACTGAATTTGACGAGAATTTCGCTTGGTGCCGAAGAAGCTAATCCCTGAAGCCGCGGCTGACGTGGCGACGGCGCCACTAAGCGTATGGGCGATCGACATGTGGAGGATTGGGGGAACACGGAATGCGACACTGGCACGTGAATATAGACGAACCAAGGCTGATTCACAAGGGGTTTCGCAGCTTATGGTTTCGAGCTAACATATAGCAGCTGAGATCAGTCTTTCAGGAAAAGCAACAGAACCAATCAGCCTGATCCACCTATTTCTTTACACCGAGGATGGCACGAGGTTACTGCGAGGGGTGCGGGAATGGGCGTTCGTTCGTTTGTCGACGGGGATGCGAGGGACAGCAGCGCCGCAATAGCAGCAAGCCCGCTGAGAATTCGGCGCAAAACCAGGATCATTCAATATAATCGCGTATGATTCAGTGACGATGGCAGAGGAAATGCAAAAGTTGTGAGCGCGGGAAATCTGACATGTGACCGTTGCGCGTGTACACTTCAGCCGATTTGGAGTTATATAGTATCAGCTTGGTTGCATTCCTTACGGAGCCCGACTACATCGCGTACATCAACAGCCGTTGTTCGCCCGTTACTGCTAACGGGGCTTCGCCGACTTCGCGCGCACTGTTTCACCAAACCTTGCACTGCTGGCCTGGCCGTGTCGGCCTACGCTGTGATAACTTAGAAGAAAGAAGAGGACTGCACTAGCAAGAATGGGGATACAAATAGGAAACCCTAGAAGGGTTGTACTCGCTATAGAGCACCCCACTACAGGCTAGAGCATAAGCAGAGCAAGCAAAGCAGTACAAGCTCAGGGTGGATCACAATGTCACCACACATTCTGAGCACAAGTTCAAGAAGCAATAGTTTAAAGTTAACAATTATGAGCAAAGCTAGTGGTAGTCACAACGGGCAAGTGAGGAGGAGGAGAGAGAGTGAGAGGAGAGGAGATAGGAGGCGACGGATGAAGCTGCAGACACACGGGCAACAGGAGGCACACTGGCACAGCGGCTACCGGAACAACGCTCTGGAATACTGGAGTAACTGGCCCCGCGGCTAAAGTAGCGGCAGACGAGCAACGGACCCACGGCCGGCTGGCACAGCTGGCTACGACTGGGCTACCGGACGAAGTCCCCGGAATACAGGTGCTGCTGGCGACACGACGGCAACCTCCATTCAGCTTCCCCAAATGATCCCACTCCCCCTGACACACACCCGCTGCGACACCCCTAGCTCCACTCTCACCCCACCCCCTAGCACCACTCCGTCGAATCCCACACACCCACCCCCCTCAGCGGTAGCTGCAGCAGTGGGAGACAGAGGAGGAGGAGGAGCAGGGGAGACTACACACCCGCCACCCCCCAGGTCGCCCCTCCCGTCGCCTGTCGAGGCGACCTGAGGGGGCCGCGTGCGGCCACGACTGCGCCTAGACTAAGACGAGCCGACGCCCTTCGAAATGGCTGAACATATCGACGTCACGACTCTCACGTAGGAGCACTTGAACGATCTGCTGCGACAAATCCGCGAGAGCGTCGAGGAAATCGCGACGCTGACGGCAAAACGCTCGTCCCTGCAAAACGACCTCACACGGGCACAATCCCAAGCACCAAGCACTCCGATTCAGCCCGCACCACAGACATCACAGCACGGAAGTGTGGGGCAACGCGCGAGCGCCGCAAGTGATGGCGTCGTCCGCCATAACGGAGACGACGACCACGGCACGACACACCCCGACGCGACGAATGCGGCTAGAACTCAACCTCGAGTCACGATTTCAGTGCCGGCCGGCGAATCAACTCTTCCGTCGCCGATGCCGCTAAAGCCGCAGCGTCCGCCATGCTTTGACCCAAGTCAGCGGGGTGGTCCTACCGTTCAGGCGTGGCTCTTCACGTTGAACGTCTTCTTCGACGCGAACTACGTCTCGGAGGATACGGCGAAGATTCGCTACGCGGTGTCGTTGCTGCGAGGACCCGCCATGGACTGGTGAAGCGTCATCGTCACGAAGCCAGTGGACTACGCGACTCTACCGACACGGGAAGGACAAACCGGACCCTGGGCGCCGTCGTATTTCGTGGAGGTGCCCCAGCATCGCACGTTGGATGCGTGGTGCGCAGGTCTGCGCGCTCGTTTCGAGCCAATCGCGGCTTCGATCGCGGCGCGACAGAAGCTCCGCACTTGGCGCCAACTCGGTTCCGTCCAAGATTACACGAGCGGATTTCTGGCGCTATGCGAGCAGGTGGGATATATGCACAAGATGTTAAAATGAGCGAGAGATAGGTAAGATTTAACTAGGGCCTAGGCTTAGGAGCCTAGGCCCAACTTAGGTATCGAGCGGGTTTTCCTTAGGGAGGAGAGAGTCGAGAAAAAAGTTGAAAGGAAAAGTGATTTTCACTATAGGTTCAAGGAACATATAGCATAGGAAACACAAGGGTGCACCACCTAACTAAGGTTACAATAACTACACTAACTACAGCTACAGGCAGTTACAAATATAAGTATAAAGTTTAACACTCCCCCATAACTGCCTGCAGCGGAGTTTGTGCAGAATACAACCGGCAGGTGTACACATGCAAAACAATAACAAACAAGCAACAGCAGGAACTGCAGGCGGGCTGACACTAATTGGTCACCCCCTTCATCTCCTCACCCTCCTCCTTCCCCTCCCCCACACTGCTGCAGGAGCAGCAGAGAAGGGGGGAGGAGAGGAGAGATGGAGGGACGGCTGCGTGTTGCCTCACACCCGCCACCCCGGTACCACTCCCCCTGCTCCCCCACACCCTCACACCCTCTCCCCCAGCGGCAGCTGCAGCAGTGGGAACAAAAGGAGGAGGAGGGGAAGGGAAGGGTACGACCCACGACTCCAACACCCGCCACCCCCATACCCTCCCCCCCACGGCTGCAGGGAGATGAAGGAGGAGGGGGTGGGCGGGAAGAAAGCCGCAGAGCGGCTAGATATGGTCGATGCAGGTAGGTCAGGGGCAGCTGCAGGGAATGCAGGTGCGGAAAGCACCGTCGCAGGCGCCAAGGGCGGGTCCGCGGCGGCTCAAGGGCACCGCCGCGGGCGCCAGGGGCGGGTCCGCGATGGCGCAGGGCACCGCCGCGGGCGCCAGAGGCGGGTCCGCGATGGCGCAGGGCACCGCCGCGGGCGCCAGAGGCGGGTCCGCGGGCGCCAAGGGCACCGCCGCGGGCGCCAGAGGCGGGTCCGCGACGGCAAAGGGCACCGCCGCGGGCGCCAGAGGCGGGTCGGCGGGCGCCAAGAGCACCGCCGCGAGCGCCAAAGGCGGGTCCGCGACGGCAAAGGGCACCGCCGCGGGCGCCAGAGGGGGGTCCGCGGGCGCCAAGTGCACCGCCGCGGGCGCCAAAGGGGGCGGGTCCGCGACGGGTTGAAAAGTAAAACGTCACGCGCCCGAGGCGCGTGACCAGAAATCCAGCAGCGGAAGAATTGGGCGGGCCCACAGGCCAGGACGAAACTGCTCTGACAACCATGTTAAAATGAGCGAGAGATAGGTAAGATTTAACTAGGGCCTAGGCTTAGGAGCCTAGGCCCAACTTAGGTATCGAGCGGGTTTTCCTTAGGGAGGAGAGAGTCGAGAAAAAAGTTGAAAGGAAAAGTGATTTTCACTATAGGTTCAAGGAACATATAGCATAGGAAACACAAGGGTGCACCACCTAACTAAGGTTACAATAACTACACTAACTACAGCTACAGGCAGTTACAAATATAAGTATAAAGTTTAACACAAGAGCGAGCGCACCGACCGCTACATCGGCGGCCTGAAGCACGACATCGCTAATGAAATCTAGCTTCGCTGCGTCACCGACTTTCAAGAAATTCTCGCTATGGCGGAGAAACTTGACTTCTTCCGCCGACCGAGACCGGGGTCCTACGGAAGCAGCCATTGGGGACATCGGCCTCGTGGGACGAACGAGTGCGCCACGATACGTGCCGTTGCCGCAAGTGCCGCTCCCGCACCGCTCAAAGGGCGCTGCTTTGCGTGCAATCGGCCGAGACATCGCAAGAGCGAATGCCCGGAAAACGCTAAGGGAAAGGGGGAAGTTGAGCAGCAGAAACAGACCAAGTAGCAGGGAAACGCTGGGAGTCAGTAGCAGACGGGCCCTCTACTGACAGGTCACGCCGCTCGCCCGACCCAACCGACCCTCACCGAGTGATTGTGCCGGTTCACGCAATCGACCACACTCGGCCGAATAAGGAGGGGACTACGGTAGACAGCCCCATAATGCTTAGTGGGAAAATCGGGACGGACTTAGTTAAAATCTTCGTAGACGGGGGAGCTAGCCACAGCCTCATCAACACTGCTACAGCACGAAAACCGCGACTGCCACTGGACAGATGTTTACCCGAGATCGACGCACGACTGGTAGACGGCACGCCGCTGGCGATACGAGAACGCGTAGACCGGGTTCGGATTCGATGTGGGGGTAACTTCACGTTTAGCCAGGAAATGCTCACAACGCCCCTCGACGGAACTGATATTTTACTCGGGCGTGATTGGTTGGACGGCAGAATCCGCGAATCGACCGGACAATGGGTGACTGCACCGTGCGAGTGAACGCTAACAACGTCGCCTTAACTCGCTGGGGCTCACCTGAGTCTTCGTCGGTGCGTGTCAACGCGATCACGATGAAATGCGCCGTAGCGGCTGGAGGTGACGTGTACGCGGTCGACATTCGGGAAGCCGAGGCAGCAGACAAAGGATGGGATTTACAGAAACTGCTGGCCGACGTACCGAGTGACCTGGCAGCACTGTTGAAGCAGTAGAGCGACATTTTCCCAGACGATTTACCTACGGGACTGCCACCTCAGCGACCGCACGACCACAGGATAGAGTTAGAACCGGGGGCACATCCAACACTACAGCGACAAATTCCGACTGACCCAGCCCGAACTGGACGAACTGAGGAAGCAGCTCGATTACCTGCTCGAGAAGGAATTCATTCGCCCTAGTTCGTCGCCCTTCGCAGCACCGATACTGTTCACACTGAAAAAATACGGGGGATTTCGCATGTGCATAGATTACAAAGCACTGAATAGGGTTACCATCAAATCCCGTTACCCCATCCCGCGAGCCGATGAAC